GGATGACGTACATCAGGTCCTCGATAGGATGCTCATCTTTGTAAACGGCCTGCGCAATTTGCGCCCAATACGCCGAATCAGGCCGGAAGCTATCCATGGCAAAAATCACGCCTGGCCCTGTTTGTAACATGTAATCATGCACCCAGTACTTTCCACGCGATATTCCGGATTTCCATAGTACAATCTTGCGGTAGAGCTTTTCTCCTGAAAGTCCCAGTTCGACGGCTTCTTCGTAGATTTGGTCTGGTGGGAAGCGTCGTTTTTCGTGTCGGATTCCCCATCCTGATTCTGCCATGCTTTGCATTGTGAGCTGTGAGCGGGCAATTGGACATCTTTGGTTGGGATCCCTTATCCATGAAGCCCTCGGGGCTCCTGTTGCTTGGAGTTTGTCGTACTTCAATGGCCGGGACTGTTCACCCGGTGATTGGGCAGCAATGGCGTTGTACATGACCAATGGGTGAAGAGTTTGTCGAGATGCTTGATTGAGTATTGCACTTCTAAGGTTTGGGGCTAAGAATTGCCGCTGGATGTGGGATGGGAAAAATATAGGATGGTGGGATTGACGCATCGCTGATATATATATTTTTACTTACAACTAAGACAAGCAGATGATAAACCAGAAAGCTTACTACAAAAGAAGAAGAATAGAACAATGGAAATCATCTACTGTTAGTGGGAGTCAAAAGACACACAAAGAATGGTGCAATAATTTAGATAATATTGTCTTGAGACATAAAGGGTATCTGGGAGACATTAGTGACTGCGATAGTTTGCAGTCAAAGATGCGCACAAAGATATTGTTGACAGACACTAAAATAAATGAACCACGTAGATTTATTATATAGTCTACATAAAGCATTGATCATAGACAAAAGACATTGCAGTGGCTCATTATGGTTATAGGGGCCCTGTATCAAGAATCCTTATAACCTCTGCGTGTAGTGTATCAATCGCGCCATTGTTATCCCTTTTACGTGAACTATATATTCCTGCAGCATAGCCACTCATAGATATTCTTTTATTGCCTTGTAAGAGTGCTCGGGGGGTGAGCGACTCGGTGGCCATGCTGATCGGTGTAGATGACCTACAACATCCATGGATGCACATATTGGGGGATTAGTCAACACAGAATACACTTGAGCAGCGACCTGGGAAACCATGGGAATGATCCCCAAGAATAATGAAACGCACTGGCTGATGTTGTACTTGCCTTATAGTTGGCCACCCTCTCCTGTCGGGCACTAGCTTGATCCTTGATGCGATTCGACCTGCTGACGGGTCAATTTTTCCCGTAGGACTCTAGCACGGACGGAAAGATTAGCCCTAGATGCAGGAATCCTACCTTGCCCTCATGCGACCCGCCTCTCTGAGCTTGGTGTAGACGGAGTTACCTCCAATGATATCGTTGCCTTTCTTATCCTGTCCCCTCGGACATGATGATCTTGAGATTTACATGAAGAACTACTGAACTTGTTCATTACCAATGTTGCCTTGCTTTAGATATGATGTGATTCCTGTAACATAGGTGATGTCATGGTTCATTGGAACATCGACAAAGTCGGATTTTAGAGATCTGAAACGAGATGGAATGTTGATCTTTTTGAAGGGTGTGATTGTGATACATGTTGACACGGCTAGAGGATATTCTATATGAGGCTCAAGGGGAGGATGGACCCCGTTACCTGCCGTGACAGGGTGACAGGGGCAAAAGACCTGGGTTACTAATTTTTTACAGTTCTAAGATCGGAGCTAAAAAGGAGAGATATCGGAAAATACGGTTGCAACGCAGAACAGAAGCAGATTGTATTGAATAGCAACATTGATATATGTTTCAGATTCAGTCTAGATTAGAAAAGAGGATTTTTAGAAATAAAATAAAATAAAAGAAGAGAGATGAGTTAAGTAGAAATTAGTTCCACATGTAACCATCCCCCTCCTAGTTAGGCCCGACTACCACCGTTGCACTCAAGGGGGTCATTGAGTATGTATGGGATACACTGGGAATGCTTGTACGGAGTAGTGTCCGTATTATATTCCTATTTGGAATTCTACTACAATTTATATAATCTATAATCTAAATAATTAATACTCTTTCTATTTAATATAGACACATGTAACTTCACTCCACTGTATACAATGGTATGGTATTGGAAATGACTTATTAACAATGTGACTCTACAGTGAAGATTACAGAAGTTTAACCACTCTATGGCACAGACATAAATTACTGTTACAATACCATACTCAATTGCGACCAGGGCTTCTTTCTTTTCCAGTTGTACTCCCGGTGACACTGTCAACACAAGAATGGGCCAATGTTGATCCATCGGGTTAACACCCTCTTCTCCTTTCTTCTCTTCTACTTCTCTCGGTGGGGATTATTGCTTCCACACTCCCACCGATCCACTCAAGACACAACTCCAGTGGGAGTGTCACATCAACTTTGTCCACTTCTTCCAAGGTGTTATAACTTTGGATCTTTCTTCTTTATTTGCTTCATGATCCTTACTTCCTGAAACCCATCAGCGACCTCTCCTCGCCTCTCCTCGCCTCTCCTCTACCCCCCTCCTCCGACGATGTCGGCCCCACTGGTTAAGGTGCTACACCGACTACAAGAGCTGTTTCATAACGTCGTCGCCGCACTCGAAAGCATGATCCTCTTCCCCTCGTTATTCCGCGGTCTTTCGCGACGCCGCCGAAAGACTTTCCTCGGCGCCCATTGGAAACGCCGCAGCCTCGATGACTTCGCCGAAGAAGTGGAGACCTCGTGCTTGACACCGCTGTCAACGCGCAACATGGTTGACATGTCCGAGAAGATCCGCGCACAGTTCCGGGAATGTCTACAGAATAGCCCATGCTGCATGCTTCCATCCTACGATACCGCACTTCCCGCTGGCTCGGAAAAGGGCACATATTTGGCATTGGATGTCGGCGGATCGACGTTCCGCGTAGCCTTGATCGAACTGAATGGCCGGGATGAGGAAGTGCGCATCTTGAAAGTATCATCTGTACACATTGACGAAAAACTCAAGATGCTGGAGGGGACACTGTTTTTCGATTGGATGGCAGGGCAGATCGAGACCATGCTGCAGGAAGTTGGAACAGACTACGGGCGTGGCGATGTACCGCTGGCGATGGGCTTGTCCTGGTCTTTCCCCATTGAACAAACGTCGCACAGCAGCGGGTTGGTGATACATATGGGCAAGGGATTCAAAGCCTCCGAGGGCACGGTAGGCAAGGAACTGGGTGATCTTATTATCCAGTCTTGCCGCAAGCGCAATCTGAACGTAGAAGTTGCCGCTATCGTGAACGACAGCTCCGCGGCTCTACTTTCGCGTGCCTACGTCGATCCCAAGACCCGCATGTCTCTCATTTTGGGTACCGGTACCAACATGGCGATTCACTTCCCAGTGCATGAGATTGGAACGCCCAAGTTTGGACTTCGTCCGGAGGGCTGGTTCGACCACGCCAAGCATGTGCTCATCAACACCGAGATGAGTATGTTTGGCGGAGGTGTGCTGCCCATGACACGGTGGGATGACACCCTGAACCGTACGCATCTGCGTCCCGACTACCAGCCGCTCGAGTACATGATCACAGGTCGGTACTTGGGCGAGATTGTGCGTCTGATTATCGTCGAAGCAACCGAGACCGCCCGCCTATTCGGCGGCGAGCTACCACAATCCATGCGGGAACCCTATTCCTTCGACACAAGCATCGTCGCCTGCCTCGAGGATGACACATCTGCCTCCCTTTCCACCTCCGGCGCCCTCCTGCAAAAGCAGCACACCTTCCACAACTCTCCCTCCGTCGACGACCTTCGGTTCCTGCGCCGCATCTCCCAGGCAGTCTCTCGCCGTGCCGCTGGATACCTGGCGACAGCCATCCACAGCATGTGGTGCCTCCGTAACGAGGTGGAATTCCCCTCACCCCCGTCCACCGCCGACTCTCTCGCCAAGGAATCACCCGAAATCACCGTCATCGAGAGCGGGGACTCGGATAAGAACCTTTCCATCGCCTGCGACGGTGCCGTCATCAACAAATATCCTGGCTTCCGCGCTACCTGCCAGAAATACCTGGATCAGTTGACCGAGGAAACATATCCGGGCACCGGATCCTCCATTCGTCTCAACCCGGCCCCTGAAAGCGCCATTCTCGGCGCGGCAGTCGCTGTGGCTGTGGCCGTTGCTGAGAACTCCACTCAGCTGTAAATCTGGTTAACATGAGTGATGCATGAACCCCCCTGCTGAGCATAGATCTCTAGCAGTCTCTTTCGTTGTGATTTTCTTTTTACCATGTCCATCGGTCCATCGGCGCATGGCACGTGATGGGTTTCCGTTTGGACCTTTTCTTGTTTTCTCAATCTGCATGGGCATTCCCGGATGGGAGTTGTGGAGAGAGCGTTTTTCTTTGCCTTTCCCCCTTTTTCAACAGTCGAATCGTTTAGCATCAACAAGGAGTTTCTGGGAAATCTATATGGGCCTTTCAATATGGTTTTCTGTTGGGGTTTTGATCCTGGATGGAGTTCGGGTTCGTTCTTCCACGCCCTGTCATTTTTATTAACGGGTTTTACGTTTTCTTCGAATTCAAGGAGGCATATCTGACTTGTTCATTCCTTTCTATTCCTCGAGCTAGTCTATTTTCCTTTGCTCCGTACTTCACCTCTATGTGGAATCTAGCCTAAAATGTTAAAATACCACAAGACACGAACTGACTTTCTTATGATATGTTCTCTGCTTAAGTTCTTGCTACCTTGGCGTTGCTATTCGGTATCCTAGACCTTAAAGACCAGGATTAAGCGCTAAACATTTCTACACTAAGTGACATGATGGCCCCAATTGCACAATTTCCACTCTCCTACACACGTACTCCGTATTAGGGAGGTTAGTTATGTACTTAATATTAATTTATATCAAGTGTTCTTACAAGCGTGAATTTTAGGGCGCCATCCCATCTTGGCGTTTTCGAGCCTTGGTACCCCAACTACCTACATATTTAGAATGTTTGTATTGTTTGGTGCTTATTATGGGCTTTCACCCCGGGCCCATAGCCTACCGGTGGGCCCGAGGATAGGCCCAAAGCCCAACTATTTAGTGGGTTGGGTTGGGCCTTGGGCTTTATGGGCTTTGCGGAGGTCTACATGCGAGGGTTCGCCAACTTTCCAAGAGGAATATGGGGGCAGCTACATACCAAAAGTTATCAAAACAGAATTTGGCCTACAGGTGGTGGCGCCAGATACTCCATATGTGGCAGTGGCCGGCCCAGACAAGTTACTCTTCATCGACAACTGGTTCGAAATCGAGACTGCAAAGCGCATGAAGGAACACATCGAGAAAGCAACTGTGCCAAATCCGGACGAGTACATCGCCATAGACGAGGTTTTGGCTACGGCGGAAGTGAAAAACCATGTGACCGGCGAAACGGCATTCGTGTTTGACCCCGTCTATGCCAGGATGTTGTTTGCAAAGGGGATGAACAGGCACAACCCGGACGTCGTAACCTGGACCTCAAATTGCCTGAGTTTGAGTCCGCTGGCGAGTGGTTGGTGACCTACGACCTGGACAATATACCTACGGAGCGGGCCGATAATGCTGGGCTACAAGACTGAGCCTGGAGAAAGTACGAAGTCAATGAAGTCATGTCAAGAAGGGTTACAGGGGTTTGTCAACTTTATTTTGATGCTGGGAGATTACTGAATACTTGCTATTGCATTCGTTATAGACGAAAATGGACATGTGGACAGGAAACGGTCAGTTTATCAAATGAAAACAATCTGCAGATAGTCAGGACACAACATATAGAATATACATAAAATCTAATGGCTCGTATACTGCCGCACTACTCCATCCATGGATGCTACCATCCTCTTACTCAGTGCGAGTATAGGCCTGAGATTTGTTAAGGATAATCTCAGCCAGGGCCATCAAACTGCCACTGGACAGCAACTCCAGAACCTGCACATTGGCATTGGCCTCACGGGCAATCCAGTTACGGATCTCAATAGCCACCAGCGAGTCAAGACCCAATGAAGCGACTGTAATCGAGGGATCCATATCCTCCACGGAGAGAACAAGTACCTGTGCTAACTTGGCGGCCAGCGCCTCGTAGCACACTTTCAAAGCCTCTTCCTTCGATGACGCAGCCGATAAAGTGACCTGCAGCGGCACCGACGGGCCGTCCCGCTGTGAGCTACTTCCCAGTGTGCCCTTGGCAGCCTCGTATAGCACGCTGAATTTCGCGTCCTGGACCCAAAAATTGTTCTCGAGTGAATCCAGTCGCAGTCCTGTAATGCACTGTCCAGAGCAGGACTGGTCGAGATCACCGGTCAAAGCGGCGGCTATTAGTGCCAAGACCTCCGACTCGTCGATGGTCTGGCCGCCGATATTCTTCATTACTTCCTGGCGCCGCTGGGCGTCGGTATCGGCTAGGTAGCCGATGTCGCTGACTGCAGCTAGGTCGATTGATGTTCCTGGAAGACCGAGGGATTTGCGGTATTCTATGAATCCGTCTAAGAATGCGTTTGCTGCGGAGTACGCTGCCTGTCCGCGATTGCCGATAATGCCGGCTACCGATGAGAGGGCAATGAAGAAATCCAGTGGTGAACTTATCAGCGCATTATGCAGGTTCCAAGCTCCTTCTACCTTGTTGCATGCTACGGCCGTGAAGTCTTCAAGAGACATGTTTTCGAAGAGCATGTCCTAATTAGGGTCGGTAATTGGAAATAGAAATTTAAATAAGTTCTTATAGTAGGAAACTTACATGAAGCACCATTGAACCGTGAATAATACCACGTATAGGTGGGAGGGCTTTCATCTGTTCTTTGACCAGCGTCTCGACAGACTCCTGGCAGCTGACATCGCAAGCCTTGACGACAATCCTCACTCCCAGGGGAGCCAAAGTATCAATCAAAGCTTGAACCTTATCATCAATCGCGGCTCGACGAGATACAAGAACAATGTTCTTTGCGCCCTTCGAGGACATCCACTTGGCTATGCTTCGGCCTAGACCACCAGTACCACCAATCAAGATGTAGGATGCATCAGGCCGTAAGAGATTGGAGCTTGTCTTGGGAGCCACAGCCTGAAAATGAGAGATTAGACTTGAGCATCTGATTGCGGATATGCTTTTGCGTACCTTGACTTGGTCACCTTCATGGGGAACCACGACAATCTTACCCATACTCTTACCGATCTGCAGAGTACGGAATGCCTTCTCGATCTCAGAAATTCGATAGGTCGAAAGTGGTAAAATAGGATGCACCGATCCCTCACCAATCAATCGACAAACATCACCCAGGAGGCGCTTCATCAGCTGCGGCTTGAACTTTTCAACTTTGGCTAGATCAACCGACGAGAATGTAACATTGTGCTCAAAAGGCTGCATGTCAAGCCGAGTATTTTTCGTGATATCAGCTTTGCCAATTTCGACAAATCGTCCGAACGGCGCAAGGCACTCCCACGTCTCGCGCAGAAGATCGCCTGCTAGGGAGTTGACGATGACGTCCACGCCAATCTCACCGGTGGCTCTGCGGACGCCGCGAGCGAAAGATGCATCGCGACTATAGAAGATCCGGTTTTCGGGAATACCGTACTGGGTCATTAAGAACCGTTTCTTATCCAGACTTCCAACTGTAACAAATATGTCTGCGCCAATCACCTGCGCTAGCATTATGGCGGCTTGACCAACACCACCGGCACTGGCATGGATTAAAACCCGCTCCCCGGATTTCAGCTGACCCAGGTCAAACAGAGCGTAGTATGCAGTGCAGAATACAACTGGCACTGTGGCTGCGACCTCGAATGACATGTCGGCTGGAACTTCTGCAGCGCTGGTCGCAGAGCATCGTGCATAGGTCGAGAAACAGCCCTCTGGCATACCCATGACTCTTTGGCCAACCTTGAAATTCTTCACATTGGATCCTACACTGGAGACAATACCACTGCATTCAATTCCAATATAGGACTGTGCAAGCTGGCCCATGGAGACCACAATGTCTTTGAAGTTGAGACCACTTGCTTTGACTTGAAGCTCAATCTGATCCTCGCCTAGCGGCAAGGGATTTTCGTCTACAAAGTAGAGAGAGTCGAGAGCACCTGGATTGCCGATCTGAATTTTGAAGCGTCGCCCGGGCTGACTGAATGGTTGATTTGATATTGTCATGTCGTGGGTCTCATTGTGGACGAAACTATTAGCAGCATCATCTTCCACTACGCGTTGGACGAAGAGCTCAGAGCCCTTAGCCTTGAACTCGAGATCATTTGTGGGCTCAGTCCCATCGGTGGGCCATAAGGCACTAATAACTGCTCGAATAGGCTTCTCGGGATATTCGATATCCTCAGGAGCCAACCCGAACGTAGCTACCCTGGCCATGGTCTCTGAGCGCAAGGTGCGAGTCAAACCGACTGCCATTTGAGCATCGGGAGAATCAGTCCGGTAGACCCAGAGCACAGCTCGAGCATTGAGCAGCGCCGTCTTGAGCTCCGCAAATACGTCCTTCGTGAGGTGTCGCAGAGAGCTAGATCCAGTCTGAAGTAGAACAAGATGCTTTTGAGAGAAGTCCATTTCACCGAAGGTTCGGACGGAAATCTGCCACCCAGATGTGTCAGACAATGCAATGCTCAACTTATCAGCAATACCATCATCGGCTTTGCCAAAGTGGGAGATGAATAGGTCATGCTTGGATGTGGTGTGATTTCCATTTGCGTGCGCGTTGCCTTCCTGCTCTGTATCTCCATTCATATTTGCGTCCTTGTGGGTATAAGTTTGGTCCTGAGATTCCGCAGGGCCATTGCGATCTTTAATATCTTCTTGGACGGCGTTTTCAACCTCAGCCAAGGGATGCCAATTAATCTTATAGCACAGCTTGCGAGTGTCTTCGCGGTGAGTGTCTGGATTTCTGAGGGGGGTCATTACTAGGCCCTCTATTGTAATGATGGGCTCTGCGGCACCCTCTTGGATGGCAAAAAGGTCAAATTTCGTCGGTTCAGGGGTAGGCAAGCTGGGACTGCCACTGCAGTAAGCTTTAACATGCTCACCAGCGGTGGTTGGGACGTTGAGACCGACTGTCATACGCTTAATCATTGTCGGCATGTAGAGTGTGTCCAGGTCCATTCGGCCCAAGCCTTGGCCAAGGAGGGGCCAAGCAAAATGTAGCAGTCCGTCAAGGAATGATGGGTGTACAGTCAAGGGAGGTTCAAATCCTTTCGGCATAACACTGCGGGTATCTCTAACGTGCAGATCGCCAAAAGAGTGGTTAGGGCTGGAGTAGCAGTTATCAATATCCTGGAAGATAGGGCCATATCCCGCTCCTAAATCACTAAGAACCTGGTACATGTGGGACATATCGAGGTAATTAGTAGCTGATTCCTGAATTTGGGCTATTCGGGCTTTCGTGTGGGTAGTTTGAGTCTCGAACGGGCTTGATATCGCAGCCGCCTGCTGTTTCGGATCGGAGCGAACACGGACCTGACCAGTACAGTGCTCTGTCCATCCTCGTTTTGAGGTCCACGAGCAGACACGGAACTCATCCCAAATATCCGATGATCCACGGGTGCCTTCAGCGTAGGGACGGAGAGTAATGGTGGTCTCTGCATCTGTGTCATCGCTGAGTACAAGCGCCGAACCGACAATGACCTCCCTCAGTTCGAATTGTGAGATTTGAATATCAGTTTGCTCGGCGCGCCGTCGAGCGGCTTCAATGGCCATCACCAACTATGTGACAGTCAATAAATATAATTTAGATCAATGATATTTCATTAAACTTACATAGCCCGCTAGGGGGTAAACGGCCATCCCCTGCATCTTGTGGTCCCGGAGATAGGGTATCTCATCTAACCGGACGATGTTCCGCCACGTTGGCTCCAGATCGTTTGAGTAATTTGCCAATACTCCCAAAACATCGTTCCTGGCACGATCTCTAGCCGTATGTTTCTGCGATATACGGGCAACGTGCCAGTATCGAGTTCCATGTTGCCAAGGATAGCGAGGCAAGTTGGTCAAAAACCAACGGTTTGCAGCCCCAGTCTTGGGGAAATTCACTCCTGTCATATTGAGTGTAGCTCCTCGCACGTAGGCAGCAGCAGCAGTATCTAATACCGACTCGGCTGCGTCCACTTTACGAAGAATGGTTGGTGTATATCCAATCTTAGAGACGGTGGGACCCAAGCTCTTCAGAGTATCCATGATGGGCCCCTTCATTGTAGAGTGTGGACCAACTTCAACAAGGAGGTTGGGTCGGGTTTCATCCTCCGACACAATCTTGCTCAGAGCATCAGAGAACAACACCGGTGATGTCAGGTTATCAACCCAGTACTCTGGACCAAGTTCAGAAGGTTCCGCGAAGCGCCCAAAGACAGAAGAGAAAAACGAGGCCGTTGCCGATGGGAAGTGCTGAATAGTCTCAATCGCAGCCAAGTAAGCCTCGGCAACCTTCTTCATGTGGTTGGAATGGTAGGCGACGTCAATTTTCAATCTTCGGTTGAAAAGCTGCTTATCCTGGAGAACCTTTTCAAGCTCATCAATTGCGGACAGTTCTCCTGACACGGTCACGCTGGAAGGACTGTTCACACAAGCGATGGTAACATATCCAGAAAGGGTCTTCAAAATAGGCTGAATAGCCTCGCGACTGGCGCCGACAGCAATCATAGTCCCCTTGAGGGACGGGAACGAGGACTTGAGCAAGGTTGTCATTTGTCCACGCCAGTAAGCCAGAGCCATAGCTCCCTCTAGGCCATAAATCCCCACAGAGTATGCTGCACTGATTTCTCCAGAGCTGTGGCCAATAACTGAAGCTGGACGAATTCCCCAAGAGCCTAGGAGATTGACTAGTGCAATCTGAAGCGCTGTGCAGGCCGGTTGACTGAGATGAGGGGAGTCAATCTTTGAGGTGGTGTCATTCTTTTCCAACTCTTCGATAAGGGAGAACTCAGCGCCGAGTTCTCGTAGGTATTGATCGGCCCGTTTGATGGTCGACTCATAGATAGGGTATTCGTGCATAAGAGGAACACCCATCTGTGCCCATTGAGCTCCTTGGCCAGTGAAGACAAACGAAACTATTGGGGCGCCTAGAACCCGGGACGGATTGATCTTCAGTTGAGCAAGACGGATTCCAAGGTCGTCTAGCGAGGTAGCTGACACGCCAACACGATATGAGAGCTGGGACATCTTGTTGCCTAGAGTATAAGCAAAGTTGCCGAATAGTACTTTTTCAAAGACTTCAGGATGTTGTTCGAAGTAGATACCGAAGTCTTTAATCCGAGTGCGTAGAGACTCCTTGTCGTTGGCGGATATCAAGAATAGCTTGCGTTTGGGGTCCACTCCAACATCTTCAACAGCCTCATCTGGGGCTTTTGATGCTAGTGGCGCCTTTTCAAGAACGGCATGTGCGTTGGTTCCTCCAAACCCGTAGTTGGACACGCTAAGGTATTTCTTGCGAGAAGGCCAGGGCCGCGTCGTCGTTAAAACTTTCATATTCCACTCCCTCATCGGAATATTAGGGTTCGCTTTCTTGAACTCGGCGTTCGGAAGCATCAAATCTCTATCAAGCATCATGGCTGCTTTAATGACGGCAATTATACCACTAGCGCCCTCCAAGTGCCCAATGTTAGACTTAACTGATCCAATGTAAAGCGGGCTTCTGGGAGTTCGATTCTTTCCAAGTGCGGCGTGGACTGCTGCAGCTTCGACAGGATCACCGGCCTTTGTTCCCGTACCATGCATTTCTACAAACCCGCATTCGTCCGGGTTGATATTGGCCTCTTTATAGACTCGTCGGATTAGCTCTTCTTGAGCCTGACCATTTGGTAGTGTAATTCCCTGTGTTCGCCCATCTTGATTAACTCCTGAATGTACAATGACAGCTCGGACGGGATCCTTGTCGCGCAAGGCGGCGTCGAGGGGCTTCAGAATTACGACACCACAGCCCTCGCCTCGCGCAAAACCAGATGTAGCTCTCTCGTCGAAGGAGAATATTTTACCCTCATCATTGAACAGCCTATACAATTCCAGACAATCAGATGATATGGTATGGACCTTAGTTTAGAGGGACACAGAAGTACTTACTGTGACATAGACATAGAAACCCAAATATCTGGAACAAGGTTCAGGTGACAACCAGCAATGAGGGCTTCCGTGGACTCCCCGTTTCGCAGGCTCTGTACTGCATAATGGAGTGCAACAAGCGAAGAAGAACAAGCCGTGTCCACTGTGATACTGGGCCCTCGTAGATCGAAGAAATATGAGATACGGTTGGATTGTAGTGAGGCAGCACAGCCGGTAGCTTGGTACATGGGGATAGTCTCGATATCACGGACGTTATTGAGCTCATAATCAGAGAAATTTCCACCGGCAAAAACACCCACGTTCCGGCGGGCAAGACTCTCTTTGGGAATTCCAGCACTCTCCAAAGCTTCATACGCGCATTCCAGCAATAAGCGTTGTTGAGGGTCCATTGACGTGGCTTCTTGGACAGTGAGGTTGAAGAAGGGCGCATCAAAGCGTGCAATGTCTTCGTCGAGGAAGTAGCCCCCCTTTGGGTTGAAGCAACCCACCTTGGATGGGTTAGGGTGGTGTAGTGCTTCGACGGAGAAACGGTCTTCGGGTATGGGTGACCAGCCACTTCGAGCTCGGGTGCATAGTTCCCATAGGTCACCAGGAGATGTAACTTGCCCCGGCAACCGACAGGCGTACCCGATAATGGCGATAGGCTGTGGCGTGCCCTGATCGCCATGGGGCGCGCCTTCAGAATCAGCACCGTTCATGTTTGTGGGTGAAAAGTGCGGAAGGTGCAATCGTAGCGTGGGTCTGAAGGATTTTTGGGGATCACACAGGCATCGGGGAAAGACATCGGGAAAACCGACTGGCTGTGGTGGGTTATATAGTGTTGCAAATACCTCATGCTAGCTCTTCCGATGCGGGTCATTTTGGGGGTGTACAACTCAATGAAGCTGTCTCTGTTAGTATTGGGTGATCGGTGGTTATTCCCGAAGTGGTGACTGGGATTAAATGTTGTACCGTCCCACATTTCCACATTATTCGATATGTCAATTGTTTGTAGTTGGGAAGTTGATGCTCGGCGGAAATCCCATGCTTTTTTGTCTGCCAACGTCCACTTGTACAGCCCGAGCGGTAATTTACCTCCTAGTATCTTCAAATGTTGATTTTTATATTTGCTCCTTGCCTCTCCCTCATTTTTATTCAAATGTACAGGTTTAGATCATATATTCCCTCAGCCTCTTTATACAAGATGAGGTTCTTATGTCTTCACGGCGCCATTGGCAATATCGATGTACGTGATGGAAGACAATATGATGAACATCAATACTGACTTTTCTTATTGCAGAATATTAATATCCAGCTTGGTAAAATATCATTTGGGTTTGATTACTTAAAGTGAGGATTCACTGACAATATCGCAGGCCCGCTGGTGAAGCAGATGGCCATGGAGGGGTTCGCTTCATTCCACTATATCAACGGTCCTGTTCCTGTGTCTCCACCTACAGGTACGTTCCATCGTGCTCAAGCATAGAACCTAATGTTCTGATTTCCGTATGCCCCTAGGGTTCGCAGAGTATTTTGGCGTCGGGCCGCATTACCGGTGGTTGGAGGATGGAGGAGCAGCAGAGGACTCAATGATCTCCCGCGTTCGAAAATCCCCGCATGGTTCGTGTCCAGAAGATATGATGAGAACGTTGGGCAAGAACTGGGATGGTCATTGGAATAATCACCATGAAGTCATGGAATACCTCTATGATACGCTGGAGCAGAATCCCGATATCGAAGGCATCGTCGGATATAGTGAGGGTGCTACGATGGCTGCGAGTCTAATCTTGGATGAGGATAGAAAGGCCCAGGAGACTGGCCGCCCTCGTCGCATAAAATGTGCGATGTTTTTCACTGGCTGGCCTCCTCTCTCCCCTGAGGAGGACGTGGTCCTGGCAGATGAGAGCGACTATATTGTGGACATTCCGACGCTTCATGTGGTTGGTGCAGATGGTAATTTTGGTATATATTGCCCCCCCTTGAACTGACATACTCACTATGTACCTTCGACACAGACCCCTACCGATATGGCGCACTAGCCTTGTTCAATATCTGTGACCCTGATACCGCAGCGATGTTCGACACTGGACGGGGCCACACCATTCCTCGGTCCGGCCCAGTCATCACCGAGTTAGGAAATGCCGTGCGAGACTTAATTGACAGAGCGTATCAAGCGTAATCGAGGGGTCATGATTTATGGGAAGCACGAAGCCCGTTAAAGAATACACAAACTCGGACCCGAGGGGTTCCAGATTCTTAAAGACCATATGCCGCAGGGTAGTTAGATTGTGAAGTTTGACATATATAGTTATTTATCCAAAGGTTATCAGCGTTGCCTCTTACCCTCTTGATAGAGTGAAACCCAACATGAGTATCGCCCAATTGGGATGATGTGCTACCCACCAGCTGTTATTGTAGCTCCTCTGACGATAACCCTTTCTTCAAAACAGCTCATGTCGCAATTGGAAAGTTGCCTTCTATAATTTCACTCTCCCAAACCACTGGTATGGTTCCTCAGGTGTACTACTGTTCTCGAAGCTCTGGAAACTCTGGATTGATCGGCACTGCAGGTCAAAAAACCAGAGCTCCAATCTCCAGCCAAGATAATGAACCTAAAGTTTGGACGGGGATTAAGGTAAGCTATGACATGCCAAGGTCGTAGATCGCAAATCTCAAAAGGTCTGGCTGCATACTTTGACATTCAGTATCACTTATCTCACCATGCCCTAACCCAAATTGTACGAGAAAAGGCCAAGATGACTGCCATTCATATTATCGCCTACAATTAGAATTCGAAATAATGAGTCCCAATCACATATGAGCACCATATCAGACCGCGCCCTGGCCAGCCCCCGAAGGAACGGTACTACATACGCTCGGGGGGTTAATAAAGCGACGATCAGCAAAGTCGGGAATTTCCTCTTCGACACCCAAGTTATGAGAGAGAAACAACAAACGAAGAATTGAATTTGGCTTCAGATTCTACAACATGTATGACGCGATAGTGAAGATCATTTGGGCACTGTTAGCTGCCACCTTGATGTTAACCCAGACCCAAGCGCAGTCTGTGTCCGAGGATGATTGCGCGACGGGAGTTCATGCCATTATCGCCAGGGGGCAAGGTGGGGGCGATGATCTGAATGTGTTGAGCACTCTTTCAGACTTGATCCTGAAGCAGGTCCCCGGCTCGACAACTATCGGCTTACCTTACGATCACGAAAACGTTTTGAATGACACTGCCAAGCTTCACACGGTTCATGACGGTGCGGTTCTGATGCAGCAGTTCGTGCAGGAGTACGTCGAAAGCTGCCCCCAAACTAAAATCGTGGTAGTGGGGTATTCAATGGTGCGCCAATATCAACCCCATATGTGACATTCTGTCCTCGTGTTATGGCTATCAGTCACGGAGAATGCTAACACCTACTACTTAGGGGGCAGTTCTCCTGATGGATTCTCTGTGTGGAACCAGTGAGGTTGGATTTTGTTTCGTCGCTCCTCTTGCGCCATTCTACAACTCGATTAGTACGTGATTTCGAGTAAAACGTCAGAAAATACGAATCTGATCAAATACCTAGTCATAGCCGCAATTGTGTATGGCGATATAACATACGTTCCTGGCATGCCGTGGAATGTGGGTAATTGCACACTGGGTATAGGCGTGAGTACAACAAACTCCACATTCAAGTGCCGTATTATAATCTAAAGCGAATGGATCAGCTCCTTCCCCGTATGAACTCAGCCTTGTGTCGACCCTTTGCTAGCTTAATACGCAGCTATTGTGATTACGGTGATGCCCAATGCTGCTCGCCATACCCAGAAGACGGCAATGCCGCACACCACGGCTACGTATCAAAATACAACCAGGATGTCGTGGACTTCATCAAACAGCGTCTGGCAACGATTGGGCAGTAGTTGTGCCTGTTCGATAATGGAAACGGTGGATCAGAGGCAGAAGAGAAATACTGTCGATTGCAGGTGTTAACTATGATAAATACAGGACGGGCTGCTTTCCGGACTGTAGAGATGGCAATCAATATACTATCACATTTAAAAGCAGTGATAACTACCAAAGTACAAACGTACATGCGCAGTGAAGCCTGGTATCTCGGCGTATTTCTTGAGCCTGGGTTAGCCTAGCCGCTTGTCCGTCCAATCACAATCATAGTATGCCACTGGCAATACGCAGGTTGAAAATATATAAAACAGAGAATACTACCTCAGATCCTAAAAATTGGGTGGTATCAAGGACTGAAGTACGTGGACAATGCATTTTGCCCTAAGACATAATGCCACCTAGAATCCCCGTCTAGCTAGGGTGACAATAGCAAACTGACTCGAACTATCAAGTATCAGATTATTATTCTTCGCAAAATCTGAAGCTTTGGTGTCATATATCCATGGATGTCCTATGTGGATACTAAGATATAATGATTTCAGGCCTAAATTCCATACGGTTGCCCGCTTGGTCTGTTCTAAACTATCCTAATTCAAATCTACTTTGTTCCTCCTTTGTACAACATGTAGATCTCTAGTTTTTATGTAAGATGTTTCATAGGAATTTAACCTGCATCTAGTTCGATTCTGAAGCTTCTTTTGACTCGTATGTAATACCCATATATGATCCTAGTCTAGCAATCCCAACAATCAACAAACCATGGTCCCCTAGTCTTGATCTTGGCCTCGGTATTCATTTAACCTGGATTTCCGTATAAAAGGAGTTAGTCTATTTTAAAACTTGGTAAGAGGTAAGAGGGCCCTTGCTGCATAACATTTAATATATCACCCACGAGTTGAAATATATATTCAGATAACATGCGTGATTAGCATCTTGTTTACATGCAGATTCTGTAAGCAGCCTAGTGTAAAGAGCTTTTGGATCTAAAAAGGTCGTAAGTGGTCATAGTAGTCCTATATCACCGGAGTGTCCATGATGGCCCGATCTTCTGGTATGCAAGGTGCATGAACGATTCCGCCCTTGACCTGTGGAAGAAAGTGTGGTGTTGGTATACATTTCCGGTATTTCTATTGGCTATATATGGACATGAGTCTGTTAATAATCTTACCTAAGATTCCTCGCCACGTTGAAGCCGAAGACGTACACAAATACACCGCATCGAGGTATACAGATCAGCTAATCCCGTTTCGGCGATCCTCCTTTTTCTTTTTCCCTCTCCAACAACCCCAAGCCCCCTGCCTCTATGTTCTCTCTAGCTCGTCAATTCTCCGGAGTCCGCTCCAAGCCTCTCACCCTCAGCCAAAAAATCACACGATCGACCCAGGTACCCCACCGCCTGTACTCGAACCCTCCGAGATCTTCGCCGCCACGCGCACCCTCCGCCCCTCAATCCAGCCGCTCCAATTTCCCAATCATTCCCATCATCCTCATAACCGCCATCAGCTCCGGCGCCTACATCTACCTCGTCAAGTCCCGCACCGGCATCAACAAACGCCCAAACTAGCCTGAAGTAAGTACCGAAGGGCCTAGCCCGTACAAAGGGGGAAAAAAAAAGGCAAACTAACGTCCGTTTCAAGTCAAGTGTTGCCCCTCCACCGAGAAAGCCCCCACAAACAACCTCGACTCTAAACCCAATCCTAAACCCCTTTACCTTCACCTCACCTCCCTCACCAACAACAAACCAACAAACCACCCACAATGGCAACCCCCCGCTTCTCCACAAACGACGTGACAGTCGTCTTCTTCCTCGGCGGCCCAGGCAGCGGAAAGGGCACCCAATCCGCAAATCTCGTCAAAGACTACGGCTTCGTCCACCTCTCCGCCGGCGACCTCCTACGCGCCGAACAAGTCCGCGAAGGCAGCCAATACGGCGACCTGATCCGCGAATACATCCGCGAAGGCAAGATCGTTCCTATGGAAGTGACCGTTGCATTGCTGTCGAATGCCATGGCCGACTCGCTGGCTACCTCGCCGCCCCCTGCTGGCACCAAGGCCCGTTTCTTGGTTGACGGATTCCCGCGCAAGCTTGATCAGGCTGTTTTCTTCGAGGAGACTGTCTGCCCCTCCGAGCTTGTGTTGTTCCTTGATTGCCCCGAGGATGTTATGGAGTCTAGATTGTTGAAGCGTGGTGAGACTAGTGGTCGTGATGATGATAATGCTGCTTCTATTCGCAAGCGTTTCCACACTTTTGTTGAGACTTCTATGCCTGTTGTTGAGGATTTCGAGAAGAAGGGTAAGGTTGTTTCGGTTAAGGCTGATAGCTCGGTTGAGCAGGTCTATGAGCAGGTCAAGGCGGGTATTGAGGCTCGTGGTTTGCACCAGCGTTAAGCGGGTTGTATTTGTATCGATGTACATAGAATAGAGTTGGGGTTAAATTTTAAGGGGGAGAGTTGTTTTGATTTCCTTACTCCAATTGAACATAGAGTATACAAGAATTTGTGCATTTTTAACCTTGAGCCTCTTAGATGGATGCTTGGCCCTTGAAACTAATGGCACTGCTGTTGTCAGTCAACTATCAACTATGGATATGAACCAAGACCAGTCTAAAGAAATATAATATTCTTCAAGCCAGGGTAAAAAAAAGAACAAAAGAAAGGTCATCCCTCCGGAAAACATAAACAAGACTAAGATTGACATGACATGACTCGTGGGGTCCCAAATATCCAACGGGGCCAGTAAAAGTCCAACCCTACAATTGGCAAGGGAAAAAGAAATGCATGAGGAAAAAAGACAACGAAATTTCCCCTCTATTAACTGAAAGATTTTTGTGTTCTGTGAGCTTTTTTCCATTCATAAAAAAAAGTACACATCTGTTCCATAGAGCGTCATATTTATTCGGCAGTAGCCTCAACCTCACGCGGCTGCGCGGGTTGGATGCGTCGGCGATCGCCGTTACCGTTGCGGTTAGCGTTGGCTTCTTGGTCAGCCGCGGCCTGGATACCCTCGCGGGCGAAACGCTCACGCTCGGAGCGGATGACACTCAGAACGCTCTCGAGGGAGCGGCGCCAGACCATCAGGCGGCCTTGGACCTCGGACCACTGCTTCTCACCGAAGACACGGTAGGTGGCGCGGTGAACGAGGAACTCGGACTTCAGCTGGGACAGGCGGCCCTCGACGAGACCGGCACGGATGGTGTCAATAACCCACATCTCAACCTCGGAGGCGGGGACGCGCAGGGCAGAGGCGATAGTGGCGTAGGGGAGCGAGCGCGAAGGGGTGGAGGATGCCAGCGAGGTGAGGGTGAGGAGACGCATCTTGGTCTGCAGGGCATCGGCGTAATCAGCGAGGACACCGCCAGAGATGGAAGCGAGCGGGGTGGCCGCAACGAAGGTCTCGTAAGCATCGAGGGTGTCCGAGGTGAAGAGCTCGAGCAGCTCGAATAGAGTGCTGTCGCTGGAGCGCAGGGCCTGCACGGCGTCTGATGCGGTCAGGGGAGTGAAGTCGAAGACGTTGGAGCGACGCAGAGCGCTAGCGAGTGCGCGCACAGCCAACTCGCGGGCTTCGGGCTTGCTGACGTCGGCAGCGTCGATGGTCTCGAGCGCTTGCACGATGTGAGTCTGGGCCAAATCCTCATCACCGGCAGCGGTGGCGGCCTCGGCAATGGCGACGTGCAACTTGCGGGTGTCATCGCGCTCCAACTCCCACGCGGAGAGCCATGTGGGGAGCTGGGAAGAAAGCTGGGGCTTGAGGGCTTCGAAGGCAATTCCAGATCCGGACTGGCGGATCACGGCCACAACAGCGAGCAAAACGTGGTACCGGCTCGAATCGTTGGAAGAGAGAGTGTTGAAAATGGTGGTGAGAATAGAGATAGCGAGAGTAGGGCCGAACTGGGGCGAGGTGGTGATGGGCTTAGCGAGATAGGTGCAGATGCGAGGAAGGAACACGTCGGCATCGGAAGACTGGTGAACGAGGTGAACCAGGAGATTGTAGGCGGAGGTGATCTCTGCATTTTTGTAAATCTAGGTTAGTTTTTGTCCATCAAAGATCCAAGTGCCAGATTCCGATTATCTGCAGATCATTCAACACTCCCACTTACCCTTCTCGGGGGCACTGTTCAAAGCGGTAGCAGAGGAGACGAGCTTCTTCAGGACTTCATCGCGCTGCTTAAGGTCGGCCTCGCCTTCAGACTGTTCCTGCTGGCGGAGAGGTTCGAGGAGCGGGGCGATCTCGGACTGGAGGCTACCCTCTTTGCGGAGGGCATCGATGTACTGGGCGAACTCGTCGGCGAGCTCGGTGAAAGAACCCTCAATGAGGAGGGTATTGGTAGGGGCGGGCATGATGTTGGTGGGAAAAGGAGAGGAAGAGAGAACGTGAAGTTCTTGATGGTGGAGTCTATCGATAAGTTGAGAAATTTCAGTGTGTGCCAAAAAAGTCTTGGCGAAAGGAACACCACAGTTGAAACATCTCGACTGATCTTTGTTATTTTTTTCAAGTCTTTCACTTGATTTCGAATCTTTTATTGCGGTGAAATATTTAATATTTATGCTACAATATTTACTACACTGATCTTTTCTGTTCAATGGGTTGCCAATAATTGGTAATATTACTTTTAATCGAATAATGCGCGAAATCGTCACCTGCGCAGATAGAAAAGGAACTCCCACCCATAACAAAACAAGAAAGGACAGGCGCCACGTTCATAGACATGTGGACAATCGGGGGAATCGAATGCCTTGAAACAATAAAGCAAAATGGCATCGCGATGAGCTAAGGGAATAAAAAGAGGACGCTATGCGACCCAACCATCAAGGGGTAATTAACTGCCCAAAGACTTCAGAACATCTTTCCTTTACAGGACCATGCGAGCAGCAAGGAACATGAGGCCAGCCATCAGACCAGTGGAGTACTGAGTCAGATCACCAAGAGCGACAGCGGCGTTGGTGGTAGTGCTGGCAGGAGCCACAGACGAAGTTTCGGAGCTGGAAGACTCGGTCGCAGTAGCCATGGCCACAGTGCTGGAAGCCATGGTGGAAGAAGAAGAAGCGGTGGTGGTGGTCTCACTGGCATTCTTGGAGCCACAGACGGCGGCCTTCTTGCAGGCGCGCTGACCCTCAGCATCATCGGGGTGCGCGTCAATGCACTGGCCGTAAGTGGACTGGCAGACGTAGAAAGGAACAGTCTGCAGGTAGGGGGTCACGTCGGGGATGGAACCATCGCTGCAGACACAGGTGAACTGCAGAGTGGACTATTGAAACCGTTAATCTCCTGGGCGCACAGACACGATACATAGTAACATACAGCGTCGCATGAGTTGAGCTTGGTGCCTTTCTGGCAAATATCGGGGCAAGTGTTGCGCTGGGCAGAACACCAGGTGCCTATATCTTAATTAGCACTTTGTCATGGTCAGCACGGCCAGGGTACATACTCGGTTCACCGGGCTTGACCAAGCCAATATTGAAGCCGGCGGGGAGGGTGTAGGCAGAGTCAGTGGAATTGGCGCCCATGACGGCAGTAGCCAGGGTCGAGATTAAGATAATTGAAGAACGCATGATGGATAGAGATGTGTAGAGAGATGTGAAGTGGGAAGAGAGAGAGAAGAGTGAGAAAAGAATGGGCAGGTGCTTAGGTACTTGTATCCAAGGTTTCAAGGGTTCCAAGGTATCAAAGGGTTTATGGGAAAGAACAGGGCCGACTATTATTATTTGCCAGGGTAACCCCCCTATTGGCATACCAGGTGGAGAGTTATATCACTAGTGTCATTGTTTTATTTTCTTACCATTGGAATAATTTTTTTCTCAGAGTTGCACAGGCCTTGTTTTCCTAATTTGCTATACGCCTGACCTAAAAGGGCCTGCAAAAAGATACCAGGCTAAATTGGAGGGTCCTTGGCTGCGTGTAACTAGGCCTAGTCAGGCCAAGTTAGCCCCTGCCGATTGAATCCGTACGAATCACAGGCCTCCGACGGAGATTGTTGAGTACACAGTGTTACCAGGAACCCTGAGATAAGTCGCTTATGGTTCTGTTTACTCTGGACATTCTTGCCCGAATTCCCAGATCTCCCCATCACCGTGTCCCTTACGGTTAACTACCGGTTACATGCCAGGGGTGAGACAATCCATGTCTGTGCTCGAGAACGGTATGATTGGTTCTTTAGTTCAAGGAAGCACATGGGATTATCTACTTTAAAGCATCCAAGGTTTTGATGTTCGCTCCACCGCAAATCACAAATTGCAAATCCATTGGACCGTGCAAAATGATTCGATCCAATATATGCACGTGACTGTTTATCATGACCTAATCGGTATACCCGGAGCCGAGGTTAAATTATGTTAACCGTTGGCGCCCTAATATACTACTGAAACTGCTGAAACAGGCCCTTTATCTACTTCTGGCTTATCACAATTGCGCCCAATATAACCCCCCCCCCAACAGCCCCAAAAAAACAAGAAATGGCAGACCCGGCCCCGGCAATCGCGCACCTCCGCACCAACTCGTGGGCAAACAACCTCATCTGCTCGGCCGACTATACACCGATCCAAACCGACTCACGGCGCATAAAGCCCACAACCGGCGAAGATGGCTACTTTGCACAAACCCTCAACACACCCACCACAATCCCTCACTGCCTAACCCTACAACGGCGCAATCTCACACCCGCGCCCGCTGAAGCCCCCACCTGGCTCCCCACAACAAAACAAGATGCATCTGTCAAGCCCACCCCGGGCATAAACCCAGCGGACATCATTATGATCTTCGATCTCAGCAGCCCCGGCCTGTCTGGCCACCCGTCCACCGTGCACGGAGGCATTGTCGCGACACTGATTGACGAGGCCATGTCCCTCGCTGTCGCGGCGCATACCAATGCACCCACTGCCCTCAGTACGGCTGACGATAACCCGCGCGGGAAGATCTTTACCGTGCAACTTGATGTCAGATATAAGAAGCGCGTGGCTACACCTGCTTTGCTGGTTATCAAGGCGCGAGTTGTTGGCAGGGTCGGGAAGAAATTCTGGGTCCGGGCGCAGGCGTTGCAGGAAAATGAGGAGGGTGCTAAGAGCAAGGTTGTCAAGGCTGATGCTATGGCCTTTTGGCTTGTGACGTCCGACTCGAAGTTGTGAGCGTCATCCTTCTGTTCTTCTCAGGCTCAAAGCTCGAAGCATACATTAGGGAATCGATTTCCCGATGTACATATAGGGATTTTGATCCCGTACATATAACACCCGATCTTGCACATACAGAACCAGCTAGGTCATACATAGAGCATAGAACTAGGCCTGAATTGGACACCCGGAATCTATTTCAAATGTATATGCATCTATAAAACAACCATCTACAACTTCTCCATCTTCCTAGTCCCAATGTTCCGACTAGCACTAACAATCAACCCAATCTGCGTACTCAACGCAATAACATCCCCAGCCTCATCAACAATCGTAACCTCCAGATCCGTCCTTCCATCCCTAACAGCCTTAGTAACAACCCGACTATACAGCCACTCCACCCCCTCAGCAGGAAGATGTTTCTTCATATCCACATTAAGCGTAACAGTAGGATACCAAGACTTGGCCTTCTGCCCAGCAACCGAAGACCCACTCTCCTTCGCCTCAGCAGCAGCGATGGTATCAAATCCATCCAACGCCATGGGAAACGTATCAATCAGGTAAGGCACCGCAGCATCCGTCCAGCGACCATTAACATCCCCCCCAGGCCGGAACCTAGTCCACTGATCGATATTCAAATTCCCAGAGCGCTTCTGCTGTACCTCACCAGTACCAGGACCAAACAGCTCAATATGCGTCCCAGCCTTACGGAACTCTGCGAAGGGCGCCACAATCTTCGTCCAAGCACCATCAATGCCTGTCCGGCCCAGCGCCGCCAGATCAACAGAGCCGTCTGCACGCGAACCTGCCACTGGAGCTGGGAGAGGCCTCCACCCCGTGTTCACGCTAATGCCGACCTCGGCCTCTGGCGGGCTGACGGTGATATAGCCAGCGAGCATGAGGTCTAGCTGGCCGGGGTTCTTGTCCGAGGTTTGCAGCAGCTTGATGTGGATTGTGCTTGTCCGACGGCCGATCTTGACATCTTCCACTTCGAAGGTTACGGGGCCTGAGGCTGTGCGGCGTAGGAAGGAAAGTTGGATGGAAATCGGGGATGCGGGGCTTTTGTATTGCTTTGGGTGGGCATGCGCAAAGTGCGTTAGGGCTAGTTGGTAGATTACGGCTGTTGTGTAGCCGCCGTGCGGGACTGGAGCGTTGTTAGTTTTTGTCAATGGGAGGTGAGGGTTATATGGGTTTGTAGTACCGGTTCCAATACACCATTCTGGTCGGAGGAAGGCGCTGTATTTGTTGGAGCCTTGTGGAGTGACCTTGATGGCCTCTTGGAAGGATGGATTGACGGACATGACTGTGGTGAGGTTTGATATATACAGGGTTTAGAATGGAAGAGGTCTAAACAACATCATTTATATAGTCTGATATACAAACCTCCCCCATACATCGGTGGACCTCGGCGTTTTCCCCAGACCTCGGACGGCCCTGGAACCGAGATGAGTCAGCTCATTAGCCCCGGGGAATATGGCCCCGGAGGTTTTTCCAAAAAAAATACCCAGCAAGGTCATATCCAGGGCCAGAGGGATTTGTGATGTAAGAGGGCTGTGGGAACCAGAAAAGATCGAAGTGAGAAGGTCCCTCTGATATAGATGATAGGTCCATCGGGAAATAATGAGAAGATATTCATAGATTGCGCTCGGTGATATTACTCGGCAGAGCTTGGCAGCTCGCGTAGCAGGTAAAGGGGGTCTGTCTGTGGAGTAATCAAATTCTTTAATATCTAGAATACGAAAACGAGGCTAAATTCGATGATGAGCCTGTTTGCTGTATAAAAACATCTGACCCCCCTCCTGCAGTGTATCTGCAAGAAGACTAAGATGGATCACCATATCACAGGTATTGCATCTCAACACTCTCCACCGCTATCACTTCAGATCATTAACGAAAGCAAATAGGAAGATCGTCTGGTTATGTTGACCCCAACTTTCCAAACCCAGGCGGCGAAAGAGATACCCCCGTGATTATTTATGGCTACACGCCTTCCATCGCTCTAGCTGCTTTCGCAGCCGCATGGTTTTTTCTTCACTTCGTCTACCACACGACGCAAGCCATCAAGATCCGCAGTTGGTGGTGGTTGACCTTTTCCGCTGGTCTGATCTTCGAAGTGATAGGATACATTGCACGATCCCTCTCCGCCAAAAAGGATCCTTACCACCTCATCTACTTCATCCTCAACTACTTCTTCATCGTTGTGGCACCTGTATTGCTCGCCGCTGGTATCTACACCATTCTATCAGCCCTGATCCCACGAGTAGGGAGCAAGTATTCAATCCTACCACCAAAGATCATTCTGGCATTCTTCATTACTTCAGATGTCATCTCAACAATCGTCCAAGTCGCCGGTGCGTGCCTCATCGGCATTAAAGAGTCGCGTCGGCAAGATCCCACGACGGCGAATAATATCCTCCTGGGCGGCCTTGCGTACCAGGTCTTTGTCATGACTATCTTCGTCATTGTGGCTGCGAGTTTCCAGTTTCGAGCAAGACATGCTATCAGAGCAAATGGGCTGAGGATCTTCTGCTTGGCTTTCTCCGTTTCGACTATTATGGTTTACCTGAGAACTATATTCCGGCTTGCGGAAACTGGTCAAGGTCTTATGGGAGAGTTGCAAACCAATGAGGTGTATTTTGCGTGTCTTGAATTCGCGCCTATTGCGATAGTGGCTCTTCTCTTTGCCATTTGGTATCCTGGCCGCTGCGTAGGCGTATCGGTGCGGGTTGATGATAAACCATAGCTTTTGACATTGAAGCAAATATAATGTTTTTTGGTCTTGAACTGAATGAGTCGCATCTATATTCATCCTAAATGAGTACATGTCAAGGCCGAAATAGGAAAGCGCTACCCGTATGTTTGGTACCTGCCTAAATAAGCAGCAACCTTTCCAGACGAGGCAGAAATTTCCCCCCAGAACTCACTTCCGACTTCATCTCCTCTTCCCTTCATCAAATTCATCACATCCTGTCTTCTCTGCAAGTATGAACAGCACTCAACAATGCATCCTACCTAGGCATTCACCTACACCATTTGACAACAACCACAATCTTGGAACAACCCAACGGGAAGGACCAAGGCCAACGTTTTGACCACCCCGTGAACAACACGAAGCTACGGCGTGACATATTGAACAACCACTACTGTTCATCGCTATGATACCGGAAAGTAGGAAACGCCAATCCAAAAAAAGGCCGGACAAATCGAATTCCTTTACGCCTTATGCCAATACTACGGTGTCTACACCCCAGACCAAAAGATCAAATCTCCCCTTCTGCTCTTTTCCTATGGCAGCGTGCCTAATCGCGTTATGTAAGAGGTCCTCACAACAAGTCATAGCCACCCGCATGTCATCTCACTCTCAAACCTACCTGGATCATGCTTGTGATGGACAAGAACATCCCATCTCAGCTTAACACTATCTCTCAACACGTACGAAAAGCCCTGCTTATTGCCGAACATAGCAAAGGGGCTACAGAATGAGTGGGAGGATTCTCAGCGTCCGAATGGCGTGATCTCCCTTGTCCAAGTCTCAGCTATGAATCCTATGATGGAAATGGAATCAACCATGAGGACATACTTCATGCTAGATGCTGCTGAGCCAGAATCATCTGGGCCCTAGGTGATTTCCGGTGCACAACACACCTTGTGATTCTTTCGGTCATAGGTGTAGGCGCATTCGTTCAATAGCGCGTCTAGACACTGTCCGAAATTGACTTGGAGACTGGATAGCGGAAATTCCCGTGGGGGTGTCGAGGCCTAGTCAGAACCCTAGCAATCGTCCTGCCACCATGGAAGGAAACTTGCCCTATTATAGCGCTGCTGCCTATCAGGCTCATATTGAGGCAATGGAAATCAACTACAGCCTCCGATACTGTAGCCCAACCAACCCGTGGCATGGGTGGGAGCATGAGAAAATCCTTCATTGTCCCTTGGTCAGTCTGTGGGGTCATCTAGAGCCTGGTCGACCTTCTGGCGTTGCTGATGGGGGCTCAGTGACATCCTTTATGATGTAGTGAGCCCTGAGAAAGCCAACGCTACCACGCATCCTATGTGGAGTAGCTTTTTCTTCAAAGAGATTTCCTCGAAGTTCTGTTTGACATGCTTAATCGGCGAGAAAATCGTGAGCCTATTTTGCATTACCGATACAAGCAAAGCCTCGATCCTCACACAGTGCTTCGAATACAGTCCTGCGGAAAAGCATACTGCGAAACACTGTCAACCGGAATTTCAATACATTCAATCAACGGACCCATAGACATCTATGCTACCACTGGCCCCTGTAGATACGTCTCAACCCTCCAGCAGTGCTTCACATATGATCAAAATGTCCCACCTACCTAAAACCCCTCAACAGTCAAGCGCAAGACTGAGAGTGTTGAAGCTGTGAGGTACAGGCCAAAGGCGAGGCCTTTTGGAACAAGAGGGTCGTCTGCGAGGGTGGCCACAATCCTTGAGACCCATCAAGTCCCGACGCCTCCTCCGGGAGTTGGAGGATGCATAAGGCGACATAAGCATCGACAAACACACTCACCGAACGGATCTATTTCGAAGCATCGATTTTCCAAATCCCGAGCCAAACGCATTCAAAAGAGGATATCAACGACATCCATTGTGAGATCAGATCCACACCGACTCCAACCAGCATAGCCTGCCTGCCTTCGGGTTCGCTTTTCCGTGGGTAGTAAAAGCTACCCTCGGGGACCAACGAGGCCTTCCTGGTCTTCGAGACTACGGAGCCAGTAAAATTTCAACTGGCACATCCCCTAGCAGCGCTTCAGTACAAATGGGATACCACCCATGCTTCGTGATGCGATGATCGCACATGATGATCGCACAAAGTAAATAAAAGGAGCGATTACCGCGTCTGCTTTTCTTATCTAAGCTCCTCATGGTACTATACGACAATCAATCTCGAGTCTTTTCTTGGTTTTCTGAAGCATGGATGGACGCAGGAGAGCATACCCTTCGTCCAGGTGAGATGAGATCGGGCCAAATCATGCCCGCAAGTGGGTATTGAAACAGACCCGCTTGGGAAAAGAAAAAGAGGCATACCTGTTTTGGTCCACGGGTTGATCCATGGATGCATCGTTGACATCCAGCTTCTAAGAAACTACATTTTCAAAATGATTTCCTCTTCTCTTTGGCACCATAGGCCTTTTTACTTTAGATCACCAAAATGTTGGAGATGTAGTTATTCATAAGGAACCACTAGGAAATTTTCCAGATGTTCAAGTAATATTTTTTTTCTTTTCTATCCTTTAACCCGAAATTGTAAAAGAATTAAGATGCTTGGAATGCAAGTATGTCTTCCTGTAGAGCTTCCATGTATGTACCATCTCGACTTAATTAAGAATGTGCCGTAATAGATGTGTCTGTTAAAGAGAAAAAAAAACTCCGGTCCGTTTTGATGTCTTCATGTATTCGTCTTCGCATGTTCATATCCTGGAAATTTGAAATTAAATTGCTCACTAGATCACTCTCGCGATGGCAATTTAGCTTGGCCCGGGTGTGCTCCCAAGTGGTACAGACGCTGCCAATTGTTGCAGACAAGAAAGAACGCCTATAGAAAATTAGTCAACTAAAATAATGTATGATATCATCCAAAACTTACCAGTAACTCCCTGTGTCAGGGTGGCTTTAGCCTCCGTGCTACGCGAGCCCAATGTGACTGTCATGGCATAATTGATAGCCTTCGCGCTCTGCAGCTTATTAGCCCACCGGAAGACCGGCTCGTCTTCACGGTTATCGCCGACAACCAGCAAGAAATCAGGCTTTAGGACATTTTCATTTTTGTTTGCATGTGCCATGGCCCATTTCCAGACCCTTTCGGCCGCGGATGCCTTATTGGTGTGGATTGTTTCCACGATCAAAGCACCCTCGACGGGAATCGCATGTACGCCCAAGTTGGCACACGCGTCGTTAATATTGCCCGCACATTCAGCAGCAGATCGAGCGGCGACATGGCGGTCTTCGGCGGATCCGTGGTGGAAGACTAGTGAGCAATGGCGCTCTTCGATCCAGCTACCCTCAACACGAGCTTGGAAGTATGCTAGGATATTAGACACAGATGCCTTCCATGTTCTGACATGCATCTTGTCTGCAAGGTGGGTCCAGGATTCGGCGTTCGGCTCGCGCACGAAGGAACCGTTCTCGGCAATCAGACCAAGATTGTTCACTTGTCGGAATAGTCGTTCCATTTCCTCTGGCATGCGCGCACTCATTACGTAGACAACGTTGGCGGGGTCTTCGGTTAAGTCGTTGAGAGTTGTGATGGCGCGCTGCGGCGTGGTTAGAATGATGCTGCGCGGTGATCCCCATGAGGCTAGAGTGTCTTCGTAATCGATGATCATGAGCCGTTGCTTGGAATTGCGATACCGCTCGGTGAGTCGGGATACGGATAGTCGGGGCACGGCCATGATTTCTCGTGAAGATTGCTCGTTCCAGACACGGGTGAGTGTTTCGCTGAACGATTTCACCCAGTTGGCAGTGGAATTTTTCAGGACTGCACGGAGTAGTTCCTCCCAAACCTGCTTTCGTGTCTCCTCGTCCCGAGTCAGTGCTGTGTGAATTGCTTCGCAACATTGGCGATAATCCCAAGGGTTGACCAAAAGAGCATGGTTTCCAAAAACAGATGCGCTGCCGGTGAACTCGCTAAGAATTAATGACCCGTAGGCTTTGTCGCCGCATCGACCATCCTGGCAGTAGACAAACTCATGACTAGTCAAATTCATTCCCTCGCGTAAGCTGGTGATCATCAGGGCATCTGCCACTGTGATGAGAGCAAGGTACTGCGGGAAGGCTAAGTCTTGTTTGAGGAACACCAAAGGTTGATGAGCGAGGGTCGAGTGTGTGGAGTTAATCCGCATGGCAATATCAGAGAGAGTAGCTTCCAGCTCTGGTTGTTCCGTTGTGCTGGTTGCCACTTGAATCAACACAACTTTATCAGCCCATTCTGGGTAGGTGTTGAGGAAAAGCTCGTAGCTAAGAAGTTTTTGGCGAATACCACGAACGGAATCAATTTTATCGCGCGAGACGATGAGACGCTTCCCTTGATAGCGCTCCGAGATTGTCTCAACCCATCGCTCCACGTCCGTTGCCTGGCGGCGCTTATCCCAAGAAGTTGGGTCGATGCCGATGGGGAACGTGCCGACGTTGACGAAACCGTCTTCCAACTGGATTCCTTCAGGTGTTGCTTCCACACACAGGATCCGACTGCATGTCTGCAGGAAGTGCCGGCAGTATTCGTCCGTCTGGAAACCAATAAGGTTCGCACCAAGAATGCCCTGGAGAAGCTCCTTGCGCGGTGCCAAGCACTTGAAGACCTCCGACGAGGGGAAAGCAATATGCAGGAAAAAGCCAATTTGTGCATCTGGCACCAGTTTGCGAAGCATAGCTGGAACCAGTAACAGATGATAATCTTGGACCCAGATCGAATCACCGCGCTTCCAATGCTTCGCGATGCGGTCTGCAAAAGCCTGGTTCAACTTGACATAGTAGATCCAGGAGTGGTCCTCGTAAGCTTTGCTCTTCGGGTTATCCGGAATCTGATAATGAAATACCGGCCAAAGAATGGTTTTGCAAAAATGCGTGTAATGCCCGTCAAAGTCACAGTCATTTACAAACACGGTCAAAGACCCATACTCATCTTCTAATTTCTCCGCGATGTCTCGGCGGGTGTGACTTGCCAAGACGTCAGTGGGCATACCCAAGGTGCCCACCCACATCATGCTATCCAAAACCCCGGCGTCTGTTGCGGATCTCACTGCATTGCGTAGGCCACCATTTCCTTGTTCCGCGGTCTCAATGGTCCATTCGGCTTTCGAAAATGACAATTTTCGGCTCGCCGTGCTCCCCTTTCTTAGTCTCACATAGGGAGCAATAGTTTCGGCTGTAGGAGGCCGCTGCGCCACAGGTTGCTTAACGGGGCGAGGTTCTTGATGTTTGAGAATGGATGGAGATGGCGACACGACTGGCAATGGCTTTGGTTGGTTGAACGACGTTGTGGCACCCCATATCGGGGAATGACCCTCACTCTCCGTGAGAAGCCGGTTATCCTGGTCGGTAGCCAAAGGGAACGGGTACCCGTTTTTCTCTTGCTCTACCTTGCCTATGTGGGAAGCAAAGATGCGCTCATGATCCGTTGTAGCCCCTGGTGTAAGACCCGGCGTTTTCCCTGGAACGGGCTTCTCGAACAAGCTAGCCGTGGCCTTGGGGATGGGTGTGATCCCATCGATGGTGGGGTTTGCGGATGGAGGAGGGCTTAGAGTAGGGGGAGAGCGGGTGCGCGAGTTGTTGATCTGGAAGTTGACAGTATGAGGCAAGAATCTACAGTAATTCATCAGTTAGCCAAATATAGTTTTCAAGGTCGAGGAATAGCCACGTACAGAGACGCTATGAAGACAGTCATGTTGATTGGTGCCCGGCCTAAGTGGATAGGCAGAAGAATATCAAAACACAATGCGAGAGAGAGAAAGGCAGAGAGAGACGTTCCAACCTGTAGCAATAAGTAAATATATGCGACGAGAAACGAGCGGCTAGAGATCTAAGGCCAAGCTGAAAGAAAAAAAAGGTTAGTTACACGATTACGATGTGTTTCTCATGACTACGTCATGTGAAAGTCCACAGGGTGCCAAGTAGTGGAGAAGCAGGTTTGGCAGTGGGTATGGCAAGACAAATAAGAATGAATAGACAGATCTAGATGCTGCATTCAGAGAGATGACATGAAGATATAACTTGGAAGGTTTTCCAACTAAAAAAGATATTAGGCGGAACCAAAACGCCAGGCTTATCCATCGCCTGACAGGTCTTTACCGTCTTGTACCGGGTTTACCCCACCTAAGAGTCAGCTGGGGTTGTTCCTGTACGGCATTACCGTATTGTATGTAAAGAACTATAGCAGGTCGTCTGTGATTGGCGGAATATCTGCAAATATGTCACCTGACATGCGGTATTATTTCTCCCCTTCCGTTCTGATGTTGGAAGTTCATCCACTCATGCCATGACCTTGCGTCTTACCTCCGCTCCGGTGTCTGGTGTTAAGAAACGCAAAGCCCCTGCTCCCAAACCCCGCGCCTCGCCCTTTGCTGCCCATGCGCGCCGCAAACCTACATCTGGCGGGGGTCTGAAACCCACTGCAAATCTAGGTTTTGATGATCCGCTTCCAGACGTAGGCGGGTCTCATTTCATATCGGAGACTGCCCCGGTTCGGAATGTGCTGCAGGCTATCCAATATATCCGCGATGGCATGTTCGAAGAACTTCCAGCACGGGCGGGAATGAACAGCACACGCATCGCAGAAGTCCTCAATCTACGCCGGTCTTTGCCCCCACTAGCCTCCGTGGCCCATGTACATACCATTTTGGAGGCACCAACACGGGTAGAAAGGGAAATCGTCGAACAGATTCAGACAGGTCGGATTCGGCGACTCATTATACCGGGTCGAGGCAATGATGCGGCAGGGCTGGGCGATTGTTTGGTGCTATCAGAGGATTGGGACAAGCTGGTACAGGAAAGCCCTGCATTGGAGCAACCAGTCAAGGGTGAGTTTCCGAGTCAGGGATACTTTGAGGGTCATGGACTGACGAGTTTTCAGAGAAATTCCTTGATATTCTAAAGCGTATGGGGACTTCCTCGGCGATATCGCAGGGGGTCTTCACGACGGATGAGTACAGGGCCTTGCTCCGTGCTGGCTTTATTGTCTCATCGTCATCTTACACACAGGGCACATTAAGTATTGCATCACTTCCTAATCTACCTCAAATGGCGACTTTATCAGCAAGTCGAAGCGAGTCTGTCTCGCACTCCGAGCGCTCCGTGCAGTCAGCTGCCCAGGCTCGTGCTGCAACTTTGTTCTTGTCTCTCCCTAATACGGGAACATATCTCCGCTTGTTAGGATCAGGTCGTGCACATCTGCTCGCTCTTCTCAGGCGGTCTGCTTCTGGCGAAGCCCCTCTGGGTCTCATGAAAGATCGATGGGATGGGGCTGTTGAGACTAACAAGAGCTACGATGTAGCCAAGCGAGCCCGTGGCGAGTTTGCAGGAATCTTGCCGGGTAAGACTAGGAAATGGAAAGAGCTATTCGGGATGCGCTTTCGATGGGTGCTAGAGGAAGCACTAGGCGCGGGACTAGTGGAGATGTTTGAGACTGGCAGCGTTGGACCTGGGATCCGCTGTCTATAGTCTATATCCCTACCTAAACTGGTAATCCGGTACTAAATAAATCTATAAGATCATACACTTTTATAACTTGATAATGTGATCATGAAGTCTAGAAGATAGTTATGTTCATGAAATCGTCTTAAAGAAGCAACCTTCAAATTCTCACATAATCTCGCCCCGAGCAAACAAATAAGAAAGACATCTCGTCAACATTTAATTTGCTGAACTCTCGCATTTCCTTTTTACCCTCCACCTCTCTGCATCTACATATCTACTTTCTTCATCGCCAAGCCTTCATCCCTCCATCATGCCGCTAATCCAACTAGAACCACATCTGTTCACCAGCCTCCCTCGTCACCCAGATCTTCCAGGGGGCGCCAATACCCCGGATCTGCGGGGGTTTATCCAAGCCGTCCTGCTTGAAGCTCAGCCTCTTCTAAACCAGTTCCCGTCGACATTGAAACCAGACTGCAAGCTACGCTCATCTCCACCATCAAAGGCAAAAGTGAAACTTTCACGGGGATGGCGAACCCTCCAAGCCCCCCAGGGCTCAAAACCCAAAATGGAATTCTGGGTATGTCGCCAAAGCGACCACCAAGACTCTAATCGTTTGCCTGGAACAGTTTCCCTATGGGAATTCCACGACGGGTTGCGATACAACCATGCCGAGCACGAGATGGAGTACACGCCCAGCGTAACGAGCGTAAAGCAACTTCTGAAATGGAATGAGCCGAGACAGTGGGATTCCAACGAACCAATTACTGCTGGAAACATGAGCTACAAGCATTTCGAGGTCGAACGTAAGTATAAAAGTCCCCGGACACAGCTATCGCACAAGGACAGCACACTAATATCTAGCCTAGTCAATCTTATTGTCCACACTTTCCATCCACGGGCACTCATCCGGCCCCGGGCCTTCATATCTTGGACTGTGTCGGCGACCTTCGCTAGCTCGTACCAAGCAACCCGGGTCAACCCAGACTACGGCTTTATTACGGTGCAGATTCCCTTCTATTTGACTAAACCGATCATCCCGGGATCCCAGTACGAGGGAATCTACGCTCAGATCATGGACGCCGTCCCGCAGCGGGTTGTCTTCGCTTACTATGCCAGTGTCGAGCGGGTTGAGCTTCTACCGCCTCCTCCTACACCAGTCTCTTCGGATGTGTCGTCTTCGGCGAATTTGAACACCCCTGCTACTACTGCATCTCCTGAGCGATATCTTCGATGGATTATGGCGACGACTTCTGAGGCTGGTGGGAAGATTCCTAAGTGTGTCCAGCGGAACTGGACGCTGGGTGGAGTGCCGCGGGCTGTTGTTGGTGATGTTGGATTGTTTATTCGGTGGGTTGTCAAGCGCAGGGAAGAAAGAAGAATGGAGCAGGATTCTCAAATGGGGGAGGGCTAATATGTTGTTGGTCTGTTGAGTGTCTTTCTTGACATTCGCTCTACTGTGTCATTTCGGGTAATATCAACGGCTGTGGATTACGATCAACGCACAGAAGCCTCAAAAGTCAGAAGCAGACAAATACAAAAGCAAAAGATATTTCTTTGTAAAACATCCGAGCTCACTGAATCACCTTACATGTATCTTTCGAGCATATATTCTCGGTAATGATTTCACAGACAAGCCTTACCAACACCGAAAGCCTGCAACGCAGCAGTTATACCAATGACAATGGCAGTATCGTTGATACCATGCTTAGCATACCAGACAGAGCTAGCCCAGAGCAGGATATTCGCGATTCCGGCCATGGCTTTGTTAACTGGGTCCTGGAGAAGACTGGGATCACGCGCCCATTGCCAGTGAAGAAGACCTGTTCATGATTACGGTTAGGGCTTGGCTAGGAGGAAGAACATTATGAGCATACCGGTCAATAGGAAGAAACCACTCCCCTGTTGATAGGAATCAAGTCAGTATAAAGCGAAACAGGCTTTATTGATATTGGCACCAAGGCCACGGTTCAACACACCTGGTACCACCCCAGAGTTCCACAAGCCCACGGATTAGTGCGCGCGATAGCTTTGAATCTTGGGTCGGCTGTCCATTGTCTGCCCTTGATCTACACAACAATCAATATGATGCTTCAGGGGTTCTGAGGTTGAGAATAATACCGTGTGTCCGATGGAAAGCAATACAAAGGATACGGCCGATGCCTGCAGCAGTGTGGGAGACATTATCAAAGTTGTAATGTAATAATGTCTTGTAGGATAGAATGTTCCAGGGGTTCTAGTTTCGAGATGTGTACTAGTTGCGGAGTATATGAGGTCTCCTAAGTACCTCGGCTCAATTGTTTGGTGTGAAGATGCCACCGAGTGATACGATAGGCGGGGATATACATCACAGCTTTTGATTTTATTCTACTTACTTCATACAACTTCATTCTTAGTCACATATAAAGACTTGATATCTAGAAGAAAAAAAGGTAGTGTAGAGAGATAGATCATAGAAGCGGGCGCGCTCACCCCTGGATTTGTCCGAAAGGTGGGAGGGCAATAACTTGGCTAGACCATACTATACCCCTTGTCAAGAAGATGATCGGCAGCACTACTTCAGCAATAATCCTTGTAGATCCCCGTTGCAGGCGAGCAGCAGAAAAAGCCAAGAACTCGAAGATTGGTGTTCCAGATGGCGGAGCCACGAGCACCGTCCACCAGGTCATGAGCTGAGTCTTGCCCCATATAGATCCATTTGGTTTTGATCCATATTTGCTGCTCTGGGTCGTCAGATGGAATACGTGTATTTTTAGACATCAGCGGCTTGAGGTTCTGACTTTCACAGAATTCCGATGGAGATTCGCAAAGGTCGAATGGGAAGATGATCTCACGAGTATGCTCTAATCCCAGTATTGGTGAGATGGGACGCACCTCTGAGGGTAGTTGGGAGGTCATTAAGGAAGATATCAAGGTGAATGGGAGAGAAAGATGAATTGGGCAGGAGTCATATTAACCTTCCAAGGTAACTTCCACCGGAGTCATCTATGGATGGACATCCAACAGCATTTTAAGGTGTAGAAGTAAACAACCTTGATATAGCCACTGAAGTAGTCTTTTGGTGGTCTTTTTAGATGTCTTTTTAGATGTCTTTTCTGATATCCTTTCTCATCCACTACCCGAATGGGCGGATATAACAGACACAAACTCATTTGCTGCAGATCTAGATTTTTCAGTTATTATCTTTGACCCTTGTGAACAACAGTTGAGAGACTTCCCGTTACATATTTGCTCCATATAAGACGTCATGTTTCATGTCTATAATTTTATATATATTTGCTACTAGCACCTAGCCAATGCAAAGAGATACGCTCGCGTAGCATAACGTGGATGTACATATGTAGAACAAAAAAGATCAAGTGCGTCTTGCTAAGCTTATATGTTCCTAGGTCTAAAGCTAATCCTTCTCGTACATAAGGGCACATGCTTTGCTCCTGTATAGCGGTAACATATATAGATGACGAAGCTACAAAAGCTCCAGGAAAAAAGAAATTTGAGAAAAGAATTACAATATATGTCGTAAGAATAGTGTCCCCTCTGGGAAGCATCTACCTATGACCAATTATGTACCCAGTCATCGGATTGAAGAGTATATTATCACTACCTAAGTCGGGAATAGCATTACGAAAAACTCCAAACCCAGCGTAATCCATGCACATATCCAAAACAATCACATGACACTGACATCGTTGATATGGAATCGACACCAGGACGGGGATCCAGGTCGCAGTTCGTTGAGAAGAGATATTCTCCATTCCATAGCGATGCCAGGCCATTTTTGACACGCCAAACTCCTTCGGCTGTCCAAAAAAGAAGAGAGGAAAAAAGACGCACTTTGCAGCTCACTCCAAGTATGAATAAAGTAGGCTAGAACGGAAAGGCTCTCCCGGGTGATATGACTCCGGGGGGAAAGGGGGGAAAAAAAGGAAATAAAAATAATGGGGCATAGAAAACACCAACGTCGGCGGCTGTCGGTATGGTGATCATGAGGGCATGAAGTTTAACCCTCATAAGGAGGATGGGATAATCAAAACGTATCAACAAAGTGGAGAAAAGGGAGAAAAGAGGGAGGGCATAAAAGCCAGTTCACGTGGCTGGTAGTCAGCCATATCGTACACACTAGAACCACACCCAACGCATCACCGCGGTCCGGAATTATTCAAGTTCACTTCCACCGGAGCCGGGGGCACCGAGTTGGACGATGCAACATGTGCCCGCAAAGCGGCAACTTCGGTGCGCAAACCTGTCAACTCATCGTGCATTGTCCGCACGTACGCCCAAAGCTTATCGATTTGGTTGGCGTCATTGGAATTGGCATCCGGTCCATCGAATCCTTTGAGATGAGATAGACTGTGGGTGCTGGAGTGGCTGTGCGAGGGAGTGTGTTTGGTTGCAGCTTGCATGCCAAATCGGGCATCCGGGGAAGTCATACCCGGTGGCGGAGGCAGCTGTGGCGCACCTGGCTGCGGCAGGGGCAAGCCTAGTGTAGGTGGTGCGTGGTTCGAAGATTGATTCGCTCGCCCGAAAGAGGACTGCGGGTGTGGCAAGGACTGTCCCATACCGGGAGAGTGTGCGCGATGTGGCGGTGCACTATCATGTTGCGATGAAAGGGCGTTCGGGGACAGCGGCTTAGGACTGTCACTGATATTGTTGGAAGGGAAGATAGACGAGCTCGAGGTGAGTCCCGCAGGAGGGAAAGTCATGTGTGCAGACTGCGAAGCTGATGTTGACACGCTTCCACCATGATTGGCTGGGGGTGGGAAAAGGTGGCTGGGACGACCTGCAGCGATTGGCGGGTAGGTGTTTGACTGGCGAGAGTGAATTGAATCAGACCGAGCAACTGTATCTGCCTCATGCTTGCGGATGCTCGGCATGGTCATTCGTCGCTCGTCTTCTTCATCCATGCGCTCAGGCTCTGCTGTGTACATCAACCCATCCATGTCGTCGGGTCCCCCAGTCGTACCATCGCCATACTCGTCGTCTCCCGCAAAGCTGCCCATACTCGCACGTCGACCCGCGCAGCCTCCCTGTCCTTTATTGTGGCGAGCAAGCGCATCACCTCGGGCGAAGCGACGTCCACATTTAGGACAGATGTGTGGTCGCTCGCCGGTGTGTAGCTTTGTGTGACGCTTCAAATCGTGTAGTCTTCGGAAACGTGACTGGCAGGTTTGGCAAACGAAAGGCTTTTCCTGACTGTGGGTGAGCAGATGACTCTTGAGATTATGTTGCCGCGTAAATTCTGTCGCGCAGTATGGGCAGCGGTGCTTTTTCGCCGATGGAGAGCGAGGGCTGCCTCGATTGTAGCCTGCGTTCGGTAGGCTCAGCCCGCGACGCGGATCATTAATATTACCCGTAGGCATTGGGTATGAGAATGCTTTGCCATCGTGGTCGATCTCGGAGTCATCGCGCGACCGTCGATCACCATCCTGAGAATTGGATTCTTCAATCGGACCAGGGCTAGCTACAGTCGAGGTATGCATTAGTGAGTTGTGATGATGATCGTTTGATCCGTAAGGGTCCGATGACGATTCAGTCGCGTGCGAGTCGATTTGCATATGCTCTGGGGCATGGACTGAAGGCTCATGAATCGGGGCACCTGGTGACTTTTCGCTAGCACCCAGAGCCTCTCGTGCCACCTGTGAACTGTTTCGTTCAGCATCCTTCTCATGCTCCGGCCGATCCGCCGGTACTGATGTTGGACTTGTCATTGGAGGAAGCTGATCTCTGGATCGCGAGACGTGTAGGCCGGCGCTGGCAATCGAGCTCAGGCTCTCGGGTTTGGAGGATTTGAACAAAGAGAGAGGTTCAGAGCTGGTGATGGAGTTTCCGGATAGTGAGTTGGAGACGGCGATGGGCTCGTTATTCGACATCAACGTCGCCATGGAGAAGAAAGGTTTCGCGCCAGCCTCAAAGGGTGGACGAGCAAATGCGACAGCTACTTTGGATGCCATGTTAGGGTCATGTGAGGAGGATTGAAGGGAAACGAGCTTGACTAACTTTCATCCACCGGGATATATCAAAGATGTCAAGCAGACGAGGTTGGGGGGAAAGAGAGCGAAGACGAGGGCGTGTGGGGCGTTTCTCACGAGTGTGGCGCAAGCTGACGAGTGGTTTCAGCTTTGAACCTGTCAAGATCCACCTGAATGATCCCAGGGGCTTAATCCTTTAAAATAGCGATCGGGAAATGAGTGGATGAGATTCAATGGCCTGAAGTTTGGAATGGAAAAATAAGAGAGAGATGGAGAATGTGAGTGGTGAAGACAGAGAAGTGGATGGTAATGAACTAGTTATTCCTTCACACCAGTTACGGTCTATGATTCGAAGGCAAAAAAAAAAACAAAACACGCAAAGAGAATGAACGTGTGAACAGAAACCGGGCAGGGGATATGTTTGGTGGGGACTGGAGAGGTCGAGGCTCTGGGAGAAATGAACCCTGAGGCAGTGAAGTATTGGGTACTTAATATTTTACTATAAATACTATGTATTAACAAGTATACAGTACCTTGTTAAGATTGAGGCTGTGTAGACCGCTAACACAGTGTGGCTGGCTCGTGGGGCACTTCCTGCGGCTGACCTGTCTTTAAGAGTACACGTTGCCTTACATTTCCTTACATTTCTTACATTCTATTCAAGTATACAAGTATACAATATAGAAAGCCATGATCTATATCTTGAGGCTGATGAGATCATGTCTTTTCAAACCGGTATTGTGGCCTTACGGCTTACAGGCAATCGGAGTGATGTCACCCGCGCACAATATATTGTATACAATACATTCTAACTTCAATTAACTGGAAAGTGTGGTCTTTTGGAGATCTGCAGATCAAGTGGATAGATGCTTGTATGTACATGTACGTACATGTACATACATGCAGACCCTATGTAATATACTAACTCATTGACCACCAGCCACTTATATCCTTTAATTACAATACTAGCATGTATATTGTCCAAGGCTGCCTTGGTAATACAAGGCGTACATTTGCTGCGCCATGTTTCAAGCATTATACTTATAACGTTGTACTTTGTGAAAGCCTCAGGCGATTCCCAGGATCGACGTCCACGAGCCCCATAGAACAGTACATACTATGTACCAAGTATGTAGTCTCAAAGCTCTAACTTGCAATGATTGAAATGGTCAAACTACATCCTACAACACATGACATTAGAGGAACTCCGTGGAATCTCCTCGGCCTTGGAAATTTGTTCAACCTTGGAAGCCTCTAGGGTTGCTTACCCCACCCCCAAAAATAGCGTGTGGCTGAGACTCATCATTCCTTATATATTACTCTAGATGCTTTCATGAAACGCGAACTTTCTTAGCCAAGTCTCGCTTTGACTTGGAATGTTTGTGTTAGGCCACGTGCTCGAGATGGATATTCCATAGCCTCGAAACTGTCCAAGCATTGACTATGTTAAAATTCCCATCAGGTATCTTCTATAACAGGTACGAATGCCCATCTGGTTTCCTGATGCCAATCATCCTAACATTACAGTATTGCTGGAAATCGGTCTCACCACCTACACTCTTTGATCACCGAGCCCTAAAGCCAAGATATACTATACGATATTAAGGATACTAACAGTAGTTCAACTATAGTAGCTCTCTTGTAGTGCAGGAAATACCTCAATCGGTAATATGAATACTACTAGGTAAGTACATGCCCATGTCTTGTTAGTGTATGCCGGAAGGCACAGCTATGTGATTGGCCACTATCCCAAATCAATCACACTAATATAAACACAGTTTCTGCCTGTTCACCGTCTCTGCGGGCAACGCCTCACCTACCCAGCTGCTTATCTCCTCTCCCGCTCTCAGATCTCTGCAGTCCTTGACTTCTTACCTCTACTTCTGTGAGCACCAAACCAAGTCCTCGTGCCCCCCCCCCCCAAATGGAAGCAGCAGGATTTGTGCTCTCGCTCGTTCCCCTAGTATATGGATACGCCGTGAAAATAAAGTTTATTAACCCTGTTTGGGAAGTTCTCACTCTCTATCGCCTCCGCCAGAACTATGGCAGCCTACGCCCAAAGTTCGATATACTACAGGCATTAGCTACTACAGGCATTAGCGCTTATCATAATATTTCCTGACGCTACGCAAATCGTGCATCGAGTTGAAAAGCATGTGCTCGGCGCCGAAACAGACGAGGTGATAATGCTACAAAAACCAACATCGGAAGATTGCACAATGCTAGCTGTTGCTGTATGTATAGAAATATCACTCAATCAAGTCCGAGGGTAATACTAATATATCCATAGGCAGCTATTATAGCGCAAGTTGCCATTACAGCCTTAGCACTTGAAGACATTAGCAGGGTCCATTGGACTGCAGAAGCAGCATTTGTGCTCAGCTTGACAGCTGGAGGCCTATCAGTTTTTTATGCTTGCTTGGTGCAACAGAAAATGAGCAGCCTTTTCACCGCTGATGATGTCAAAGACTTTTTCAGCAAGCCCAGCGATTCAAAAGAACTTCGACTCCTCGAGCGACGCCTAGATCGTTTGGTGTCAGAGATACGAAAGAACAATTCGAGACACCAAAATATAGCAGAACTTGAATCAACGATCAAGCAGTTTACGAAAATAGATAGAAATCTGCTTCCTTCTATTCTATTCTTATGGTGAAGGCGCTGACCATTCTTTTGAAATCTGCACTAGCATCTTTCATCAGTGGACTTGGTATCTACTTTGGATGTTTAGCGTTTAATGAAGAGGGTTCTCGAAAGCCTCAAGCACGCAATCTCGCAATCTTCATCGTCTACATTGCGACGAGCTGTTTCGGTCTATTAATATATTACGTGCCGTCTACATTCAAGAAATTAGAGTTGTCGCCAGCTCGGCGCTATGTACAAATTATGACCAACGAACTTGCCAAAGATTCACGTGCGGAAGAAATGAAGATTATTCAAAGCATCAATGCACTACTGAATCCAGAAGAGCAGGAAGCCTATATGGAGCATCAAACTGATGACTCTATATCCCGGGAAAGAGGACCTGAGCGCATGGATAGACCTCAACACAACCATACGCATGATGCTCCAGTCCAACGGTCTAACGAGAATTCTACAAATTGCTGAAGCTTTGGTCAATCTGCCTAGGAGAAATGAAGAACCAGCGGTTCGGACGGAATGGACAGGACGTCCAAGAATAAGCATTGCATCGGGACTCTCAAAATTTGCCACGATGATGCAGAATCATGGAAACCAAGGTACAGTTCTCTTCGTCAAGCATGGCGTGAAAGCTAATGCTACCTAGTGATTCGTACACAGTATTGACCTTTGTATGAAACGAGATGGAGAAATTACTCGCCACCAAAATATTAGCGATTCGGTCTAGAAATGAGGAGAGAACCTCCTCTAGGGGCATCCTGCTTTTTATCTATCTGCATAATTCTCTTTGAGACTACTAGTCCCACATATTCTGTATGTATTCTAGAATTACGAGCAGGCTGGCTTTCCTTGACAATAGGGTCGGAGAAACAACCTTTAGGAATGAGAGAGTGTAGATGACACCGAATTCTGGAAGTATTGTACCAATATGGCCCTCAATCCCCAAGCATTGGCCATAATGGTAACATGAAACGATCCATATTTATCAGAAGATTGATAATACTCCTGTGATAAATATCATGGCGGTATTGCCCAGTCATGATATGTGAGGCGCTCCTTCAATCTTATTTTGAGGTATTTTGGGTCGTGGCTTCTTTTGATCAACCAGTTATTATGAGTCCAATTAGCTCTTTCCGTGATAATACGGAGAAAGTAATCGAGTGGCAAAGAAAACAACAGCAGTTGTGAGCCCCTTTCTCGTCGGCGGTTAAATTGTTTCACTGTCGAGGGCTCCATGCTGACAGATATCCGATATATGGCTGTGATATGACTGATTGACTACAACTCTTCTCCATAAATCCGGCAGAGATCTTGGCGGAGAGAATCGGGAGATAATAAGAGAAGAGGAGATGAAAGGGAGTGAAGGATACCCCGAGGTGTCTAACTGGACATGCTATGCATATCTGAGGTGGCGGTCCCTAGCTGGGCGGCTGCCAATCTCAATATTCACACATGGGGATCTAGAAAGTATACTTATTATATTTAGTTCGATAGATTCTTAGGATTGAAGAGAATGAAGGACAAATACTAAAAAAAGAATTAGAGAGATAGAAAAAGCTACTCCGTGGTAGCCATTGATGTATGCGTGAGCAAAGCACTATCACAGGTGTGACCAAAGACTACAAAAAGAAGCAAAAATAGTATGTGCACAGACCTTTTTCCCCCTCTTCTCAAATCAAGGGATATCTCAGGGTGCTTAATCGAGTTATGTGACTGGACCTCGAAATTGAGTTGACCGGGTTCTTTCATCCAGTCATTCACATCTTCCCTGTTTTTTTTCCCTCCGCTCATCCATCTCACACACTAAAGCGGTTCTGCATTGCATCTGGTTGGACGATCGGCGGATTAGCGCCGGGGTTGGGGGGTGACAGAGGTGCATCGTGAGCAAACATGGCCCCTACTCGATCTTACTGGCCCGTTACTCCACTGTGACAAGCTTGGCTGATCACTTCCGCCGGCCAGTCACACTTCCCTCTCAACGCCTCGAGGTACAGTGCACTTGCAGCTAGAGGGCTTGACAGGCTTTGGATCTTCCAATCATGTTCCTGGTCGCTGCAAAATCCCTCTCGGGGCGCTTACTCTGGCCCGCCTTGAGTGACGAGAATCAAAAGTCTGCATTTTGGTCCCGCCTCTCGCCAGCACTCGAACATTATTGATATTCAACAGGCCGGTTCCTGGCACTTTCTAATTTTCATTTTTCTTTCCCTCTGCTTAATATACTCGTGTACGCAGGCTTCGCACACGGTATCAGTGATTTTACTGCAAACCTGATATACTTCAGCCGTTGTCCCACCGCACTTGAGGTTTTTGGTGTATATTCGACTCGATTCGGGTCGTTTTATTCCCAGCAGCCAGTCTTGTGGCCGTGAAGTCGAGAGCTGGACTCTTGACCTAATTCTTGGATTTCTTTGCCTATATTGCTCATCGATACAATGGCAGTATCAGACGATAGCAGAGATAACTCTCCCATGACCTACGAGCCCGTTGTTCCTACGGATCTCACCCGTGGCTCTTATCACAGTGCAATGGGTCCTTTACCACAGCAAACCCCACAGCACACCGTGCGAGAGACTCGCAGCGGCTCTGATACGAGCAATGCCTCCCTCAAGAGTCCGCGCACTGCTCGATTCGCCGAGGCCACATCAATTCACTCTCCCATCGATCGCACAGAAGCTGGACGATCACCTTTCGCCGACCCTCCCAAGACTCAGGCAAAGGGAGATGTTGGAGATGTGGGATTCGGTTACGTCGCAGCGAACAATGCTGCCCAGCATGCGGAGGACCAGGTGCCAATGTCACCTTTCCGACCTGACCTGAAGGTACCGCAGACCGCCAAGTCATTGAACCCGCTCAGTCCAACTTTCCGCGAGGAGTACATGCTTGAGAAGCAAGAAAAGAAAGCTGAAGTCGAGAATGCCCGAGACCTGGTAAGAATGCCAACTCCCAATGCCAATAGATACAATTTACTAATTATCACCAGAGAATCAAACTCCGTGTTCGGATCGCCAAGGTCTTCCTGCGTTTCGTCAACTTCGGCTGCAGTCTGATTGTGTTGTCTCTGCTAGCCGTCACATTGACTGTCTTCAACGCAACCAGGCACCTTCCCACTCGTAACAACCTTCCTGCCTGGGCAGAGGGTACCAACCCATGGGCCCAATACCTCCTTCTGGGCATGGCTTGCGTTTCCTTAGTCGCCTGTCTCATCGTCTTCTACGCCTACCGAAAGGGCGGGCACGGACGTGCCGAAAAGGCCGCCGTCTACTACACCAGCTTCTCGATCGCCTTCTTCGGCGTGAACCTGATTATGTGGATCGTCGGCGCAGCAGTCTACCAACACTCCAAATCATCAGGAGAAAGCAAAGACATGTGGGGATGGTCCTGCGCACAGAACACCCGCGAACAGATCTACCACAACAGCGTCGACTACGCTCTCCTCTGCCGTCTACAAGACTGGGGCCTCGTCTGTGCCATCATCGAAATTGTCATCGAACTCCTTGTCATCTTGATTTACGTCGTAGTCTTCTACCGCGTCTGGAGCAAGCGCAAGCTGATGAAGTCAATGGACACCCGCGACAACGCCCGTTCAGATCTATACCTCGCCCAGCTGCGTCTGCAATCAGCCCCGAACACCCCCGGTTTCGCAGGCTTCACTTCCTACCCTCCTAAGTCCCCCTTCTACGCCGCCGGCGCCGTGGATCCCTACTCAGCCGCCGAGAAGGGCATGGCTCAACCCCAGACTACACAGTATGCCTCGCCACGCTCGCCTACCCGCCCTACCCCATCCTTTCAACTCCAGCCCCCTCCTATCAAGGTCCAGCAGGCAACCCCGCAGTCTTTCCAGGAGGAGTTTGCTCCTCCTGCTCGTTACTCGCCGCCGCCTCCTAACAGCCAGCGACAGAGTCTGCCTCTGAATAGGGGTAGTGCTCCTGGTGAGCGCACTTACGATTCCGTGCCGATTCCTGGGGCTTATCAAAGTCCCATGGTGCCGGCGTTCCCGCCCCCTGTACGCAAGTAAATGTTTATGATTTCAAAGCTTTTGTTTTTCTTTTGACTTGGAGTGTTTTGGTTCGATTCATTTCCCCCTTGTGGGAAATGAAAGTGCCTGAAAACAATGAAAACAACATAACACCGAAAAAAATGTGGAAAATCCGAAAACTACAATTCAGGCCGTCATTTTTGATCGATCTGCTTCAAAATCGGACACTTGTTCGACTTTCTTTTGTTTACCCTCCTCGTTATGGAGTTTAATGTACACCCTGGAGCACGGGGAGTTTTGGTGCGAGATACAGATACCTATTTGGACTTTGGTACACTGTTGGTGTATTTACTCTTTTGATCTTTGGCTTTGTCCAAAGAATGAATATATTGCAATGATACATATAAATGAACTCCTTACCGACTTTATCCGTGCGCTGTAGACGGAAATTTGACAAGCATTTGTGCCACCATTCAACAGGGTGACGAAGATCCTACCTTAATTTTCAAGTCTACTTCGGTATTGGATTAGAAAGTATGTGAAATTGTTTAAATTCATCACAAAAGAAGTAAACCGAAGAGGCAAAAAAGACCCAAGAGCGCCATTCACTGCGAACAGGAAAAAGCAAAACCACAACGCCGCAAGGATCTACCAAGTCACACCGTCCTGTCCATCTCATCACTCGTGACCAACATGCATACTGTAGTGTTTCTACCCGTGTCAACTGTACATGCAAGTAAAAAAACCAGGCTCTCACATCCCGCCTGCCTCTTCAATGATAGCGTGCGTATCCCTAGTTACGAAGATTTCTTCCAGGGTAGCCACATTAGCGCCCATCTTGCTGAGATCACTCTCGAGCACGAGACCCTGTTCGTTGGCAAGATGCAGAAGACAAATAAACCCGAATGATGTGCTGATATCACGTAGGGTCTCAGCCGGGTAGACTGTCTTGAGGGAGTTCATGATGTGCGTGAATCGTAGCCGGCCATTATTTTTGTCATCGGCAGGTTGCTCTGGGCTCTCGGCCTTTGGTGTGGGAGAGACAGGGGCATCCGCTTCACTCTCGGGTTCGGTCGGAGCCTCACTGGACACGGCTCCTGGTTGTGAAGCCGAGGCGAAATCCACGGCATCGACGAGGCGCTCGCCCATGCCCTTCCACATCTCCGTTTTGAGGCGCCGCACATCAACCTTCTTTGCCACACGTGCATATGCCACGTAGTCTGGTCGTGCACGACGACCACCCTGTGTCACTAATTGTGAGCCGTAACCACCAGCTCCGGGTCGGCCAGGTGTGGCGCCAACCATATTCAAGAGCGCGCTGAGTCCAGTCGCTCCACCTGCTTCCCCGGCTGATGTGCCTGGAGGCCCGTCTGCTGGCGGAGAAAGCATCTCCCGGGCATCTGCGAATGGCAGATTGTCGTCGTCATCGAGATCCATGCCGTTCGGGAAAGCGAGACCATCGTCATCAGCAAAGAAGTTGGCATCATAGGCACCGGCAGCACCTTCCTCGCCGGCGTTTTCTTCCGGCTTGCGATTTGCCCAAAACGCCTCGTCCATGTCTCCATTGCCAGCCGTCAAATCCTGCCGACGGCGTTTGCCCAAAATCTTCTTTGAGCCCATCTTTGCCTTCGGCTTGAGGAATAGTGTAAGTAGATTGCGGGAGTTGAAATGCTTGTCGTCGGGAAGAAGGTTACGGCCCTTTGTCTTCCACTGTGTCTTGGGTAATGAGACGGCGGAGTTGGAGCTGGCCGGGGTGTAGATTAATTCTGCGATAGCAGGATCCAGAGGGGCAGCAAAATCAATCTCAAAGGGCTCTTTCTCTTTGCGCGGCTTGGGTGCCGATGTAGCGGGAGTTGCGTGTTCTTTGATTCTTCGAATCTTCCAGTGTTCTGGGCCAGCCCAGTTCTTCTGTAGCGCGTTGTCGAAGTAGCTCAGAATGTTTTCGTGGTCGTGACTGTTATTTTGATGAGACATAGAGATGGCATATGCGTCTTCGTCGCCATCGTCGCCCTCGCCATCATTATCTCCATCGTGGGCAACCCGGTGAACATTCAACATCGGTTCCAAGGCGGCTTCCCGAGCCCATACCTCTCCTCCGTCACCAAAGCCAGTGTCACCGCTGAGATCAAATCCGGCTAGGGTAGCATCATCGTCATCAAACCCGACAGCGTTGTCGTCGTCGAGCATGATACCAGATGGGTCGTCAGGTGCTCGTCCGTCTTCATCCATCTTGTCGTGCCGCCATTCCTCTGGCGCTTTGAGGAGAGGGAGATCCAGCGACCCGCTGGGATCACCCAGATCGAGGTTCTTGAGCGACGGACAAATATCTTGTTCATCAAGACGATCTAAATCTGGGAAAAACTGGCTCGCTAACGTGGCAAGGTCGATCTCTGCGTTATCTTCAAAGGTATCGCTTGCGGGTTTCTGGATTGGTTTTGTTTGGTCCTCGTTTTGTTGGTCAGGATCCGTAGACTCTTGACGGTCATCTTCGGCGGTTTTGGCACTATCGTCCACAGCGTCGTCGCTGCTGTCGAACACAATTCTTCCATGGCTATCAATAGCAAGGTGGTTCAGAAGCAAGCCCTTGGCGCCTCCTTCATCAAAGTCTGCCGATGCTTTCTTGAATAGCGGGTCCACGGCGAATTCTAGCTCAAACTTCTTCAGTTGCAACGAGGAGAATGACGGGGCGAGGGTAGCCTCATGGGAACGTGTCTAGACACCATCTAGTTAGTCAAAGGCCGGATCTCTGACACACCGTATAGATCATACCTTTTTCCGCGACTTGCGAGCCTGGCCATCTTCGCCTTCCTCGTCCTCATCGCCATCTTCCACCTCCTCTCCGCGCCCTCTCTTATCGCGACTATCGGCGAGTCCACTAAGAAGTTTTCCCGTCTCCGTGGCGACGCTGTCCACTCGGCTGGTGTAGATTTTAACACAACCGTCAAGAGTGCAACTGGCCTTTTGGAAGTTCACGCTATCTCCTTCCTTCAGCAATGACATGTCGTGAAAGTAGTCGATGAGCGCAAAGTTCCAGGAGTTATTCGCATTGATTTTGTTATCGGTCGCCATCTTCATCCACTCCTCAAAATTGGCCAAGATAGGCACGCGCTTCATCGGCGTCACTGCGCGGCCATTGACGTCGCTTGTGCGACCGCGGTGACTCGAGGCTCGGGGAGTTGCGGGGCTGTCGCTTCCTTCACGATCGTAGGTGTATCGACGGGGCGGCATAGGCGTCTTGACTGCGGCTTTAATCTCGCTCATTTGGCGATCATGACGCGCTTGACGAGCCTCCATACGGGCTGCCTTCTCGCCTTCATCATCGTTGAGGGGAATCCTGATACAATTAGTTTAATGTCGTAACCAGGAGATATCCAGATACGCACTTGACCGGAGAGTTTTTGTGCGGGGTCGAGTTGCCGTTAGAACGGCGATGCACTTTGTTTGCGACACGCGGCATGGTTGCGGTTGCCCCCGATAGGGGAGATGACGTTGAAATGGAAGGTTTGATGGAGGGGGTTTGATATCGAAGCAAAACAAATGGGGAAGTCAACAAACATACGGTGGTGCAGAAGGACCAGTAATGCACTATCTCTCACGTAATCATATATTGATGCCTGCAATATCAGGTATTAAACTCGTACCCAAGTTGGGCATTCCTTTGGTCCGTCCTTTTGAACCTTCAACAACCAATTCTCCCATTGTTTAATTCCAAGTCGGGCTTTTAGACCATCTTATCTTATATCAATTAATCATCCTATCTGCGATCGATCCTTCTAACCTGTTTCCTGCAGAGGTCGGTGCAACGATCGGCGGACGTGCATTGGCCCACTCCCGAGGTCCGCCACACCTGGGCAGCTCCGCCCAGTTGACATCACCGCACTCACCGCACTCACGCTGGCATATACAAACCAACATCTGTTGGACGCGTGGGGTATATATTGTACAAGCATTGAGTCTTCAATGTTGGTCTTTCTGGTATAGGTTGGGCTACAACATTTAAAAGTCTTCGGCTCACGATGCCGTTATACTTCTCATGATGATGAACCAGCTGCCGTCCTTCCTGCAGCCTGCCGTCCGCAAGCCCCGATATTCAATCCGACCATTTTATACCACGCTGTTGGTGTTTGCACTTATTGGAACAGCGAAGTGGGCTATACCTGGTACTACAAATGAACATGCGCAGTTTTCGCCACCGGGTACAGGGCCACATGTAAACCTGTTCAAACGAGAGGGGGAACTAGAGGTATCTTTCCCTTCCCAAATCCTTTCCTGTGAGATGGTGCCGAAGGCTAAATGATGTTCTGTCACACGATCATATAGTGCCGCTTGGTCCGCAACGTCGAAAATCAGTGTGCCTACGTCCGCGCCAACTGCCCCGATCACGAGGATGGCCTAATCTCGTACCTTCAATTTTACTATTGCGGCTTTGCCGGCGCAAAACCGGTAGCGTTCACGATATTGATCCTCTGGCTATCAATGCTCTTCAGTACCGTCGGTATCGCGGCAAGCGATTTCCTGTGTATTGATCTGAGTACGTTGGCCAGCATCCTAGGACTGAGCGAGAGTCTCACAGGCGTGACATTCCTTGCATTTGGCAATGGAAGCCCTGACGTATTTTCCACTTTCGCCGCCATGCGGTCGAATAGTGGGAGCTTGGCGATTGGTGAGTTGATCGGCGCGGCGACTTTTATCACCTCGGTTGTGGCGGGCTCCATGGCATTAGTTCGGCCATTCAAGGTCGCGCGAAGGAGTTTTGTCCGAGATGTGAGCTACTTCATAGTGGCCGTCGTTTTCAGCATGCTGCTGCTGGCCGATGGGAAACTCCATGTATGGGAGTCAGCTGCGATGGTAGGCTTGTACGCCTTCTATGTCGTAATGGTGGTGACCTGGCACTGGTATCTGGTACGACGGCGCCGAAAGAATGAGAGAGACCTTGCAGCGCGAGCTCACTTTCATATACCGGAGAATCAAGAGCTGGAGATCGAAGAGGCCGCTGAGGACGATGATCCCGGTGTAGCGACAGAGTCACGAAGCCTTCTCCGCGGAGCCTCAACTGAGGATTTTGATCTTTTGGAGCGCGCAGAGGCTCTTCCTCTGTGGAAAGAAGAGGACAATGAGGACGATGAAACACGCAACCGGTACCTGGCCGAAATCCGTGATAACATGCACGTTTATCGGCCCGTTAAATCGAGGCGTAATACGATGAACCCCATTCGACCAAGTCTTGTCGGTGCATTAGAGTTTCAATCCGTTCTTCACTCGCTGCAAAAATCAAGAAACACCCGTCGCAATCCGACAATAAGCATGAACAACTATTCAGATGACGGCGACTCCGATTTTGATACGCGCTCGGTGGCATCGCATCCTCGCGCCAGTCGACCATCTGCCAGTAACGACCGCCTGTCACCGTCCAGCGCAGCTGGTTCCTCTCGGGTTCGAGCTGTGTCGGCGAATGATGCCGTGGGGTTGAAATTTGACTCTAGTGTCTTGGGACCCTCGCCAACACAAGGTCCACTGCTTACAGTGAGTAGGCCTTCTTTTGAGGATACTTCGGGACAAGACGCCATGGAGTCACGCCAACTCCCTCGGATTGATACTGAGATGGCGCTGGATGTGTCTTCTGCGAATCGGTCACCGAGTCTGAGTCCCGGTACCATAAGTCCTAAAACCCCTGACCGGCTCGCTCCATCGGATGCTTTTAACTTTCCCAATTACCACAATGGAGGGATACATGAACCGCCCTCGATGTCAGTATCCCCTAAGGGCACTGCAACCCGCCTTCATCCAGGCTTTGGGTTAGAAAGCCCCTCAGTGCCCTTCCCATCGTATACTGATTTACCGACCTTGGCATCCTCTCGACCACCCAGCATTCGACTGTCAAATTCAGCCAGCCCGTTAGAACCGCTTCAAGTCCACGATGGCTATGATGATTTCGCTCATGTAGGCCTCCCTTTCCACAAATGCCTCGGGAATTGGTGGCCTGACTCGATTCCCCCTCCCCAGCAGATTGGTTGCACACTCTTCCCAACTTTGGTGGGCTGGAAGTCTAAAAATGTCTGGGAACGACTACTCGGTATTATTGCGGCTCCCAGTGTGCTGCTTCTTACCATAACAGTCCCAGTCGTTGAGCCGGAGGCACCAGAATCCGTGGAACCGGACCCCATACCCTCGGTGATCATTCAGAACGTCGACGATGAAGGGAATCCCTCCCCAAGGGTTAGACTTCCAGCCGATAGTCCAGTGATTGTGGCTCAGGCACATGACCACGCCGGATCAGCTTCTACTTTGCCGCCACTGCACCCCCATCAAAAGTCGACGTACGAAAACACTGGTCGCCCGCGATGGGACTCGGAACTCCCGGCCGTGCCAGTGCCAGGTTCACCTCCTCTGCATCCTGTGCCAGCAAAGGACTGGAATCGCTGGCTGGTTTCCATCCAGCTTTTCACAGGTCCGTTCTTCGCCGTGCTCATCGCCTGGACGACCGTGGACGAAGATCGTCAGCTCCGCAACCTCATTCTTCCCTCCCTTGTATCCCTCTTATTCTCCTCCATATGCCTCACAGCAATGATAATAAGCACCCGTCCTCGACGAAACCGCCAAAACCCCAGTGCAGATCTTTCCATCCCGCTTCTCCCCCACGAATCCCAACTACACACCGACACTATCCCACCGCCATGGCGGACATTCCTCTCCCTACTTGGCTTCTTAGTTGCCATAGCCTGGGTCGCGACAATCGCCACGGAAGTTGTCTCCCTCCTCAAGACCATCGGTGTTATCCTCAACATCTCCGACTCCCTCCTCGGATTGACCGTCTTCGCCGTCGGAAACTCGCTAGGCGATTTAGTCGCTGACATCACAATCGCCCGACTTGGGTATCCGGTCATGGCCCTGAGCGCCTGCCTTGGTGGTCCCATGCTCAACATTCTCCTTGGTATCGGGCTTGGTGGTCTGTATATGACTGTCAATGGCGGAAACCAGAGACACGACCAGGCGCTGCAGGGTCTCGCCCCTGTGCAAGTCCACTATGAGATTGCCATATCTAAGGTGCTTGTCATCAGCGGCGCGACACTTTTGTTTATCCTGATTGGGCTATTGATTGTTGTTCCTATGAACAATTGGAGAATGGATCGCAGGATTGGCTGGGGTCTTATCGCTGTTTGGTGTCTCAGTACCTTGGGTAATGTGATTGCGGAAGTTGTCTTGTGAATTGGTGTTGGAATATTGAACACATAATCGAGAATGGCGACTGTTCTTTTGGTTTTGGTTTGGTTGCCGGTGTTGGTTAGGCATGGCGTTGGTTTTCTTTTTCTAGTTTTCTGCTTTCAATGTACAGCTGATCGCATGCCGATAGTACAGTCTTTCTGCGTGTAGAATAATTGTGAAAGGACTATGATATACGAAATGCATCCTCATTCAATTCCGAGCTTCTGTATTCAAACCTTCTACATTTGTCAACAGCGTTACTAGGTACGATAGCTACATACATAGCTCGTAGTAACAGTCGATTCTTTGCCCCTATGCATCTCTCATAGCCTCGGGTGTATCCCCTTGCACCTTCCAATGCCCCTTCTGAAATGCCGGCAATTCCCCCAACCTCTTGAATAATCCCATGACGTGCGGTAACCCATCCAGATTGGTTCCATAAGCAAGCGCCATCTCCACCGCTAGTGCAAAACAGACGTCAGCCATGCTCACAGCGTCTCCTACGGAGAATTCTCCTCCGTATTTTGCCATTGGTTCTTCATACGCCGTTAGGCCAGACAAAGACTGGATTGAGAATACTAAGCCAAACATCATAACCTGCGCAGAGTGGTGTTATGTGTTGAATATGATTTTCCATAGTTTTCGAGAAAACGCTGGCGATATAACACCGGCTCCACTGGGTCGATGTATCACCAGTATATGTCAATCAGTTGATCGGAATATGCCCGGTCTTGCTCTAGGTCAGACTCTGCCTGTGGATCTTTGTCCACAGGGGGAGAATCGGCTGTTGTATCAACTATGGGTAGTGTTCTGGTCACAGATTCTGGCTGGGTTTCGAATGAAGTGGCCGAAGATGGGAGAGAGACCAGCATAGGAACAGGCTTGTGAAGCGATGGTGCTTGTCCACGAGGTTGATGCGCTGTTTGCTTCACAACGGCATTGACAGAGTGGCTATAAGCACACGCCTTCCCTCTCGCCTGGCATTTGGCGCATGGTTTGTGGATTATGTCGGCTTTTTGGACGCCCGCGGGCGCTCTGGGGGTTAATGAAACAATGGAAGTAAGAGATACCCGAGCACCATCACATTTGATCTTCCTCAAGCGACATACTTGGCCGGCGTTTACGACTCTCGGCCTCTGTTTGCGTCAAGGTCCTGATGGTCTGTGCTGGTCAATCACCACTTCGTCCATCACTTCTGTATTGGACAGTTGGGGACGACGAGTGCTGCCCATCAGGGCTATCTGCCTGATTGATAATCAGAACGTGCACCAATCAGATTCTTCCCGTCGCGATGATCCACCTGCGGAGACCCATAGCGGGAAGCGATTTTACTCGTTGGGAATTTCCACTTCCCGCGAGTTGGCCAATGAAAGAGCAGTCTGTCTTTATGCAGAGGACTACATCAAACAATCCAAAGGACTTACAGATAACAATGGAAAGTCCAATGAAAGGTCAATCGACTCAGTAGCCCGACATGATTCTCGTGAATGATTTGGGCGTGATTCAACCCCTCCCCAGTTGTAGAGCGACAAAACATCATTCTTGCGCGCCTTTGTTGACGAGATGGATAAATTGAAAAGTGCAATAGAGTGGTTATTCCTTTTATGAGCTAGAGGGCTACCTAGTGGCTGGCGTGTTATCGAGTGAGCTGGTTGGTTAGGAGGCGGCTATCTACACAGTTAGGTCGTGCTTTGCAACGCAATTTTAATATCCATTGTACTTTGTAATGGCCAGGGGGCTCTAACGCAATCGCACGTCACCTTCTTATTAATACTGCCTACACCTTCCAGGCAAGTCGATATATTGAAGTACATTGTATAGTTCTGGCCCCTTCAGGTTTCTAGGCAACAATCCTGACAGATCGGAAAAAACGAAGCTTGGAAAGAGAGCGTTAAGTCGTCCAAAGAGCCAACCCGACACGCTCCACTCTATCGGGCTTCAATGCGACCTGTATCCCACATACTGACCCGTATTCCGTTAGATCACTGTAAACTGGGGGCCATGCCTCCTTACGAACACGAGCACCGGTCTCTGTGCAACCCAGTGCTAGCTTTTTGCCTAGGCTTGTAATAAACTAGCAATGACCAATATCAGCATGGAACCTTGGTAAAACATACAGCGACAATGATAGGAGTAACTCACTTGTAATCCACAGAGTTTGGCCTTGCTCTTGTCAATGACCGCACCATGGGCACAGTATAGGACCATGTCCACAATTGTCTCATTTTTTTCAACTTCAAATTCAATACCGTGGACTGGAGACATCAAAATATCCTGGTGACTAGTCACTATTCCGACTCGCTCCATCGAACCGTCTGTAAAATGAAAAACGAGTCCCTTTAGGAACCGCTCATGAGGCTCAGCAGCGTCAAAATTGCCATAGGCCTGCACCTGACAGAGTTTTCTTTTGGACAGATCGACAAAATGAACCGGGGGCTCTAGCACGCGCGGAAAGGGGTTCGTGAGAATAGGATAATTTGTGCCAGTGCCATCCCGGCGACTTTCCAGAAAGTATTGCCCCAGAGGCCACTCAAGTGGTGGATAGCGACCGACCCATTGGGTATGAATATCAAGATCGATCCCCAAAGGCTGTGAGGGATTGATAGGAGTGAAAAGCTGGTTGGCTGTGATAATGCCGAAAGCTGTGATTGTTTGGGCCTTGGAAACGAGGTTAGAAGAAACTAAACGGGAATTTCAGTTCATCCAATTGCACTCACGTTGAACTCGCCCGTAACTCCTCCTACCTCCATTCCGGGCTGTACACGCAAAATCTGCAGTACGTCATGTTCATCCCATCTACCGAGGATGTGGGTTGGCTTTTCAGGGCTTTCTCGGGTGACAAACCCAAGCCCACGAATCCTGCGCTCATTTTGGTTGAGCTCCGGGCTACCAAAGGATATACACACACCAGTGATCACCGTCTGCGATTTCAGTGTGACTTTGATGGTCGAATTACTCGAATTGCCGAAAAGGCGTCCCGAAAGCTCATCGAGCAGTTGGAACTCGATACCGATGATTTGGTCACCAGTTCCCAAGTGGGCAATTATTGCTGTCAATTGGTGCCTTTTAACCGCGCTTGTAACGAAGGAAGCTACCGAAGCTGCTCCAGGCATCCCTTTGAAGTCTCGTGAAACGAATATCGTTTTGTGGGAAGTCAGGTTGCCGATTTGACTCGAAGCACTACCCGTTTGTCGTCGGACCGTTGTGTGCCGGGCCTCGACATCATTTATAATTTGTTCACAGTTAATCCATATACGCCGTAGGTTTTTCAGTACCCTCCAGTCTTCAACAAAAGCGTCAGGGATACCATTCTCAAAAATGTTCAATTCATCAGGCTCAGAGGCTTCCCGGATAAGACGTAGAAGTTTGTCAAAGAGAAACGGGTGCTTTTCGTCTTGCGCCACAAGTCGTATAGCGGCTTCTGCACACCAAGGAACGTCGAATGAGAGACGAGATCTCCAGAAACGTTGCGGCAGACCAAGCGAAACTTCTCTGAAAGCAGGACTTGCCAGAAACAGATTGAGCACAGAGTTTGTCGGCAGCATTTCTAACACTCGCAAGCGCAATTCGGTTGGGATTGACGAAAATAAATCTGTTTGGTTCCCAGCTTTCGTCTGGATCTTGAACGAGTAGCCGGGTTTCGAAGTTTCTGATGCCTCGGAAACTAAAGGCCCCAAATTGACAGTCTTTTGGGGATTTGTTACGGTCCACTTTGGTCATCATTAGCTACTCGTCAAGCGTGAATTCCAAGCCTTTTGCAACATACCTCTGTATTCTCCAGGGGGTTCCAGTGCTGAGACAACAATCGGTATTCTCCAGTAGACGATTGGTCAAATCTCTTGCCAAGCCTCCAATCAAAATCGTCCCTGTCACGGCTTTTTGCACTGACTTCTAAGACAAGCAAGACTTCACGTAGATTCAATGGTCTTTTTGTCCCCACTGTCTCTCGGTGGACCCTTTTCAGAATTCCCAAACAGGCATCGTGAACTAAGTATCCTTGTGATCTGACCACATCAATAGATCCCGAATGGCGAAACTTCCAATTCTTGTCATAATTGCGACCGTGGTCAACATGCCCCTATGTATCGTACTGAAGATGAGCCTCATATAACATTTCAGGGAAAGGAAAGAGGTGTTCACAATTGCTGTAAGTAGCTCGCAGCCCTCCAACTCTTCTATGACCTCACTCCGAGTATTTCTTTCCGCATAATGGGATAGCATTCGAACGTTAGCGAGCCACTTGTTACCATAATGGTGAGTCCGTTAGAACATAAGCTTATAATTGGAAGAATTATACTCACCTTGACGTCCTTGAGGCGGATGACGCTTTGATCATATCCCACGCGTCGTCTACACGAGTCTTCGTGGAGTTGGTCGTCCTATACAAAATCGTGTGAGTGCTAGTCTTTCGTAAACTCAAGGTCCCAGGTATTTTGAACACACCGAGACCGAATTCTCCTCGCTGCAGGTGCAATAGTCTTCATAAAGCGTATCAAAATCATCCTCCCGGTCATCATTTTCATCTGCGACAAATGTAGACCTTTTCAGAAGCTGAGTCCGATTCGAAGCACCACCGCAAATATAGCAAAAGGACTCTGTCGAAGGTGGAGGGTTTGCTCTCTCCACTTCCAGCTGCTTTTGCATCCGTGCCATAAATGCCTCCATCTTGGTGGACTGTAAGAAGAATGTCGGAACAGATCCACGGAGAAATCCAGGGGCACACAACTTGAGGAAGAGGGCGGCAAGATCCCGTGCCTAGATGGGGCAACGGAACACTAAATTGGTACTAGACAGTTACCTCGGCCACCTAAGTAACCCTGGAGGTAGGAACTCTTGCTCAGACGGGAATTGCAGTACATACCTACCTAGGTACCTGCAGGTGGGCATGGACGGAGTGATGAGTTAAGCTGAAACGAGCCCTGGAACGAGGTGGGGGCGGGAGCGGCAAGAAAGTGGAGCCTATGGAGCTTGTTCGTAGGTCAGTGCGTTGGGATTTCTACATGAGATACACCGGGATACTATTCCATAGTGTTGAGACTAGGTCTTGCACTATACTTCTGGTATACTTCCTCACTTGTATTCGTCACTAATCAAAAGAAAATAAAAAGAGGGAGTGAAACCTAATGTAATTGTTTTGCAGGGTACCAAGAGCGCATATACAGTTCTTGAAAAAAAGAACCATCAGATCTGTCAGATCCCTGAATTCCAATCAACATACACATAGCCTCACCAATTTTAGGCTTGAGCTTTGATCATGTTGACGCTGTTGAAGATTATGTTCCTGTAGCTGCCGTGGTGGTGGCTTCCTTCATGTCAGCCTTGAAGTGTCTGTAAATAGCTTCATCTCACTTACTGCTGGCTTTATCATTCTCAACACAATAACTCAGGTCAGGTTTAAGCTGACAGTTAGTCATATTGGAGGAGAGGCTGGGGTTCCAGGACAAGAGCTCTTTCGTCTCAATTCCCCAGAGGCTCGCAACTATTCCACAGTCCTGCACGCTTTGTGTATAGTTTTGATACATTTGGCAGTTCTTGACTGTACCGGATGCATGTGGCATCCATGCATAGGTCGCAGTAAATCCCGGGTTGCTGCTCGGGGTTGGAATCCCTGTATTGACGGATGGAAACGAAGCAGAGGTCACCGTAATGCGAGGTGTTGTGACTGGATATCCAGAATAGGTACTCAAACTGCCCACTGGAGTGATGCAATAAGCTTTGCCCACCTGTAGGTTTGAACAGTTTGTAGTGAGTTCGTCAAAAAGTAAAAGTCGGACAAGGAGAGTGAATTTGCAACTGAAATTCGAGCACACGTATCTCCTTTCTGAACCTATAAATGCGTTGTTAGTATGGAAAGTCCTCGGCCGGCACATAGTAATTGATTGAGGATAAGGCACTCACTGTGTACCAGCCTCCACAATTGGTGTTGGTCCCGTTCATTGCATTTGTGGGTGCAGGCACTTTGCTTGTCACGGTGGGAACCATTTGGGTTGAACTTCCGCTAGACGGGAACGTGACAGGGTCACCTCCAGGTGAACTTGAGATATCTGATTAGCTGAGAAGAGCCAGAAAGTCGTCATAGACGCACCTCAAACAGACAACATATCCAATGTAGCTCAAACTGTTTCGACAGAGCATATCAAATATTGGATTCCAAGACAAGAATTGGGCTACAGTGACCCCATTCAACCCTCTGGTGACACTGTCGCAAGAGTCTTGTCCTTTCCAAACATATGTCGAACATTTTTGTGGAACACAAAGAGTTGAATTCACGACAGTAGCAAAGTTTTCACAGTACAGGTCCAGATCGTTACTAAAAAGAAGGTTATAAGTTGACACGTTGTGAGCAAGAGCAACCGAGTGGCAGTTATCAGTAGCTTGGACAGTGTAGGCTTCTGTGCAAGTAGGGATTGCAGTCGTAGTGGTCGAGGTGGTAACCAATTTTGACGTGGAATTCAGGGCATACGGGGTTGGAGTGGTAAATCCATAACCGACCGTCGCATTACACACGGATGTCAAGGATGCAAGGTTACTCGCAATAGCTGCATCGTATCCTAAAGGGCTATTCATCTGAAGGGCTCGAACCCCGAGCCAGCAATCCGAGCAGGTTTGGTTGGCAGTAGTATAATAACCCTGACTTGACCAAGCAAGGAATTGAGGATCACAGAATTCTCCAGTATGACTAGTAGTTTATTAGTATTGATCATCTGGGGCTTTGCATAAGATTGCCCTCTATTTTTCTATCAAGAAGAAAGAGAGGGATGGAGAGGAAAGCTGACCGGTCAATTCTGCAGGACACACTATAGGTATGGATGAAGCTATCAATGATGAAGGTGGCTACTTAGACTTGGCACGGAGCTTAAAGAGAGGAATTCACCTTTGGGAAAACATACCAGGATATGAAATTCTGTCGTATATGATAACGTCCGTTGTCTCCGTACATGCCTCATGGATTGTATGTAGAGCATCTTCGAGCGATGTGTAGCAAGAATCGGTACACAGCTCTGTAACTTGAGCAGTATCCAATATTTCGCCACTAGAGGATATCACATGAGTGGCTGTATTCATCATAACGGTAAAAGGAGATATAAGGTTGGTTCACCTGGAAGAAACCGGATTCAAGAATGGTGGACAGGAGACGTTGGTCTCTAAGGCACCCAAACAAACCGTACTAAGGTCTGGGTAGTTGATAAAACTGCGTACCCCAGAAAGCTGTTGTGCCCATGTAGACCCTAGAAGAAGGATCCCAAGGGCCCAGAAGATGGAATTTGCATTTAGCATTGCCATTATGAACGTTTTTAGAGAATGGCGATATCATCCAACGTATGTTTAAAGTGGTCAACCCTTTCTTAAAACACCTCAATTCAGATTGAAATGCGGCCAAGTTCAACCAAATATTTTTAAACGGCAGCAGAATACCGAGTCAGCCCTCCTGATGTAAGAAACTGCTTACATACATACCTATGATTAGGCGGGGGTCTAGAAAGACCCTGAATTCCTTCTTCAAGAGACTTAGGACAATTTGCGAGAAATATTCATGGCCCCCGGGGTGAATTGAGGGTGGGGCCGTTATGATGGCACGTTCAATCGCCCATCACCGGAGCACAATGCCCTTCTTGATCATAAATGACTCGAATATGTAGACCTTTATTTGGTACTGGACGGGACGGACACGGGAAGGGAAAACATATCCCGCAGTATAAACGTGTTCTGGGTGTGTTTGTTAGTGTCGGGGGGCCGAAGTCTTGTGTTTCATTAGGACGCCCTAAGCGACTGGGATGCGGTTCGAGACCGGAACCCCTGCATTAGAGGCTGTTTAAATAGGTATAAGAGAGTCAGGCATGTACAAAGGTACAGGCTATATACATTGCCTACCACACTTTCTCCACACCCCCGGTAGGAATCATGTCAATATGACCCTTGTCTAATTTCCAAAATTACGCCTTTCAATGCAGTTCCCGTGGAATATTTGATATCATATAAACCGTTGATACATTCACAAAGTTCAATCGAGGGAAGTCTTAGTAGGCAAATCATGTGTTTATTTCCAAACTTATTGGAGCCTGAATGCCAAATCTCATCAAGAACAGGCCTTGCCAACTAAGTGATGGTTTTTTTTTCAAAACACATCAAGTAGCTAGTGCAAACTGATCGCCAGGATTTAGATTGACAGAATGCGTAGCGAGAGGGGCAGATATAGATAGTCACTGATTCGGGGGCCAAGTCCACATGCAGGGATATTCACAGTGCTAAGTCTAGTTTCAAGGCTCAGAATGGTAAGATCAAAAGTAATCAACCTGACTGGATTTTCCATAAAATTTGGAACTGTCCCTTCTGGTGTGTTTTTCATTCATATCCTGTGGTTCATTATATGTGGCTGCTTCTGCTTAGCCCAGTCAATCATGGCCTCTAAGCACTATGGGCTTGGGTTTTTTCCCCAAAGGCTGTCGTGGGCTATACTGGGTATGATATTTTGTCTCACTTCTTACATTTGGTTAAGTTCACCTGCATCCTCGTCCATTCACCTTTCTGCTAGAGATATACATATCTCATTGGATAAGCAAGGGCTGTCAGCCAACTCATCCAAGGTAGAGAAAACGGGTACTTATTCGTGCAGTGCGAAAAAGCCATGCAGTAATGGGGCCTGTTGTGGTGCAAGTGGCTATTGTGGTTATGATCCAGCCCATTGCGGCAAAGGATGTTTAGCAGATTGCAATGCCAAGGCAGAATGCGGCGAGTACGCAAAAACCCCTGGGCAAAAATGCCCTCTCAACGTTTGCTGTAGCGAATTTGGATTTGTGAGTTATTTTCTATGCACCAGAGAAGCCAGCCAAAGAGACGTACTGACACTTGAATTTCAGTGCGGTACCACAGCCACATTTTGTAATGGTATATTCACCTACCTCATCATCAACTATCATTCGGATATACTAAACATACCAGGTAAATGCCAAAGCAATTGCGATCTCCATCCGAGACCTCCTAGTGGTGCTTCTAAAGCAGGCATCATCAAAAGCAAAGTCATTGGATACTACGAGGCATGGTCTGCTCGAAAGGATTGTCACAAGGTTTCTCCAATCGATCTGCCATTAGAAGCCTTGACGCAGTTAGTTATTCATCCCACGGGCATCTACAGACTGTGACACTGAAACAAGACTTATTAGCCTCAATTTCGCTTTCGCATACATAGACCCTAGTAGCTATGAAGTCGTCACTATGGATGGATCAACTCCAGCAAAATTGTTTCAAGATACCACAAGTGTCAAACTCATAAAGCCTGAGCTCCAAATATACGTGAGCATTGGTGGCTGGTGAGTTATCCCTCTAGTTGGCAGTCCTCCATCTATCGTTCTCATCATTCTTATCTAGGACATTTTCCAACAACCATACAAAGACTCAGGCTGTTTTCGGTGACATTTCTGCAGACCCGAAGAAACGTCAGACCTTTGCCGATAATGCGATAAAATTCATGAAGCAATATGGTACTCAATCCCTGTCCTGCCTACATAGACCGGCTTCCGCAAATATGATTGCTAATCTAACCGCCATCGTAGGATTCAACGGCATTGATCTTGATTGGGAGTATCCGGGTGCCCCTGACCGAGGGGGTAAAGCCAGGGACAAAGAGAACTACGTCGAGCTACTCAAGACTCTACGTCGGACCTTTGATGCAAGTGGTGCTAACTATGGTCTAACCTTCACCGTCCCGTCTTCCTATTGGTACCTTCGTTGGTTTGATCTTGAGAAAATGGTCCAATATGCGGACTGGGTCAATCTCATGAGTTATGATCTTCATGGAGCTTGGGATGCTGATAACCCAATTGGTAGTATCGTGCAAGCCCACACAAATCTTACTGAGATTAAACAGGCCGTTGAGTTATTCTGGCGCGTCAATGTTCCCCCTGCGAAAGTTGTGATGGGATTCGGCTTCTACGGTAGATCATTCACCTTGTCAGATCCCTCTTGCAATAAACCGGGATGTCCTTTCAAAGGGGCAGCAAGCCCTGGTCCCTGTTCAAATACCGGAGGTATCCTAGCATATTACGAGATCATGTCTGCTCTTAATGGAGCATCAACCTCCTCCAAGCGCAGCACTATCTCGCCAACTCATGACAAGGAGCATGCCGTCAACTATTTCACCTTTGACGAGGATCAGTGGGTTTCTTTATGACGATGAAACAACTTTCAAGCAAAAGACCGACTGGGCAGATGATGTTGGTCTTGGTGGAGCGATGATTTGGGCTTCAGATCTTGGTATTGTTGAACAATTCATCTCTTCCTGTCTGTTTGCTAATACTCCACACAGATACAGATAAATATACCGCTCACTCGGGTCTGACTGGTAGGAAGATCAAGACGAACCGAGATCTTCAGGCTATCGACAAAGCTCTGTCAAATCCGGTCGCAGTCGTACAGGACTTGGCTGGATCAAACGGACAGAAGTGTTTTGTTCACAAAGGTGACTGTGTGCATCTTAATGATAATGGCGCAATGTCTAAGGCGTGTGGAAAGGGCTACACGCCCGTGGGATGGGATGATGCCGGCTGCGGTACATCAAGCTGCGTATGTATCTGAGCTTTATGGACGACCATTGTTGGACCTGTTAAATCCAGGCTATTCCATGGGGTCCTTTACCTTTCGTTACAAGAGATTTACTGACTATTTTGACCAGCATTGTGGCAAGCCAGTCTGCTGCCCAACTGCAAGCGCTCCCAAAAACTGCATATGGCGTGGGGATGATAATGGCGGCGGGGCAGGCTCAGACTGTAGCGCTCAGTGCAGGCCTGGTGAGATCAATATTAAAGGAATTAGATCCTCATGGGGTGGGGGTTTCCTCAATGATGGCGGCACAGACAAATGTGGTCGCGGATACAAAGCCTTCTGTTGCCCTGATCCAAACTTCTCAAGTGTGACTTCGCATTGCTCATATGCTGCATGGTATGTGCTTGACTCCGATCCATAACCCAGACATCGCGGATGTAGTTGGATAAACTGACAGCTTTCATCGTCGCAGCGGCAAGGACTGCCCAACTGGGAAAAAGTCTGTTTTCACGAAGTATGATAAATGCTGGACTGGTGGTCAAAAGTACTGCTGTCGTACTCCAATCGAGTTAAAAGATTGCAACTGGGTCGGAGGGAGCGGCGGTGATGGGGACTGTGCCAATGCCAATTGCAATGCGACAGAGGTTGAGATCGACCGAGCTACCTATGGGGATCATTCCACGGCGTGTGACTGTAAGTAAGCAGCTGTGACAAGCTGGATGACTTCCTTGATTCCTAGGCTGTGAACACAATACTGATAGATTCATCATATTATAGGGGGTAGGAAGAAGGCCATGTGCTGTACCATCAAAAAGCAACCGCCACCCCCTGCCATGTGTACTACTAATCTGTGCAAGGAACTTCCAGGATCCTGCCCAGATCATGACGATGACGAGAGTGCCAATGGCTGGACTAGAAGAGACCTCTCCACTTTCGTTGACAGCAATGAGGCATATTCTCCTTCCCTCGAGAAACGCAGCACTTCAGAGTATAAAACGCGATTGACTTGGCGAATCGGTCAGGTTATACACACCGCAGAAATCCTTGTTCAATCAATCAGCTACCCCACGAATATGGCAAATCTCATAAACTCCCGCACCGTCTATGGCGTTCTCCGCAAATCGTTCACATTGATTCCAGGATACTGTCTTGGCCCATCCATCAGGGTCGAAAGTTTCCCCCCGGACAGCTTGACTCGTCTTTCTTTACAAACTTGCATCTGCAAGTCGAGCACATCATCGACCGCCAAATCATCGCGCCGTTCCTTGAAAGCGCAACTGGAGGATACCTTCCATCCGATCCTGAAAATACCTACGACGATCTGGCACCCGTTGACGGTCTGTTCATCAGTAATCATTTTGAAACTTCCTTCCCTGCTCTAGGAGCTCGATCCGCCATTGGTGGGCCCGATGGACCTCGACCAGACACTTTGATCGGTCGTCTAATGCATACATTTGGGAGCTCGGACTATCGCTATCCATTCTTGCCCACCGAGGACAGCGTCAATGGAGCTAAAGGTCGAATCATGGGGGGCAATGCGCCAACGGCTCTGACTGAGATTACGAAGCTTGCAAAATTAGCCGTTTCAGCAGACACTAACCAGGCGGCCGACAAGTTAATATCGGCCATCCGAGTCGGATTTGCTGTCTTCGATTATCTCCAGCAACCAGATGCGAGCCTTCGTTGGAACAAGGTCATCGAGCAGTTCCGTCTTCAGGCAGGCTTTATAGAAACGGATCTCAACTTGCCCGGGTTAGTTGCCTGGTGGGATGTTTGGTTCCCCGACTTTTTAAACGTTCGTCTCAGAGCGGCGACGGTATGGGCCGATCAAGCTATTATTCATGCCGTTCAGCCATTCCAAGACGCCGCACAAAACAATAATCAGCTTGCGATTTGGCCCATGGTGAACGCAGTTTTAACCGGGCTCCAGCAAGACATTGGGGGCATGGCCTTCCCTGCGTTCACCCAAATGCACACTCCTGCGGGTGGCCCTCCCGTTTGAGCGATGGGCAATTTCTAGATATCAAATCACCATGAAGGGAAGATTGATTTATGTTATATATCGCAATCGACAGTCTTAGCGTAAATCGCCTTTGCGTTAACACCAAGCGCAGTGTTGGTTGGTAGTAAATTTGAAGGACTGCTTGAGGCAAATATCCCACACGATATCCAGCGTTTATTAGTCTTCCGCAATGTGCAAGTTTAATCTTCCTAACTCTATGAGGGAAAATCCATGTGTTGGCATTCCACGTAGGTGGAGGCAGTGCAGGCTGTAAGCGCCGTCTCAGACTCTCAGCTGAATGCCCATCGTCTCTTTCTCTCAAACAATTACACTCCTGTTTTTGGGCATTTCTGCTATCTTCTTGTAAACTGGATTATTTGAATCATTTGAATCGCTCTGCGTGCGGATATGAGTTTCGGATTTGGTGTCGGCGACTTCATTGCGGTCACCAAGATCGCCAGCAAGATCCGAAAGGACTTCGCCGAAGCACCCAGTGAGTGCAAGGCTATTGTTGACGAGTAAGTTCAATTTCTTTTTCAATATCTACATACCTTACTATCCTGTGGTGCTGACTAGGTTCTTGGTAGAGTTAACAACCTCTCGGTGCTACTGGTACATGTTGACATTGACGTATCCGCTAAAGAACTCAGTACCCAGCAACAAGCTGAACTAGGAGACATACTGGAAAGCTGTCGTAGGGTCTTAAGCGACCTCGAAAACATACTCGATGAATTTAGAAGCCTGGAGACTGTGGATAAAACTACCAAAAAGCTATCTACATTGAAACGCACATGGAAACGTTTTAAATGGGAAACGAATGAAATTAAGGACCTCCGACTACGAATCATCAGCAATATCAGCCTATTGAATACCTTCAATGGACGGATCAGGGGAGAAAATATCAAAAAAATAGTGCACCATCAAGATGAAGAAAAGGATCGAGCGTTGTTGGAGTGGCTTTCGGCTTTGGACTACGGCAAACGATATAGCGACTACATCTCGCGACGACAAGACGGAACAGGCCAGTGGCTTTTGCATTCGCCAGAGTTTCAATCTTGGAGCTCAGGCTCAAAGAAAACATTATTCTGCCCAGGGATCCCCGGGGCTGGGAAAACTATGTTAGCCTCTATCGGGATTGAGGAGCTCTATAGCCGACGTCAAGACGACAGCAGTATTGAGATCGCATATCTTTACTGCAACTTTCAGCAGCGCTATGGGCTAGACATGATTCTATCAAGTCTTTTGAAACAATTGGCTCGAGCACACCCAAATCTGCCAAGTATCTTGTCTGAGATGTACGAGCAACATCAACCGAAAGGCACGAGACCATCGACCGAGAACCTTACCAGGGCACTTCATTCTATAGTCAGTCAGACAGGAGGCTTCTCAAAGATATTTGTTATCATCGATGCTTTGGACGAATGTCAGATCTCAGGTGGACCACTTTCGAACCTTTTAAATATAGTCTTTGCCCTTCAGGAAGCCTCTGGTCTGAATTTCCTAGCAACCTCACGTTTCATACCTGATATCGAAGAAAGGTTCAAAGCAATGCCGAAGCTAGAGATTCGGGCTAGTAAAGAAGATGTTACGAGATATCTTCGGGGTAATTTATCAAACCTCCCAAATTTTGTTACGCGGAGTGAGGATCTACAGGAAGAGATATCGGAGAAGATAACGGCCGCAGTTGATGGGATGTAAGTGGAGCTTGAGTTGCTTTTTAGAGTCTCGAGCCATCTAACATGTTACCTATATAGGTTTTTGCTTGCCCAACTTCATCTAAATTCCTTGGAGGGCAAACGGTCGCCCAAAGCAATCCGGTCGGCGTTGAACAACCTCTCCATCTTAGCGAACTACGAATCTGCATATGATAGCGCCATGGAACGAATCAAGTCGCAAATACCTGATCAAATTGAATTAGCGATGGATGTCCTAGCATGGATTACTTGTGCGAAAAGAGCACTCACTACAGTTGAACTTCAGACCGCGCTTGCCGTTGAGATTGGCAAGTCGGAATTTGATGAAGAGAATATACCTGATCTCGCAGACATGGTTTCAGTTTGCGCTGGTTTGGTGACAGTGGACGAACAAAGCGGCATCATTCGGCTGGTTCATTATACTACGCAAGAATACTTCGACCAAAAGCAAGCCATGTGGTTTCCGAAGGCACACCATGATATTAGTCGAACTTGCGTCTCATACCTTTTATTGGATGGGCTTAACGATGACCATTGCATCAAAGACGAGCAACTTATAGCACGTATCCATGACTATCCTCTTTACGAATATGCTAGTACTTTCTGGGGTAATCACCTCAAACGAGAACTGGAAGACACCGAGCTTGACAACACAAACAACAACCCAGTTATGAAATTGCTAACCCGCACCTCATTCGTTAACATGTCTGTGTAATTTCGAACCGCTTTCACTTTTTAGTAAAATAGATTCCATATTCTTGAGGGAAAGAAAGCATTGGTTGCATTCAGCTAGCTAAGAGGGAGGAAGGAAGATCAAGATGGGGAGCAAGGTCCTATGAACCTGAGGCATAAACAGTCTCAACACATATTTTATCTTTATCGAGGATTTCTAAAAATTTCATTAATTGGCGAAGGAATTTTGATAGCCTTGGGGTGGCCCCGAGTATCTTTGCAGTAGTTAGATGCGTTAAAGGTTAAATTAAAAGTGGAACGGAACCTTGGAATAGGAGCGGAAGGAGCCCTACAGTTTCCAAGGTCTCTTCCAAGGTTAGGGACATGTATCAATGATAATAAACAAAATGAGTATTCCAAGAAAAGTACAAAAGCACAGCTAACTAACTACTCTCTCCCATTAACCATTGACATCGTCACCATGCTCTGCAATCATGTAGGTACGGTCATGTCTTTCCCCCTCTCTGTACAGTATGTGCTCCCAAAACGAAAATAAAGATGAAAGAAGCTCTCCAATTCGAGCCTCACAGCACGCGTCCAGCTGACGAGCTTATGCTACGGTCATTCACTTGAGTCTTCTTCAGGGTCCTGCCTTGCTGGATAGACGCAAGGAGGGCGCCTCGGCCAGCGCCAGGGGCCGCGGGAGCAGGTGGGGGCGGGATGCCGGCTGGAGGGGGTGGTGGGGGAGCAGATGGGGCTCCGCCAGGGGGCGGGGGAGGGGGCATGGAAGGAGCACCGGCTCCTCCTGGGGGAGGAGGAGGAGGCGGAGGTGGGGGGAGGGGGAGGGACGCCAGATGGCGCAGCGGGTGGGGAGGTAGCGTCGCTGGAACCTGGAATAGCAGGAACAGGAGGCAGAGTTGCTGGGGGTGGGGGCGGGGGTGCAACAGGGCTTTCTTGTACCGGGGTAGCGGATTTCGAGGCAGACTTGTCGTCGTCCATGGCGCTCAGAGGACGTGGAGGCGCCATAGTGCCGAACAGGATGCTGGCAAGTTGTTTGGCGCTGCCGCCGGTTGGACGATCGTCCTCGTCATCAGACGAATCGAAATCGGAGCCAGCAGCGGACCAGTCATCATCCTCTTCTGGGCGGGTACGGGTCTTACGTTCCAAGGGGGCTGCACCAGTGAAGGTGGGCTTGATGGGTTCTTGCTGGGTCAAGCGGTGGAAGGGGTTCGTAGACTGAGCTGTGGCAGGCGGCGAAGTCGCTGGGGTAGGCTCAGATGGCTGGCCCAATTTCTTGAAGTAAGGGTTCTTGGATTCAGCATCTGGCGTGGCGGCAGGAACACCACGGCTGCTCTCGGGGGAGCTCATTTCGCTAGGCACACTTTCGGGGGCGGGAGGTTCAGGAATAGCGATGGTGGGCACGGGAGGTGGGGGAGGGAGAGTCTGGCTCTGCGTCGGGGTGCTGTACTGAGGAGTGATATCGGCAGGGCCTTCGTCATCGGACGATGACTCGTCAAGTCCCTCGAGTTCACGCTGCAGCTGTCGCTCACGTTCCTTGGCAGCCTCCAGTTCAGCGCGTTGAGCTGCAAGACTAGCTTCCTGTTCTTTGGACTGTCGGCTAGCCTCTTCCCTGCGGCGCTTCTCTTCCTGCTTCTTGATCTTGCCCTGGCGGACTTGTTCCTCGAGAGCACGAAGTCGAGCGGCTTGGGCATCCTTCTCACGTTGGAATTCCAGCTCGCGTTGGCTTGCCTCACTCCTGTAAATGTATTAGCCAAGTCCACCAATTTTATCTCCGTCAGCTGTGGATTACTCACTCTAGACGCTTAGTCTCCGCCTCCTGCACCTCTTGCTCTTCCTTGATGGCCTGCTCACGAGCAGCTTGATCCACTTTAGTGGGTTCCTCGCCCCTCTTGGCATCGGCTTGGCCGGCACTATCCGTCCGAGCCCTGCGGGTGGGCGGGGCCGGCGGTGGTTTCTTGCCCACAGTCTTCGGAGCTGCTTCACTAGGACCGCCCCGTTCTTCAGCCAGGCGACGTTGTCTCTCCTGTTCCCGCTTAGCATCCTCTTCCTCGGCACGTCTGACACGTTCTTCGCGCTCCTTCTTCTCACGCTCCTGGCGTTGCGCAAGAGTCTCAGTAGCGTCATTTGGTTTCAAACCAGCAGCAGCCATGCGCTCAGCAATCCGCTTTTGCGCACGCTCTCGAGCAGCCGCCACACGATCTTCATGTGTATTACCAGGAAGAGAGGTTGACGAGTCCACGGACTGGGGCATCGAAGGGCGCGCAGCAGATTCGGCAGCTGGAGATGCCCGAGAACGCACCTCAGGGGAAGGTCTATCTCGCCTATGAATTGTCAGCATTGATAACTTTTCCTAATTGACAAGGACAACATACTCTTCTTTGCGAACATTTGCAGTTCGCGCGTTGCGGCTCAGGTCGTAGATGAAGTCACGGATGACATCCTCAACTCCCAATGCCTCTTCCCAACGACGCTTCTCATGCTCACGTGAAGAGGTTTGGCCCTCGACCCGGAGACTGTCCTCCAAGCTGCGAGCGAAATCACGGACACTTTCCTCGACATCACGAGTCATAGTGTCATTGCGCTCCCGCTCCGTCTTCACGTTGGTGCTCTCAGACTCCAGACGACGAGCCGCTTGGCCGTCGTCATCTTCCGTCGCGGGTGCGGGGCGCCCAGAAAGTTCGGCAGCCCGGGCTTGCATACGCGCACGCGCGCGGGCCTTGATGCGATCTGCCTCGGTCACAGTGCCACCAGGGCCAGTGCCAATGATGTTGGAAGCGCCACCGGGGTGCGCCTTGGCGTCCCTGAGACGGAACAGCTCAAGCTTCGCGTCCGCGATTTCACGCTCAAGACGACGCACGTCAGATGCAACCTGAGGAACTTGATCTTCAAAAGACTGCAACTGGCGACGAAGGGCCCTGCGCTCTGCACCGCTATCCACTTGACGGAACGCGGCATTTGGGTGGGTATCAAGGTCATCCTGTACACGACGGATACGCTCCATAAGACTCTCTGCCTCGCGGCGATCCTGGCGGTCTAGATCATCATCATCCTCGGCTCGGTTCTCGTCTTGGAAATCGGCAGCGTCAATCATGACCTTGGCCTCACGGATCTTCTTTTGCAGCTGTTCCACGGAATACTCCTCGTCTGACGTGCCAGAGGCGGCCGGGGACGGGGTACGAGCCTCGTTGCCAACGCGACGGCGTGCACTAGAGCGGTATCCACCAGCGGAGTCATTGTTCTTAAACATCGTCGCATCCTTGCGGCTGGCCGCAGCAGAGCCTCCTGCACCACCACGGAAGGAGTGATCCTTAAGGTAGCTGACACCAGTCTTTTGCGGCTGCAGGAACGCCCCGGTAGCCTTGCGAGTTTCAGCATCCTGCGAAAGAAGAGACTTGACTGTACCGATAGAGTCATTCAAGTGTCTTGTAGAAGGAGGAACAAGCTCGGGTGGTAGACGGCTAGGAATTGGGTATCCGTTGAGAGCACGGTAGATCATGTGCATGGCCACGGCGAACTCATCCATGTTCAGTCGGCCGCGGTTATGGGGGTCAGCCAGGGTCCAGATCCGTTCCAGGTCTTTTCTATTCAGACCACTTTGGCCCATGATCTCAATGGCAGTCTCGCCGCTGATGAAGCCTTTATGGAAACCGTCCCATGCGCGGAAAAGATCATCGTAAATCTTCTTCTCCTCCTTTGTAATGGCCCATGCAACTGTAGCATTTCCTGAAAGGCCGACCGCACTGAAACCACCTTCACGCCCAGGCTGTGGCATGAGCTGCTGCTTCATAGCCTCGATGTTGGGCAAACCCTGGGCTGGTGTGTTGATAAATCCCCATTGACCTGGCATGCCGGTAGGTTGCGCCGCCAAGCCCGTAGGCTGTACGCCGAGGCCTTGCATTCCACCGGTCTGGGCAGGGCTGAGATTTGACCCGTAACCGGTAGGCATAGGCGGCATCGGAGGCCGGGGGCCGGTATATCCAGTAGCCTGCGGGTTACTCATGAATCCAGTTTGTTGGGGCTGGAGGAACTGGGACTGGTTCTGGCCAGGGAAGCCCGTCTGGTTGGGCTGCTGGATACCTGTCTGCTGAGGGAAGAACCCAGTAGGCTGTGCTGTCAGCTGCGACAGGAGCTGGGCATTGTTCGGTTGCTGCGGGACGGGCTGTTGAACAATCGGGGGCGTCGATTTGTTCTCCATGAGAGGCGCATCGAAGTTGGGGACGTTCGTTCGCTGTTGTTGAACCGGCTCCTCGGGAACATCGAACGAGATGATATCGACCATGCTGGAAACCTCGTTCTTGATCGTCTCTGGTAGGGAAGAAGGAAGTTCGCGACCAGTGAGACGAATATTGCAGAGGTACATAGCCAACGCGAATTCAGGGAAGAACAACTGTCCAGATTTGGTGGTATCAGACAAGACCCAGATCTTTGAAAGATCCGCGCCCGTTAATTTGGAGCGCAGCAAAAGATCTCTTGCTTTGTCGCCTATTATAACCAGTCAGTACTGCCATACAAGCCATCATAGATGACCAATTAGGTGAACGGAAACCCACCCTCCATTGTCTTGCTATCGCCAACAGCCGACTTGAAGAGCTGCTCGAACCTCGCCTGATCCTGCGCCGTGATAAAAGAAAGCCGAATGCTTGGGATCTTTGACCCTGTCTTCGGGGGCACCTGAGGAGGTGCCCCAGATCCAGCAGCACCTTGGAAGGAGTTCGCGATATCGGTAGAGGTCTTGAATCTGGTGGGTATCTGCGGCACTGGGGGCGGCTGCTGCGCCTGGTTCTGAGGAGGGAATCCAGTGTATTGTGGTTGGAAGCTTTGCGCTTGCTGCTGCTGTGGTTGCTGTGGTGCGGCGCCGGGGTAACCAGTGAATTGCGACTGGAGCTGTCCCGCGGGGAATCCGGTGGCTTGAGGCTGTACCTGCGAGTTACCGAACGGGGAGGGCTGGCCGGCGAATCCGGTCTGCTGTGGAGCAAGACCAGTGGGCTGCGGAGCAAATCCAGTCTGCTGAGGTTGTTGCATTGATGGTGGCTGCTGGCCTTGGGGAAATTGTGAATAGGGGGGTTGCTGCTGCTGTTGCATGAATGGTGCCTGGCCGGGACGGCCACTGGCACCACCCCCGAGGAAATTATTCGACGAGGAGTACATCACTGAAACCACGCTCGCATGAGCAAAATAGATGCAGAAAAGCCAACAAGAAATTGACGAGAAGAACGAATGCAAAAGGCAAGTGAGTTGAGTCTCAGGAGGATGCGAATGACGCCGTTGCTTGACGCGGAGGCACCCACGCTAACCCCATCGGGTGCTTAGTCATAGATCTGCTATTTTTGGATCTACATGTACGACCAGAATGTGTACTTGGTTAATGGATGCAAGTGATGATTCAAAGCTTTAAGCTTGTTAATTTGTTGGTATCAGCTGGTTTATGTGCTAGCGAAATCTCTCAGAAGCATTAGAGAGCATAAAAGAAACGCGCCCGCGAAAAAAGGGGCCACTCATAAATCCCCAGGTCGAAATCGAAAAAAAGCAAACGCAAGGCACAAAAGTCCATAACTGCTCCATGCGCCAGATTTTCAGACTTAAGAAAAGAAGCTCAATAGTGACATGGTCCACTCATAACCATTTACTCAGCAGCGTTCTGCTGCTGCTGGTTGGCGGCGTTGGCGGCCTTGCGGAGCTCGTACTCCTTGGTGAATTCCCGAGACAAGATACCCAGGTCCTTGATCAAAGCCTCGGAGGCGTTAACAACAGCTTGGCGAGGGGTGATATCTCCGTCAGTCTGGATACGCAGCTGGAACTCGGGAGTCAGCGGGTGAGGAACCTAATGAATATTTATTAGTATCTATCCAAGAAGAAACACCATGTGCATATAGCAGGTCGCTTACGCGGTAGGCAGCAAAGATAACATGGGCAGTCTTCAGGAGACGGTGACGCAGCATGTTTCCAAGGGTGTGGTCTTCCTTGCGGAAAGTAAAGATAGCAGCAGATGGGAGACCTAGAGAGATACGGTCAGCTGGATTGTGCGATCTAGCCTGATCAACATGACTTACGGGTGTCGACCTCAACATCAATCTTGCTTTCGCCAGGAGCGAGCAGGATAGCTTCATACCTATATTGGTGACATTGGTCAGCTTATGGTTCTCAGATATGAAAAACGAGACATGAAGATGCAGAGAAAGGACAAAAAGAAAAGGAAACAAAAGCCCTAGCCCTCAGCATCGTAATCCCGTGAGATAATTCAACTGACACGTCAGGGGCATCATCAGGAACCACAGGGCGAGGGTGACGCGGATGGGGACCCGAGCCGACGCGGCCAGCACGCTCTCTGGCGATAGCCGCAGTGGCCGTGATAATGGCAGGGCTCTGAGGCATGACTGCACAAAACAGGAATGATAAAACAGGGAATGGATGATAAACAAGAGGATGAAAATGCACACGAGGACAACAGTCCACGAGTAAACAAGAAGATGGCAGAGGAAAAAGATGTTGACAGTGGAGGAGATGGGAGAAATAAACACGATCAAATGGTCTTTCCTGGGGCAGGAGCAACGGTGCGTGGAAAGTGCGATCAACGATGTCCATGTCCATCCCTCCTTCCCGTTTTAGTGAGAGATAAAAAGGAAGGCACAATTACCCCGGGATCCGGGGTAGATGTCCTGCGGTACACATGATATGCATCCAGATGTCCAAATCGAACAGTATTCAACGCACAACCAATTTCCCCAGAGCAGCTCAATGAATAAAATTTCAGAAATTTCAGGAACGTTGACATCCACTTACCGATCTGGGGCATTCATAGTGGCGAGAAAGCTTTAAAAAAGCGAAAAGGTTAAAGTTTGAGGGCAGGATACCTCTATCGGTATTGATGATATGGTTCTATGTATGTATCCAAGAACTCTCGGAGTTGCAGAAAAGAGAATTTGATGAGGAGTCGAAGGCTGGGTGTAGTTTCAAAGCCTATTTATAGGTTACCAGTTCGTTTTGACTTGTGAAGACAATAGCGATCAAACGCGCGTGCCTTCGGAATATGCTTTTGAGGGTGCTTATCGATAGCGAAGAAGTTCAGAGAAAGGAGCCCAATGGGGAGGTACACTTTAAAAGGCTATTTGGTCCCTGACTTCGCACTTGTTTGACGTTGACGTTGAGGGATGAAGATATCGTGATACATTCGATATCGATATCGATATCGATCATGTGACCTCCCCTCTGCATATTGTCACGTGACTATACTTGGCCCACATAGCTGGAACATTCTGATTCTGTGTCTGGACACTTGTTATGCATTGGCAGGCAGTTACTTTATCTTCGTCTCACTTCAAGGTCAAAACACACTGTGTTGGTACTTCGAAATTATCTATGTTTGTCCACAATTTACACGTTACACCTTTGCGTTTGTCAAAGGAATGGAGATGATCTCTCGACTTAAAAAACATCATGAATTGTTTTAGTTGACTGGAAGCGATCATCTTGATATGACATATAAAATATATTAGCCGCAGTGTATGGAGAACTTCCATCTCAAGACAAATCTACGCTATGGTAAGATATACAAGCGGAGTACAGAACAACTCAAACAAAAGAAACAAAGAACCTTGAAAAGAGCCGATATAACGGCCACAAGGCCCGAAATGTATTAAGGGAGTCGAGTAGACGCAGAGTGCTCTTGCGAGAGAGAAGACAATGCAAAAACACAATGAAAGATAGGAAACACAAAGATAGAAACACTATCAGATAAATAAACGCCATGTTTCTTCCTGCGCCGATATCATAGAACAAGAGGAAAAGGATCAAACTCAAAGATCAAAACTAGAAAATCACAAGGAAAGCATATATATTCATACTTGTAAATGCCGAATCCCTCTGCCTGGCCGGAATCACCATGCGATGAGACAAGGAAACCCGGGACAGGGGAACGAGTGACATACAAGATGTGAGACGAGGGCCGGGGATGCATTGTCGAGACATATCCAAATGGCACGGCAAGCCCTTCTCTGAGTCGATGGTATGTGCGTCATATGTCATGTCGTAGAGGGGCGGGAGGGGAGGTATTAGGGAACGGAAGCGGAAATGTAAATGCAGAGAAGAAAGGGGCAGGCTATACAGTGTAACGCGGACAGATTTCTTTTCAGATGCAATGCAAGCACGCTTTCATGGTGGAATGAGGAAGGAGGAAAGAAAGAAAGGGGACAGATCCAGGGACTTAGTGCACGGCGCTCAGCAGATCCCCAAACGAAGAGGTCGATCGCTTCATCTTCCAGCTGCTCTTCTTCTTTTCACGCTTCTTCACCATGTCAGCCCAGGCCTCGTCGTCGTCATCGTCATCAGAGCCGGGCTTTCCATTTACAGGGCCAGCGCTCCGGGAAACGGGGCGGACGGTCACAGTAGCGAGATGCGATTTCGGAATGTGAGATTGAGGCATCGGCATGGATGGGCTGTGGTTTTCATCACCAAAGGGCTTGTTTGAGGAGGCCACTGCGTAATTCGATTCGGGCTGCATGACTGACACTGGTCGATAACGAGGCGCCATGCCAGCGGTGCTGCGCTCCGATGGAGCGATTGAAGCGGCGTATCCGGTGTTGGGGCGGAATGGAGTGCCGGACAGATTCGGCATAGGCGAGCCAGTTCGACGAGTTGAAATGTTGGGGTCCAGCATGCTCATCGTACGCTGATCCAGGTTGGGTGGGAGCGAGGGCGGCATATTGAGAACGGATCCTGCAGGCATGGACATCGGCCGGAAGTTCGGGTTACCCCCCATGGAATGGGGTCCTGCTATAGACGGAGGGCCCATGGGTGGCATGCCCATCGCTCCACCGGGCATCATCATAGGAGGCATAGGCATGCCTTGCATCATAGGCTGACCCTGTCCACCTTGCATTTGCATCATTTGCTGCATCCACTGCATCTGCATCTGCATCATGTTGGTCATCTGCTGCGATAGCTGGATAGAAGCTTGTTCCCCGGGGTTGAAGTTTTGCTGCTGCTGCGAGTATGGCCGAGGCACTCCTCCCATATCGTGCATTGCTTGTGTGTTCGGGCTTCCTCTGCGCATCGCTCGCGCCCGCTCCTCATTTGCTATAACGCCGACAAGACCTCCAGGGGGATGTGCTGGGGACGAAGATCCTCCATATACCGAACCACCTCCGAAGGCTAACGATTCACGGTTGGGGTTGTTGACCAGACCTGCACCGAAGTAAGGGTCTCGCGGCAAGTTCCTTGCGAAAGGTGGCAGACTGACACGGCTGCCGTTGGGGTCACCCGAAACAGAGTTGGAAGATGATATATATGGCGGTTGCATGGATGCACGAAGGTTGGGATTGGAGCTGACATTGTTCAGACGGGTTGGTGGGCGGTTCTGACCGGGGAAACCGTGGGCGGCCAAAATACCAAGCGGCACATCGTCATCCTCTTCCTCGCTGCTCTTCCCACTAGTGGACTTCTCGCCTAGCACAGACAGGCGACTGGGGTGCAGATTGACCGTGCTGCTGCTACCTCCACTCATTACTGGACGTAGCGATTGCACGGGTGCTTGTTGACCTGTGATCTTCATCATCTGCTGACGATACACAGAGAGATGAGCCTCCTGCTTTCGTCGTTGGCGTTCCGTCTCACGTTGCTTCTCCACTTCGTCTTCTTCATCGTCAAACTCCTCATTATCGGACTCATGCTCGCTCTTAGTCGCATTGCTATTGGAACGTCGAAGTTCTTGCTGCTGGCGATAGTGCTCAAACTGGGATGGAGTCATCACCTTGTTACCCGGAGAAGTTGATTTGGGGAGACTGTCCGCATACTGCACAGCCAACCGCGCGTGATCCGCAATGGAGGGCTCTAATCTGTCGGCCGGAGCGGGCGAACGGTGGTAATGGAACATATTATCAGATTCGGGGTTCAGTTGGCCAGAGTGATTGGGTGCTTTGCCCTTATCAAGCAACGGGGTTTCCCCAGATGGGCTATGCTCAGCCCATGGTGAAGTGCTGTCCTTGCTCCACAAGACAGATTGTCGGACCAGTTTGGCATCTTCGTCATCAAAGGGTGCGGATTCCCCCTTGGGCGAATATACCCCACTCCTCCGCAGTCCTGCTCTCTCCGGTCCCTGCGGGCGCTCCAAGGAACGATGTGAAGTAGTGGCCGCGGTAAAATCATTGGGTGAGGGCGAAAGCTTCCGGGAGCCAACAACTGTATCGAGGGTAGACTGGCTCTGGTTCAGCGGTGGGGAATGCGGGCCACGAAGCAAGCCCTCTTCGGAGGGGCGGCGATCCCAGGAGTAAGGGGGTGACTCGACAGTAGCCGATCGATCTGTATTAATAGCGGAGGGTGCAGCAGCTCTGCTGCTTTGGAACTCGGGCAGAGCATGGGTCGGGGGAGACGAGGAGTACTACAATACTATCAGCACTGCATTCCTGGATGAGCGATTGTAGATCTTACCTTGGCCGGTTTGGGGGATGAACCCCGCATTGCCGAACCCTCTCGGGTACCCATATTGTCGAACATCTTATTGAAATCATCCTGCGAACTAAGGGCGAAATCCGTATCGGGCAGCTTGGGCGGAGTGGCCGTGCTGTCGGTGCTGCCCGTCACCGGGCGCTTGGCGGTATCGGGTGTTTGTTGACGCGGAACTTGTGGTGTTGACTTGCTGAATCGACCGCCGAACGAGAAAGTTCGTCCTGCGGCGCGCAGTGCACTGCTAAGGTGTGGTGGAGCTGGAACATCATGTATTCTGGAATGTGGGGATAGGGTCTCGTCGGGCGGGACCTCGGTCGATGATGGGAGGGTGGACGACGAGCTTAGCCGGGTTGACGTAGAACTTTCGTAGTAGCTAACATCACGGTTCCCAGTCAGCCGTCTCCTGAGGGAATCCATGGTCGAAGGACGATCATACCGGCTCTTTTCCAGGGGTCGCTCCCTTTCGGCAAAGATGTTATCAGAATCCTCCATCGACGGCACCGCATTGCCTTCGCTCAGCGGCTTCGTCAGCACCGCTCCATCCGTCATAGATCGATGAGGCCCCGGGCGCTCGAAGACTCGAAAGGAGGATTGGTGAGGGGTTTCGTCTTCTAGAACGTTGCCGGACGATTTTCGCCTGGTAAAGCTCTTCGGCAGTTTCATAGGCATGGAAGCGGTTTTCTGACAGATCAGGCTGGTATTTGAGTAACCGGCCAATGTGTCTTTGAGAGCTCTCTCATTAAGCTTTGGACGATCTTTGTGTCCTCGGATTGTGATGTATCGCAAGTCCCGAAGCGATCAGTCCAAATAGATCATAAAGAAAGGATTAGGGGTTAAACTGAGAAAGAACTGAAGTCAGTCAGAAGCTTCTAGGGAGTGCAACACGGGTGTGTCTAGCGGCCGATCAAAGGCCCGGAATCCACAGTTGTGGGTTGTCTTCTGTCCGATCTGATGGCATGTCACAAAGATAATTATTCCTTCCTTGCAGATCTCGATCAAGATATTTTTGAAAAGAAAATTGAACCCACCATAAAATGTGAGAGAAATATGTCTTTGTTTCAGTTTCTCAAAGGAAAACACCCAATAAAAACTGGAGACGCGGGGAGTGGATCGGGGACCCTAGGAACCACTAAGGAGAGTAAAGAATGGAAAGAAAAAAAAAAAGAAGAAAAGAGAGAGAGAAAGAGAGAGAGAATGTGTAGAGTAAAAAAGAGAGAGGCGAAAAGAGACGACGCTACTGACAGTCTAGTCCCTATGGTTTCCGGAGTCCAAATATGGTCTGAGTACACTATTATTTACTATTATTACTATACTATAATACTATAATACTATAGGGATTATTAATTATCATTTATCTCATTACCTCAAAACTTTTCAAGGGTACATTCCCATGATCTCATAGGAGTTCAATGTGAAACCGTTTACTATACATAGGAAAAAATCCCTTTGTAAACAGTGGGCTTGTTTTTTGGCCGTCTAAAAATAAAATAGAATTTACTGGAAAAGAAAAAAAAAAAGGCAAATTGGAATGTGAGAATGCAAGTTGGGTCTAGACATATGCATATAATACATATTAATAGAAAGATAATATTATAAAAGAGTATACATATTATATATGTACTCCGTACTCCTGAGTTTATTCAAATGAAAATCCTGCCGATCGGAGATCACGTGAAGTCGATCGCGATCGACATTCCCAGGGAAAGTTCGATTGTTCTTGGTATACCGAGGTACACATCCCACATCTACATCCCCAATTGAACAACAGGCTGGGATATATCGGAGACCTTGATCGGCTGATTATCCTGTACGACCAATAGTAACACAAGACTCGACTGAAAAATTCGGAAGATGTACTACATCGGGAGCAAAAAAAAAAATTAGAGAACTTAAATGACCGCACATACATACACGATGGTTTCAAAAGATATCAAAAGCTGATATCAATACTCCATCATGTTTCCAATCGCACAAACACCTTCTTCCCCCCGCCTTTTATCACGGATTATAAGTTATCTTACAAAAATTGCAATGCAATTTCAGTTCGGCCCATCGTCGCAAATGTTCGCTCGGGGCCAAGGAAGCCAACCGGGAGAGCTTATTTGGCAAAGTGCAGATCGTAGTTCAGCCACTTGCGCGCCATAACGCCCGGTACATCGAGGCCGGGGGTGCCGTAAGTCAAGGGTGCATAGAAGATGAAGCCCCAAATGGTGGCAGCCAAAATGATCAGGGTGGCAATCCAGCCCGCGATGAGTGACTTGGAGCCCATGCGTTCCTTGGCCGTGACGAACCGGCGCAGGCTGCTGACTGACCGCGCCTTGGACTTGCCAGAGGGGTCATCCACAGGGGGAAGTGAAGTGCGGGGGTCGAGCGGCTGCAGGTTGAAAATGAATTCAATCAGGGCGCCACACACCATGGTAGAGGCCAGGTGCGAGGGCAGATAGTGATGCAGGAAGCGCTGGCGACCCATGAGCCAGAAAGGGAAGTAGTGCGCAGCCCAGCAGAGGAACAAGAAGCCGGTGCTGTTGTACAGACGCGAGCGCGTACCGGGGCCCCAAACTGATGAACATGTGTTAATTACCGGAGCGGGACGGGACGGGATGTTTGGTTTTTCGACTTACTTTCTTCCAATGCATCAACACCACGGCGAAGCGAGAGCTGGTCGGCACCAACAATTCCGGCAAACACAGCAAGAAGACTGCTGGCAATCCACCATCCAATGGGGTTACCCAAGAAGTAGATCTGCTCACGAGTATCGTTCTTAGTCCAGAAGCTCACACCCCGCAACAGGAACGGCCACTGGAAGGGCTCGGTGGCATAGGGGTGGCTGCTGGTCAGAGCGTTGTTGTGGTGGAACATGGCACCCTGCAGCTCGAAGTACTTGCGCAGGAAAGGCAGCGTCTTAACCTTACGCTCCTCCTTGACAAGACGAGGACTATCCTCCTCCAGGTTCTCGATGTTCTCAACGTACCAGGCGTTGCTGGACTGGAGGATATTCTTGTTACCATTGATTTCAGCCTGCTTGTAACCCCACTCGGGCAGCGGGGTTGTGTGTGTCCACAAAGCGACCCGGGTTGGGACATGAACCAACTTGAACAGGCTGGAAAGAGTACGGAACTCCTGGGAAGGCTTGCCCGATTCGATCTTAAGCTCGAACAGGGTGTCGTTGTGGCGCTCGCCATCAGCCAGTTCTTGAGAGACCGTGGTGAATTCCTGGTTGGTAGGGAAAAAGGGAGACGCAACATCGTGAGTCAGGAGGTAACTCTCGGTTCCAATGTGGCGGAGCTGGATAACGTCGCCGTTGCGCACGCTTTTGGGCTCAGAGGCATCAACCAGAGGCTGGGCCGGTAGGATCTGCCACTGATTGTTGGTGTCATTGTGGGGATAACCAGTGACCTGCTGGCCCTGGCTGGAAATACGGCCATCATCATAACGCAGAGGGTACTTATCCCAGTGGCTGTGGAGGAATACCTTGGTATCCTTGTGGCGCATGGTAATGGTGTCGAAGTATTGAATGCCAACGGACTGAGCAGTCATCTGGTTGTCACTCAGAGTCTCCTGGAACTCGGGGGTCATGAAGTCGTCGCCGGGGCCAGACCGATTGAGAATAGCGAAGTGGACCTGGAACCAGAACAGGTAGAACATGAAGGGGATAACGACCAATCCAACAGCACGAGCCATAAAGTGCTTGCCCCAGTTGACCATGCTCAGTGCACCCTTCTCGCGGTTGATATCCAAGAGGTTCCACAGGTCAATGAGCACTGCCGCGCCAATGGTCACGAAAGTGAAGAAACCGACGTATTTGGTGGAGATGACGCAGCTCATGCAGAAGCCGGTCAGGAGAAGCCATTTCCACCACTTCCGGCTAAACGGTTGGTGACGCAGCTTGTAGAAACGGACGTAGCACAAAACACTGAGTGCCATTGACAGCACGAGGGTCGCGTCCAAAAGGATCAGACGGTCCTCACCCACGTGGGCGTTGTCAAAGACCATCAGACCAGCAGCCAACACACAGGCTGGCAAAGAGTAGCCGGACTCCCACATGATGAGGAACACCACGGGAATTGTCAAGGCACCGAGAGTAGCCGGCAGGGCACGAAGGGAGAGGTAGGGCACATTGTTGTCGATGTAAGAGTCGCCGATGTTCTCGAACAGGAATCTTCCATCGAAGCCCACGAGCCAACCTACGAGGGCAAACAACAGCTTTCCAAAAGGCGGGTGCACATCGAAGAAATAGGTACGTTGAAGGTAGTAAGAAGCGAACTAGCCAAATAATAACAATGTTAGTCAAAGGGCCCCCTTTTCGTAGACTGCGCCGCCACAAGAGGTATTGGACCTCATACCTTGCCGAAATGAACCTCATCGAATACAACCTCGTTAGGATAATCGAGGCGGTAGAACCGTGTCGCAAAAGCCAGGAGGGTGAGAATCACTATGGCCAGCCAATAGTCCCATTCCGACTTCTGTTTGACCGGCACCGACACGGTAGTCGAGCCATCGTCAGAGGGCAATGCGGTGTAAACATCCTTCTTTCCGCCTCTCTTCCGCAGAGAGGGCGAAGGGGACGACATGTTGAAAATATGAAATGTAGAGAGCGACCGAGAAACTACCTATAATCAAATAGACTTCCGGGGGTGTTAGTAAAGATCAACAAAGCAGGAAAAGACCGCAATTGAGGGGAATATGAAGCTTACCAGAATCACCAAATAAGCATGGCACCCAACAATTGAGGCCAAGAAAAATATGCGAAAGGAAAGGAGATGCGGAGGGGGGCTGTAGTTGAGCGTTGCGTGTCTTCTTAGTTTCCGGTAGGGCGGTGGCCCAGGCGGAGCTACGTATACAAATCCACAAAAAGGGTCAACTCCTTGTTTGATATTGGACTGTCGAGTCAAGTATCGAGTATTCAAAGAAGTTGAAGTTCCAATTTCTTGTTGCTTTACATATACGGTGTCCTATGAATCTTCTTATGCCGACTGATTCATGCAATGACTTGGGAACATCCATGTGATCTCTCCTTTGACCACATTTTCGTTGGTTTTTCTGGCATTTTAATTGGACAAATACCTCCATATAAATTTATGGTATATTCTCATTGGAATAATTGGTCTGGAGTCCTGGGAGTGAACAAAGAGGCTTCCTAATTGGCCCTTGGCGAGGTCAGCCAAGTCTGCTCTAGACAATGTCGAACTGCAAATATATACATTCACAGATTAACGCCTTTCGTCCGTCTCAACCTCCCGAATAACAAGCCACAAAGCCTTCCTAAAAGGAGCTTCTTCCTGTTTATTCTCTTGAATGTAAACCTCAGCTCGTTTACCCATGCCTCTCCTCTCCTGATCCCTCGGCTCGTTATTATACTTCTTCAACGAGGCATTGAACCGCGTCAACTTAGATTTAGAAGACCAAGGCAAAATCTCAAATTCAAGATCAGCAATCCAGGGTTGTAAAGTCCCAATCCTCTGCTGCAATTCAAACTCCTGCTGCTGCCTTTCATCGGTCCCAGAATTGGCCATGGACGCTTCATTCTGGAGTTGTAGAAACAGAGGCGCCTGCCGATTGATCTTGCCCTGAGAATCCAATATAGGCAGCTTTGCAACATGTGCTAGCGCATCCAGCTTTGCAATTTCAACTCTCAAGCCGCGCGGACCGAAGATGTCCTTATTGGCTTTTTTGATGGACGAGTCCGTCCGGCTTTTGGACATGCCTTGGCTGCTTAGGTTTGCAAGTCCGCTGACAGCGGACCCAATCCAGTGCAGCGGGAATAGAATTGGGACGGAGCTCAAGATGCCGCCTGTTGCGTCTAGGACTTGTAGAGGCGGACTGGCGGCTATGTCTTTGTTCAGTTGGTCGAGGAAGGCGAGGAAGGATTCCTTGGGGAGTTGGTGGTTTTTTAGAATGGGTGGATATGCGCGGATGAAAGGTGAATCAGAGGAGGATGTGATGGCCGGAATTGCGATTGGTTTGCGATTTGTTTGAGAAGGGGTTTCTTGTACTGGTGATCGGATTGGTTGTGTTGATGGTCCTGGGGCTGTATATGCTGGAGGGTAATCTGCTGCCTCTCCCTCATAAGAGCGTCCCATGTCCTCGAAGGGATTTTGTTTCTTTTCATCCATTGTGAGTGAAAGGAAATAAGCTGATTCTTCTCGTGTCCGTGTTATGGGGGCCAACCTCCTTTTAAGCCTAAAAGTGGGGTGGAGTAAGCTCAGCCTTCCCTCCTAGAGATTGCTTGGATTGGTTAGAATGATATATTGTACGTGTGTACAGTCCACTACTATGTGTAAAGTAAAATAAGCCTTGACTTAGCCACACCCGGGCAGCCATGCTCTTTCCATGGTTGGGTTTGGGCTGCGCTACGCCTTATCGGGAATCCTGTGCGAGATAGCGTCAGCCGTATATTTCACAGCCTCACATCTTAGGGCGCAAATAAGATAGTACGGTAGTGTCGTATTGTGGTTTTATTGGTTATCTGTTCGACATAGAAAAAGACCAAATGCCCCAAGCAATTCACTCCCAATAATGCTGTCAACATATGCAAAACGGATTGGCCACACAAAATATGAACCTGTAATCTCAAGCAAATAGTACAATTCATGGGTATCACTCAAGTATCTTAGGGCCTTAATCGTCATCTGAAACATTCAAAAGCTCCAATTCCATCGAGACTAATGCCTGGAATTCTGCCCGGGGCATTCCAGTGGCCTTTGCCAAGCGGAACAAACTCTTGATGCTCGTACCAATATGCTGCTTCACTCCCACCTCATAGGTGGACTGGCTCTCTGCCTCATATTCCAGTTTGGCGATAGCATCAGAGCTACCGGAAGATGCAGAGGCCGGCCGCGGGTGGTTCAAATCTTGTGCGGCCTTATCATTGGGCATATGGTCTGGGGAATATCCGTTGGTGCGAGGTTCCTCTGGATTGACTCCGTTCACCTGTCGTCGCAAGAGATTGGCCAGCATATCTCCGTTGAGCGATGAGGGACCAACCTCCGGTTGCTCCTCTGTGGGATCATGATTATCCATGGCCGGCTGCACGTCGCCGTACTGCGAGAAATATGACTGCTCAGATAATCCAGATGGACCTGGCTTTGATGAATCGGCACGTGGCGCAGGGGTCTTGGCTCCGGGTGTGGAGTCGTACTGAGCCCAGTAGTCATCGTCGTCGTCGTTCTCCGCGACGTTCTCCTGGGCTTTCTCTTCTTCGGCGGCCTTTAATGTATCAGCTAGGAGCTGGTCCTTCGCCTGAATGTTCGCCTCCCCGATGGAAGAAGCCCAGGTATTCTCATCCTCAGCAGGTCCCTCCCGCGGCAAAAGCTCCGAAACTCGCCAACCACGACCACCTCCCTCCTCGTCTGTCGGGCACCATAGATAGACCACCGCCAAGCTGTAGTCGGTGAGTGGAACTTGTGCTTTGAGAGTCTCATCGTCGATCCGTTTGTATGTCACCGGAAGTTCATCCGGAAGCTCAATTTCGCCCGATACGGGGTGTGGTTCAAAGGTGGCGCCGTCAATTAACCTCTGCAGACGCTCTGCTTTCGCAGCATCCCAGCACAATAGTTGCAGCCATGACTCAGTAGAAGATGTGGATAGCGAACTTAGCACCCCGACTCGTTGGCGCAGAATAGGGGAGAGAAGTGGTAACAGAGCTGGGGGAGCGCGGGGCGAGACAAAGGCTAGTGGGAGGCATGCGAGGAGGGGAGGGAGTAGTTCGCGAGTTTCCGGTGGGTTGATGAGTTCGACCATGATTGTTATAGGTATAAAATGTGGAGAGAGAGAGAGAGAAAGTAGAAATGGGGGATGTTCAAAGACAGTGTTTTTGCAAGCTCTCCGGGCTCCATTCGACCGAACGTGGGGCAACAAACAGAGCAATCACCGGGCCGTAAAGCTTACCCCGTCCGTGGTTCTATCGGCCTTTATATCAGCACGTGGATATTTTCCACATTTCAATATTTCTTTTAATTTTCTACATTCATGTTTTACATATCTATCTCTTTGTATTTCAGATCCTTGCGCTGACTGCAGAGGCTCTAATTTAGATATACTCCTTCCTATTGGCTCTTTTGGATATTAATAAAGCCTGGAAGAACATCTGAAATAAACTCGCCGACTTTCAAAGGTTGGAAGTCCCACATACCAAAGGTTCCACATTCTGCATCCCACCTGGCCAGATACATATAAGCTATAAGCTGGCAGCCCGACGCTCGGAGTAGAATCAGCCGGCCAATTTGAAATTCGGTACGGGAGTACGGAGTACCGCAATACATGCAAAACTAGTATCCACCAGTAAGTCGCCGAATTGACACTAACGGCGATAAGGAAGAGAATATACTGAGAGGTTAAAATCTGCGACTGGCCACATTAGCGAACTCGGCCTACCCAGTACATCATTGTTTGATAGAATAGAAGAAAATGGGAAAAGAAGATGGTAAACGGAGCCAAGAAACCCGTATGCGACCTCGTGATGTCTTTTTAGTCATGTAGTAGTCCTAGATATTCTTTTAGGTTTTTCTAGACATTTTCTCGTCCTCAGTTTTTAAGGTAGACGGGAGAAGAAGATGAAAGGCTGAAACCGTGCAGACAACTTTTCTATGTGTAACTATGGATAATCCGAGAAGAGCAAGGATTACGGAGTAGACAGATAGATATTTCCTTTGCACATGCATGGTGGAATGTGAGGATGGAGATTGGATGGAGAAACTTGGAGCCGAGACGGCATACCCATCTGGTCTACATCGAAATATACGGAGATAACGGAGATTCGACACTTCCATCTCCAGTCGCAATCCAGTCGCAATCCAAGTTGAAATCAAGATGTACAGTTGCGCAGAAACTCCTTTTCGAAGAATGGGGTTATGTTATCTCCATCACCCACCATTCTCTTCTATTGGACCAAAAAAAGCGCTTAGCCGTTCTCCACCTGCAGACCGGCGCGGCAGCTGAAAAAGTGTCAAGTATTCGCGAAGAGACAATGAATCAGTACTAATATCGGCCATGCTTTGAAATCAGCAGTATACGAGCTAAATAAGTCTATGGATTTTGATCTAATAGAGGAAATCATATAAATAAGTCCCAGTCTCATCCTCCTAGAGCAATATTCAGCATCAACGTTTGTGACCTTCTCCTTCTTCCTACTGTCAAAGTAAAACTACAGCAAGTTTGCTATCATTTGTACTTTCTTGAAAATGCCGTCTTACGTTATCACCGGGGCCTCCAGGGGTATTGGGGTGAGTTTTATCACTAAGAAACCAGACGAATACTAACCGTTCTCAACCAAAACAGTGGGAGTTACTTCGCCAGCTCTCCAGCGATTCGAACAATACCGTGATTGGGATTGTTCGAAACAAGGCTGCGACTCAGGAGAGGGTGAAGGAAGAGTTGCCGGAACGTACCAACATCCACATCGTGCAGGCCGACATCACCGATTATACTGCTTTGAAGGTTGGGCCCCTCAAATATACAGAAGGATCCTATATTAATACCTTTTACTAGGCTACCGCGGCAGAGACTGCAACTATCACTGGCGGGGGGCTTGATTATCTCATCGCCAACGCTGGGCTGGTATCTAAATTTGATGCCTACGATTCAATCGGGGTTCTGTAAGTCTACCTGGCTTCAGCCATTAGGTCTTGGAATATGGCAGTCACTGACAGTATGATATTAACCAAATAGCGGCCAACAGCCTGAAGCCCTGGAAGAGAACCTTAACACGTGTATTAAAATCAACGTCACCAGCAACATTCACTTGTTCAACTTGTTCACTCCCTTGATTCTGAAGGGAGATGTCAAGAAGGTCATTGCCATTTCCAGTGGCCATGCCTCCCTCGATGCGATCTCTATTTTGGGGATCGATGTCGCCTCTCTCTATACCATCAGTAAGGCGGCTCTGAATGCTGCTGTGGCCAAGTTCAGCGCGCAGTATGCCAAGGATGGCGTCCTCTTCATGAGCATTTGTCCCGGAATGGTCGATACAGGTCACTTCAACGACGGTATGTTCGAATTTGTTCTCACTTTTCTGTTTCAAACACCAATCTGATCTTCTTTTAGCAACCGAGGAGCAGAAGAAGGGCTTGGCAGGGATGCTGGGTGCTTTCGCCCGGTACGCACCCGACTTCAAGGGTCCTAGTCCACCAGCGGATGCGGTAAAGGATGTGATCTCCGTTATGGAAAAGGCCAGTGTCGAGGGCGGCGATGGCGGTTCCTTCGTGTCGCACTTCGGTGACCAACAGTGGCTGTAGAATTCTTTTTAACCTCGGGAGGACTATTTCTTTCCAAGTTTATAGTCGAATCCATACTTTGAAATGTTATCCTTGATCCTTTTTAGAGAATGGTGTGAATTTCCATCTTATTGGGAGTACGATTAGATTGCGACAGCCCATTCATTCATTGCTACCGAAATGATATGCAAGTGAGCGTTGTGTCTTATCTACTTCAAGCGACTTGTATTAGTCTTACAGTGGTAGTATGTACCCATTGTACAATAAACTGTCAGCTACTGCAAGTAAGTCCAAGACAGTGCAACAAGGACATCAGGTACCAGTTTTAAATCTACGCGCCAGAGAAAATAGAATGTGCGGTAACCTGTCTCAACAAAGAATTATCCAAAGTGAACTTTCTTTCAATCAGACAAAAGTAGGCAAAATAGTGCAACAGCTCAATATGGCACTGAGCTTTTCAGTATAGTCAATCTCGCCATGTGAAAGATCATCTTGTACCCAGATGGCCTGGATAAGTTTCTTGGTCAAAAATAGGGAACGCGATGAATCCCTCTTCTCCGTCCTGGAAATTAAATCCAGGACTATACATCTTTCCCCATCTGTCCGCGCTTCGCAGCCCAAGATAAACAGCGGATACTGACGCTCACAAGATTTGAGCTGGGAGAAAATACTGAAGGCTCGTTCAATCTGTTGTTGAGTTTCGGTAATCAGCTCTAGGATGTTTCCAAATACCCGGTTAAGATAGATGAGAGTGGCTAGTTGGAAAAGTTCCACAAGAGTCGCCATGCTCGGATTCTCATTGATTATCGTGTCTGAGATCGGGATGGACCGGATCCTCCAAGTGAGGATTTTAAGGTAGCTTTTAAAGTTGTCGGCTTCTTCGGATGAAGACATATGAGACGGTTTTGTTGCGACTAGATTGAAGACCCCAGTCAAAGACTTCAGAATTTTGGTAAAGGAAGATTGGGTTGAGTGTGTGATCTATATCATTTCAATTAGCAATCTGACTTCGGTGGAACGCGAAAAGACTATGCCAACCTCAATACACGGATCGGTGTTCACCGGCGGCGATGGAATATCTACCGGCTCGTCCAAATGTACGAGAGGCCTGTCGATCGCCGGCGGATGCCAGTGTGTGATACTGAAACGGGACAATACATCATGGTAGTATACCCAGTCAAGCAAGGCATTGAAGTCGCTGTCACTTTTAAATGTGTCGAAAGATGAGGCTTTTATGACACTTTTGACGCCGATAATGTACAATCGCCATTGGCCGGAGGTACATGACGCCTGGTGGATCTGGTTTGACAACCGCATTAATAAAGATCAAGCTTACCACTAAGGGGTAGGATCTAGATATACAAACCTCATAAGAGCATAAGAGCATCCCCGCAGCAACATGCTGGATTGTTTCCATGGTACCGATTTCGCGATTCGATGCGACACCTAGGGCTTTTAAGGCAGCAATCTTGAGTTCAGCAGCTTGTGATTGCAGCCCAGAGCGGTGCAGGGAGGATAATGCGAGCAAAGACCGCAGCACTGCAACAGTGGATGGGGCGTTATTGACAAGTGCCATGCGGATAAGCATATTGCCCACATTGGTTGGGTCATGACCGAAGGTTGTCAAAGAGCAGGATGCAGTAGATTGAACTGTAAGACTGGTCAGTTTCATTCGATGGATGAATGGGTTGTGGTTTCACCGACAGTATTCAAATAGATAATTTTCAGCAACATCTAATTTGAATGGATTGAATGGCATTGGTGATCGTAGTGTCAGTCTATGATACTCTACAGATTGTTAGTATTTTCTCTCGCTGGTCATGTAAATTCCCCATGGGTGAAAGCGTTACCACTTGATACTAGACCTAAGAGATAGCGGTGCATCTCAATATCCCAGGTGGATATATTAATCAGGCGCGCATTGAAGGAATGAGGCCCTGCGCGCCTCTGCTGTATGAATGAGCGTGCCACCACAGCACGTCGCTTATCATTGGCCTTTGGCCAAGACAACCGGAGGCCGTAGCCTTTACAGGTGCGGTTAGACTGGGCACACTGCGAGCACCTTGGGACAGTCCGGTCGCAGAGAATCCGACGATCTGCGAGCGAAAGTCAGCAAGGTCACATGTAAGTACACATAGTGAGGCGCAAATTGGTGGTTTTCTAACGTTTAACATACCCCTACATGTCCCACAGCTTCGACTAGCCATGTCCTATCAAACTCTCCGCATGTGAGAGAGAGTTTCCCACAATGGACAAGTTTTCGCGGTCACTGGGCGGATAACGATAAGGCTTAGGATGATGACCATCGCGCTGACTGATCTTTCTAACCCGTGGACGTTCTAAGGTTGTCTGTGCGTTGGGGCTGATATTGTGCCAAGCATATCTCCGTACGGAGTAGTGAACCATACTATGCAAAAGTGCATATTACCAGTTAGTCATCATGTCCCCACAGATTGTCCAAATAGTGGATTTTGTCAGGTTTAGAGAATTACATATTTTACTGGTTGACCCATACATTGTCGTAATCTCTCTGTCGGTATCTTTAGCTTTAACACATGAATTCACTCTGGTTGCTTGATCGAATATGTTCCGACGAAGATAGGGTCCAGGGCTGATCTTTTCTATCTATTATGTGACGGAATCAATCTTGCCCCGTAGACACTCCCTCGCCCTCTCCACCCCATTCAGAGCTAACTCCACCAAGCGATAGCGAGACGTCCCCAAATGCATAAGAATATAACCCTGAATAAACTGTTCAATATCTGCCAACATCTTTGCGTCCTTAGATGATAACACCCGAATGTGTTCAATGATATCGATGGTCCGCTTGCAGAGATCCTCCAAGGACTGCGCTGTTGAGCAATGGCCGCTCTGGGCGCTGTTATGAATAAAGTTAAACCGCTCTCCAGCCAGTTCCTCCTTGTAAAACGACAAGATATCATTGGTATAGTCGATGAATTGTCGTAAGTAGGGAATGGTGGGCATGTAGGTCTGTAGATACTTGGACTCCGGATAAAGATTCTCGGGAAACACAAAGTATGCATAGGTCTCTGCAAGACCACTTTTCAGTCGGACGTATTCTGCGAATAGAGGTGCGTCTGGTAGACACTCGGGTTGATTTCCTCGCTCTTCTTCCACCATCTCATAATGGGAGATGCTGATGAAGTCGAGTACGGACTTGAGGATCATATCTCCAGCGAAGGGCCCGAAGAGTCTTGGGCATTCTGATTTGATGAACTGCTGGAAGTGCTGTAGAAAGGGGTGTTTCTGTGGCTGACTGGACGCTAATTGGGTAGTGAAGTATCTTAAGCTTGGGCCAATACCGCAGCTCTTGTCGTCGATTACTGTCGCGTAAGTGTTGAAGATTCCGACAGCAGCCTGTATCTCATGGGTCGCATGGGGATAGAAGGTTACGCCCACGTATGCGCTGAAGTCTATGAAGGGTAGAAGGTCTTGCTGGATAGTCGGCTCTAGATGCAAGGTGTCGAAATATTGCTGGATTTTCGTCTTTATTGTCAACGTATCATAACTCCTGTCCAGGATTGTGAAGGATGCATCACTCAGAAACCCCTCAAGGATGGCGGCACATTGTTGTTGAAGGTGGCCAATGTGGATTCTAGCTTCGTATACGGGCTGTTTTGGATAGCCAAAGTCCATATTGTGAAAGGAAGAAAAATTTGGGCCGGTCAATAGCGAGTGTACTGCGATTTAGACAGTTCTTCTTAATCTGAGTGGCCTTGTTCAACTGGAGCCTGCCAGGTTTATATCTGATGCCGGTGCTTCAAAAATGGAAATCACTGCGACAAAGGATCTACCTCAATCCTGGGTCGGCTGATGAACATTCTGCATTATTGTCCTAATTCGCTATATTAAAGATGAATATTAGTAGCGGTCGAGGAAGTTACTGATAATTTTTCCCTTTTTTTCATGGAGGGGCCCATTCAACCTTACTGTGTAACCGCACTTATATACTTGACCAGTGTCGATCTACATCACTAGACCTGCCTAAATGGCCTGAAAACGGACAAGTGGTGAAAGAAATATGACCACTAACTGGATAGGCTGTGCCGTAGCATACTTACAAGCTTGGTTTTGCCACACCTACTTCAAAGAATGGCGTGGCGAGATGGCTACTTGTTCTCACGATGATCTGCTTTCCTCTAGTCATAAAGTGATGACCGCACAAGCCTACTCCAAGGAAGTCTGACATCATGGCATTGTTTGTATAGTCCCTTTGTATAAAGGTACCCTGCATGGTTGGATGGGATTCTATGCTAGGCATGCTTGCTGAAAGATCCTTAGTTGGAGTTCTCTTATAATCATTCAAAATCTGTATTAGCTTATGAAGATCTCTTAAAAAGTATCTTGATGTTGAATAAATGGTGGTTGCAGCGTATATCACAGTCGTTAGCTTTAAGTAACTAACTCGAATAGGCATGTTGATCGAGGTTAGGTGTGAGACGTAAAGTTCGATGACCTGCTATTGACCTTGACATTGTGATTGAATTATCTAGATTTTAAAGAAGAATTGCGTATGAATGTTAGTTTCTTTCTATTCACCAACGATGTAATGGGCCACTATCCTTTCTACAGAAATATCTCCAGATAAAGAAGTTGGAAACTAGAGCATTATCACGGAAAATATTAAAAGGATCCAAAGTTGATTATTCTCGAGCTAAGGAAAAAGATAATAGTTCTTCAATTTAATAGGAAACCTACAAGCTTTCTAATTAATCGGTATCAATGTCCGATCCTATATAGACCTCATTAGAAACATTTAGAGGGCCGGTATCTCCCGCCTGGACTGCGACATCGCCCATGGACGGGCCGGTGGGCGGGGCCCATAGGCCTTATATAAGCGGGCGCGCCTATAACTAGTTAGTTAGTTAGGGCCTATTTCCCGCTTATATAAGGCCCGTGGGCAATGCCCACCCGCCCGTGACGGGCGGCCCGTCCATAGGCGATGTCGTAGTCTAACTATAACACCTTCTAGTTATGTACCTGTTTATATCGATCCCACATAAGTAAACTGGTGATAGATAACGCTATCACCACCATTTAATTTTATCGAGTAAAAATATTGAGTATCCTAGTATTTTTGATAGAGTAATTAAAGCTATATTTATAGAGTAATAGACGATAGAAGATAGTAGGTTTATATAGAAGAGAGGTGTAGAGTTTTTAAAGGGGGAGCCAAGGCTTAGTACCCCCTATTAAAGTCGAATTCTACTATAATACGATGACTCTTATACGTTGATCAAAGTGGTTGGTCCTGAGGTTCTAGGCCTTTAATTGAATGACATGATTCAGCGGGAATGGATAGGAATTCCAAGTCGAAGAATGTAAAATGAAGATTTTTATGAGTTAAAGCCCCGGTGTAGGTAGGTTTTCTACATTTAGTGTCTGTTATATATATGTGGGAAAGAGGGGAGATATTTCGCGGGGCAAACGCGTTGGAATGTACCCGGTCACATGTCTCTGTGTCTGAGGAATTGACTGGAGTTGACCGACTGATTTCAACTCTATAAACCCCAGAAAAAAAAAAAAAAGAATGGGCCCGATTATCTGGATTGATAATCCGAGATCCCACATGCACGCTAAGCGCATCACTCGGCCGGGTTCTATCACGTTCTTATCCTGGGAAAAACAAACGTAACATCACATCCTCAACTCAACTTGTTACACATCCTATTATAGAAATTGGAAATTGGCCTGATTGTTCAGACAATCAGTCAAGATGGGTGATCCAGAGAAGGGCCAGTTCTCGCTCACTTTGACACCGACGGGCCGAGAGCCGCATACCCCAGAGCCAAAGCCAGAAACTGCCGATGCACAGCCGGACAGTGGGATGTTCGATCGGACTCCCCTTGAAGATGGCCAAAACGATCTCATTTCAGAGCGCGGGGACGAGTGGGCCGCTCTAGAGAAGCGGGTACGATGGAAAGTCGATCTCCGTCTCTGTAGCATCGGCGGGCTCTTATGCAGTCTCAATTTGCTAGACTCGGGCATTTTATCTTCGGCTTCGGTGACGACTATGCTCGAAGATCTTGACTTGAACCAAGGGAATCGGTACTCCGTCTCCATTTTTATTTTCACAATCGCCAGTGTGGTCTTCCAGCTGCCGTGCACAGTAGCAGTTCGCATTGTCGGTCCGCGCATCTGGTTCTCGACAATCACATTCGCATTTGGGCTGTTGACACTGTGCACTGCTTTTGTTCGCAACTGGCAGCAGATGATTATCCTCCGTGTGCTGCTGGGTATTTCCATGTCTGGTATTTACCCTGGTCTGACCTACCTGGTTAGCGCCTGGTACCCGCGACGAGAGCAGCAGCTCCGATTTGCATTCTTGCAGTCCGGGGAAGTTGTGATTCTGGCGACTGGCAATATCGTCAACTTCGGTCTCAATCACTTGAACGGCGTGGCCGGGTTAGCGGGCTGGCGCTGGATGTATATTGTCCAGGGTCTCATTACTTGTGTTCTGGGGTTCATTACCTACTGGTGGATGGTTGACTTCCCCGAGAACTCCCAGCGCAGCTTTTGGTTTCTTTCGGACCAGGAAGCACGTGTCGCAACGCGCCGAATCCAAGATGATCGAGCTGATGTTATCCCGGAACCGTTTTCCTGGCGTACGCTTCTTGCTAACTTCAAGGATCCGAAGATCTATGGCTTTGCGGTCATGTTTTTCTTGCTCAATCTCATTTCGACTGCATTATCGTACTTCCTACCCATCATCTTACAATCGGGTATGGGTTTCAGCTCAAATAAATCCATTCTGCTCTCCACACCGGTAAGTTGGCCCAGAGTATAAAACGCGGCGTTTTCTGACTCCTTCACTAGCCCTACTATTATGCTGTAATCCCGGTTATCCTCACATCACTTATCGGAGATTACTACCGCGTTCGTGGGCCGCTCATCGTCTTCAATTCCCTTGTCCTCATAGCTGGGTTCCTGATGTTCGGTCTTCCCGCATCCAACCTCGTCACAGTGCGATACATCGGGACCTTCTTGGCAACCGGTGCTTATATCTCGAATTGGGCTGCCCTCAACGCTTTCCAGGCCAACAATATCGTAGGCCAGTGGAAACGAGTGGTCACTGCGGCGGCGATCACTGCATGTAACGGACTTGGAGGTGTGGCAGGCAGCTATATTGTCCGCCAGCAAGAAGCACCCCAATATCTAACCGCAGTCTGGGTGTCAATTGGGTAGGTGTAAGAGATTATTGAACCTTGGGCTGCTGGCTGACAAAATTACTACTAGTTCCCACATTCTTCTCATTGCCATCGTGGGTGCATTCACAATTTACTTTTACATTGCCAATCGGCAGCAAGGGCGGGGATCAATAGTTCTTGAGGGTGTGGTGAGTGCCTTTTACCAATGGTCGGTCGATTTTATGATTTTGCTAACGAATGAAATCCAAAAGTCTGGTTTCAGATACACTTATTGATCAAATTCAAATACGAAAACTCGGCAACTCATGTTTACTACATATGGATACCTCTTTCAAAGTCTTGAAGTGTTGTAATATGTAGATTCATGTTGATTTACGACAAGCCAAATTACATATTTCGGGGTTTCTAGGTATCGCTTTTCATCCAACAATTAATTGATTTCACATGTTATTAGGGCTCATTGAGTATATATTAATAGATATAGAGGCCTTTTATCTACGACTCGCTGCAATACTTTGGTAAGAGCTACCGACCTCGTCATCTACAAGGATGGACCATCTCTGATCTTCCATATCCGCCAAGGAGGAAGGCTGCAAGGACGGCGAGCTACTCGAGCGAACCTCTTTAGAAGGTGCAATACCTTCCTGGCTTCCATTTTTCGTGGTTGTTTCTCTCAAGTACCAGTACCAGTGTTGTCTTCTGCGAGGCATGTACCGAGACAAGCTTCTGGGAAAACGCCGGGGCATGACTTGAGTATAAAGGGGCCAGATGCTAATAATGCAAGCGGCGATGATGATCAAGCCGCCTTCGAGGATCGATAGGACACCGAATTTGGCCACAAACCCTGGTTTGATATAAATTAGTCCTTATTTTAATAATATTCAGGGATTGGTTCTTACACGTTGGGTCAGACATGGAGAAATCTGATGCGGACAAGTATATCGCCATTTGCAAGATGCTGGCCACATTTCCTCTAAGTTGTCCCATCAGTGCTACTAAACTGCAGATTGTGACACAGTTTGAATAACTCACAGTCCACCCAACAGGAAAACACCAGTCACGGCGAGTCTCTGTCCTAGAGGTATATGCAACTTCCACAAAGTCGGCATAGGCATCACAAGGATCAATAGACCAGTGAAGATATTCAATGGGACAAGAGTTTGATAAGCGGTGACTGGATGAATGCACTTTTCGCCAGGGATACTTTGATCCCATCCGTATGCCAATGGTCGGCATTGGAGGAAGATTTCCAGAAGATCGGCAACTCCCACTGCAAGGACCAATGCTCCTACTATGTAGATGAGGATCTGGAACTTGCAGGTTGTAAAAATTCTTAGATAGAATAGTAGCAGGGCTAGTTTGACCAGGGTGATGTTGAATGGGTAGTCGAGAACTTCGATGGCAAAGAAGCACTGCGTATTGTCGTTAGTCCGGTACCTATATCCCAAGGGACTGGCAAATACTTTTCTCATGAGGGCAAATTTCTCAGGCATTTGAGAGACATAGTCATAGTGGTACCCAACTATGTCAACTTTGGTCACTGCGTGATATATAAGTCTCATCGTTCTTTGAGCTGGTTACTAGGTGCACATACAGGAAATATAGATCGCCGAGTTTCCTAGACTTGCGGTCTAGACAGCGGGATGTTAGCAAGATTGTTTTCAAATAACTATATCAACGGGATACGTACCAGGGCAAGTAGGATCAGATAGTCGTCGGCACCAATCTTCGCCCGCTGCATAAACCGAGTATAGAACCTCGCTGCAACGAAGACAATTTGTAAGATAGTAATAGCGATAATAGCTCCCACTAGGGGACCGCCACTATATGGTCGTTGTTGATCCGGCACCCAGCTGGCACCCATGATAATTGTACAGGGAAATTGTCAACTTCAACTATAGCAAGTGCTCTGTGCCATAGCCAGTGCATAGCAACTGGACGGCATGGTGTATTAAATAAGAAAATGTCCAACAACGAGACCCTTTAGATCCATGAAAGTATATCGGGCCCCCGAGATTCCGCGAACTATATTCCCTCTATATTGACATCCATATGAGGCAAGCGCTTCAGCCGACTATTGGAATAGGGCTATCGTTTAAAAGGGAGATCGGGAGACGATCAGGTACATACTACGAGCCGCACTGAAAGTCTATTAATTTTAAGTTTGATGTCTTCCATGGTACTTAACCAACGACTTGATTGGTTGGAAAAAAGAGCCCTTTCATCTCCAGGACATACCTGTGGACCTTCTAAGGGATCTCAAAGCCATATTGACATCATACGGAGCTGCCGAAATAGTTCTTGGCCTTGCTTAGCGCTTCTCATATTGAATTGTAATTCCCGTTGATATTTTGGAAGCTTGGTTTCCCTCCGGTTTAGGAAACAGTCTGCCATCTGGTCGCATGCTTGGCTTCCCCACGTTTCCCTTACCCTTTGGGCCCAGACTCAAATTTCAGATCTCAGGAGGCTTTTGGAATTAAAAATACATTTCGCCCCTGATATCCGATCTCAGAGTTGCGAATTAGTCTTCATCCAACTGTTGATCTCGGGGATAAGAATACTAAACCCTTTATACCCATACTCCAACGGTCCAACCTCGTCACCATCGTCGTGACAGATCTTGGATAGAATGGGACCGATATGGAAAAACTATTGGATGAATATGGATATGTTGTTCGTTGCCATCTTGGTTTGCTTTTGTCGGTCCAGATCTTCGAGACACGCAATGCGGTGGGATGATATCTGTAAGAATATACCGGTAGACAATGAGAGCCAAATTATGACACCTGCGATGGTTTGACTAGCTTCAACCCAGTCTGCAGATTTAGGTGTCTACTAAGAGCCGTTCGGTACCGTCGGGGAGACATTCTTGGCAGCAACATCTCCCACTTGCCCAAGGTGACGTTTGATTTGGGTCTCGGTCATGGGACGGTTGTCACGTCGTTTCATTATCCAGGATTTATATTGTATGATTTCGTGATTCTAGTTGGAGATGAAGAGAGATCGAGGATTTAGGAACATAATGAAGTTCTTACATTGCAATGGCGATGAGATACATACACATGCACAAATTATGTGATCGAAGGGAAGGGGTATATGGCAAGCAAGACGGGAGACCTCGCAGGGAAAATGGTAGGCGGGGAAGGTCGGCCCGCAGAAGAAAACTACACAATCATTGGAAAAGACACAGCTCATTGGAGTGGTAATCTTAGGCCACCCGATCCTTGTCTTTCTGTTCCAGCTTTCCCACAAGCCGCTTCATACCAGTCCACTCGTCCGCCGGCACTTCCTCTGGCAGCCCACAGAGACCCTTGCCAACTTCAAAGACAGTAACGACACCGTTAAGGCCACCAGTTGCCAGGCGGCGTCCTTCACGCTCGTCCCACGCAACCTTGTTTAGGCTGCGGGACATGATGTTGCCATGGGTATTGTCGACAACTTCACGCGCCACTGGCACTTCGGTATCTGAAGCGAGGTCCCAAATTTCGACGTTGCCGGCACCGTCGACAAGAGAGAACACACCAGGTCGGGTTGGGTGCCAGCGGGCATCGTAGACAACATCGTCACGGGTGATATCGAGAATGGGTGAGACGACTTGGGATTGGGCCATGGCAGATGTGGCAGAGGCGGTCGTCGCAGGTGGCCGCACACGCCAAAGCTTCACGCTCCAGTCTAGACTGGAGCTCAGCATAAGATCGCCGAGGTCTACAGGTCCACGGCCGGGGTGGAAGGCGGTAGACATGATTGGTGCTGTATGTCCCTTGTAGGCTAGGCGGTGGTCTGTGCCAGACTTGGCTCCGGCCCGATCGTACCGGTGGCACGGGTAGATGACTCCTTCTTCAGTACCGACGATGAAGAAAGTAGGGTCAGTGTGAGGGAATGACATGGTGGTTGGAGCAAGGTCCTCGGTCTTAGATGGGGGAGGTGTAGTCAGTTCCACACGATCTTGTGGGTAAGAGAGCATGTCCATTGTCCATCCGCAGACCACACCGTCCGTGGAGGCGGTCATGATATTGTGCGCATTCTGTGTGCCAACAATTGAGATGCTGTAAACGGGATGGGCGTGTCCACCGCCGGATAGGGGGGTCTTTTGTACTGGAGAGCCTCCACCGGCGCGTGAGGAACGAGTGTCCCATACAAGCACCTGCCCCGAATAGGAGCCTCCAACAACGAGGTTTGGATGGTAGGGGGAGAATTTTGCGGTGAGGATATCGGATGTTGAGTGGAACACATACTCCGGACGAGATTGCAAGTGTTGATTCCAGATCTGAACAAGGCCATCGGGTTCGTGAGGAGCGGAAGTATTCTTGGTGTACGATGCAAGCAACAATTCAGGGAACTGAAGTCAAGGTTAGCATGAGCCAAAGCACATTTATTGGAAGTTGAAAGCTTGCCTTGGGAGAGAAGCTTAGATCACTGATAATGCGATTCTTGCTCCATCGTTCGTCCCAGAAATGGCACACTTCTTGCATTCCTCTCCTTTTCTTGCCAGTCTCCTCATCTTCTTGCAGGTGTCCATCAGTTCCACCAAGCTCATAGTCTGCTAGTACATCGTATTCTTCGTCTAAAGCTCGCTCGATGACCTTGGAAGAGCGTTCCACAAAGTCCAGGAAATCGTCCGAGGATGTGACTGCCTTCAGCTCGTCGTCATCGAGTTTGCGTAGAGGATACCGCAGCTTTGCGGATTGTGCAGCTGTGTTCTCATTATTATCGGCCTGCTTGGTAGCTTGAAGCTCGTCCTCGATTTCCTTGCGAAGCTTCTGTCGGATTTCCTCGTCTCGCTCCCGGTCTCGTCGACTAAGACGCTTGCTCGACCGCGTAGTACCAGGTTCCTCCTCATCGTCCGAAGCAACAGACTCTTCAGGAGTCTCCGGCTGGAAATCTAACCCGTCTGTTTGCACAGCCTTGCTATAGGTGACAACTTCAGGTTTGGGTGCGGGTCTGTATTCGGTTTCAAGTTCAGGGGCCTGCGGGGCTTCTATTGCGGAGGACATCCATGGCTCATCTGTTGTCTGGACGGCAATAGACTGGGATTGTGGTCGCGATGGAGCTGCATATGTATCTGCATTCTCCCCGCTTAATTGGCTCGCGCTCAACACGGAGGTTGGTCGACTTCCTCTCCGAGACTGGTTATCGGCGCCGTGGCTGAGGGAGGCTGACGCTGGGCGGTCGACCAAGCGAGAGATCAAGTCATCTAGGTCGTGTCTAGTCTCTGTGCGACTCGGTATTGGTGAGATAATCTAGCAAAGTTGTTAGACCCGGACGAGCTCCGTAATTCATTCACATGCCGCGTTTACCTCTGAAGCATCCCCGACACTGGTTCGGGAGGTGAATTCCTTCTGGCGCAGCTCGCGCTGCTTTTTGAGCTCTGCAAGCTTGGCCCGCTTCGCAAGGATCTCATCCTTACGCTGTTGCATCGACATCTTGCAAAATCATAAAAGGGTTAGACCAAATGCGTCCACGTCCAAGTGTAGTACCTCCACTGCGGGTTTATTTACGGGGATGACTAAGCTCCGTCTTCGGGAACTCTGGAGCGGTCCGGAAAAACTCGCGCGCGCAGAACATGAACTGAACCTCGCCATTTGACTATCCCGGAGATTCATTGCCATTGACGGTTGACACCTGTTGCACGGTCCCTCCTTCTTACAAATTTAATTCCTTCATTTAATTCCCGTCTTCCGGAAACCTCGCAGAAATGGCTAGCCAAGGTGTCAATGTGAGTACCGGCTAAGGGATACCCTCTCCCCCGACGGCTGTTGACCACGTCTATGAACCTACAGGTCTTCCGTTACTCGGCTCTCGTTGCCGGTCTCGTTTACGGTGTCTACCACCAGTCCTCCCTCAACTCAGTGACCAAGCGCGCAGAGATCGAGCACGAGTACGCTCGCAAGGAGCGCCTGATCGAGCAGGCCAAGGCCGAATACAAGAAGAAGACCCAGCCCCAGCAAGAGATCAAGACACAGACCAGCGGACGTACGTTCAATTCCCTCCGATGATTCGACCCGGATAAATACAACGACATCCGGAGTCGCCGCATATCTCCAAAAACCCCGAGTGCTAACAAAATTCCATAGTTATCACGAATTTCGAGGATCCCAAGTTCGACCTGGAGGCTTTTTTGAAGGCTAAGGCTGGCGAGTAAATGTTATGGATGGTATAGAGGAGGAATGATACGCAGTGATCTCTTTGCGGGAATCGCACCTCCCCCAGGGTATTAGACGCGTTTTGCTTGACTCCGCTCCATTTTATTGTACGATTGTTTGGGTTTAATCTGCCCCCGAGCTGTGGCATTGCGAGCGCAAGATGGAATGATGTTTGTTTCTCATTTTTAGACGTTTTATCTGGGTCCTGTACATACCCTGGGCAGTCGTGCGCCTGTACACTACAGTTGGACCACAAGCAAGAGCAAAAAGATCGTGCTATGCATTCCGGCGTCACCAATAGTCCTAGTAGTACATACCAGACCGATCTTGGTTTGGTGTTCCTCGGTCCTTGCATCTCCACACCCCGGACAGAGGATGTAGCCGGGTACAGCCTAGTCCTTGGACAAATGATCGCATCTATTGAATAACTTGTATTTATTGGTTTTCCAAGCAAGTTTAAACCACACGCGTTCCCAACATTGCCATCGCCTTGCGAATCCCGTCGGAAGACTGAGGCTCCGCGGGCGATACGACGATAGGCTTGGGATGCAGCAGCTTTGATTCCGGATCCCATGTCCATCCACATTTAGTGAAGTTTGATATTATGTTGGGATCTTCCTGTTTGGCGAGCTGTTCGTCAAGGCCAAGGTGGGTTGCCGCTGTAGCTAGTCGTATAGCTTCGTAAGACCTGCTCACTGCGATCAAGGTCTTGTCTTGGAAG